TTAAGACACGTGTCACATTCATAGCCGTCTATTGGAGGGCCCCTAGAAAGTTTACCTTTATTGACTTAGATGGGGAGACCTCAACATCCTCAGATGACAGGACCAAAACGACGCCGTTTCGTAGTCAATTATATTGCTTTTTTTTTTTGTGTGTTTGTGCTTTACGAGCGTTTAGTTTATTTGCTCTGCTCAGAGTTTCATTATTTTATTTAAACAGAAAATGTTTTTTGCTCCTTTCTTCCATGGCTCGGGGGCAAATAGACAAGTAGCTAGGGTTTGCATTTGTCACCTATCTATTTATTGTTTCATCACCGCCAAATTAATTGACCCCTTATCTTCTTCTTTTTCAATTCTCCTTTTGATTTTGATTTTAAGGAAACTGATTCTTTGAATTAGAAATCATTCACCTAGTTTGCCTTATAACAAAAGCATATGATGAAACCATATAATTTTTGTAGGAAATGTGATGTAACAACTAGAATCATATAACTATGAATGCTTTCAAATTTAAACCCTTGAAAAACTTAAATTTGGCATATTTTAACCGCATCAACCTTTTATAACATATATATATATATATATATCGCTAATAGGTGCCCTAGAAGTGGCCTATTTCCACATCGTCTAGAGGCGAAGTAGCATGCTTTTGCGCGAAAGTGAAACTAAAATCTGAACTCTACTAAGATGGGTCGATGTTATGTGCACACATGCATGCCATAATTTTCCAAATTATATAACAATAATAATAATTTGCGCGCGGTAGGGCCTTTATTCATTCGTACATCACCATAGTATTCCTACATTGATTATGAATTCGTACTTTATAATATACAAAATGTACAGAATTCATATGAGGGTACAACTTTTAACTAAAAATTTATTGAACACGAGTTTCATTAGCTAGTGAGATGACACATCCAAAATAAGGCTTACTTACGATCAACTTACTTCACTTAATATACACTTCAGTAATCATTTCCTAGATTTACAACATTAGCCGGAATTAATTATATCCTATGACCCTTATAATATGAAAATGTCATGATTCTCGTTAAAGCAACCTTTGGTTTTTATTGAAAAAAGCGAAAGTTGCCTCAGCCATGATCTGTTTTTATATAATAAATTTTTGTTCTATCATTTAAGATCGACCTCTTTAATTTTTGTTAACAAGATCTATCTTTCCATTGTTGTGTATGAATCACTATATAATATTCCTCAGCAATCATATCATTCAAATTTTAAAACTGAAAGACATTCTTCCTCACAAAGTTGTGGACCACGGTACCAAAAAATCATGAATATATATATAGGGGTTTAATTCCAAACAATCAATAGCTAAGTTTACTTAACTAATATTTGACATGAGATTGGCTAGATGCCGACAAATTCGTAATGATCACTTTGGATTTTTGTTTTAAAGAAATAAGTGAAAATGTAATTATTTCTTAGAAAGGAGTCAAGGACAAACAAAAGCAACATATATATATATAGGGAATATATATATAGTTACAATATTTTATCTTTTTTAATGCCTAAAGATATATTATAACGAGGTGTTAACTGGTGTGGCAAGAGAGATGCGCAATCAATTCTTAATATTGCAGAAACACAAAAAAATAAAAACAAAAGAGAGATAAATAAAAGCAGAGTACGTAGAGAGTGATGAAATCATGGACAGTGTATAGTAACTGTAAGAGAAGAAGAGAGAAGAGAGTTCTTAACAAGGGAAACATGCTGAACAGAAGAATCTCAGTCTTGCTCACTCAGTTTTTGTCTTAAGCCCGACAAATAAAATAGAAGAAAAAAATATCTCTTTAAATGTATTTTAAATCTTTAAAACCTATGAAAATATATAATTAAAGAGGAAAAATATTAATGAGAGTGTCTGAATCTCAGAGTGGTCAGACCTGATGACTTGCTTTTCACGTAGGTAGACGTTCGATCCATGCAATGTACATACATATACGTATATGTTCATATGTACAGACACAGTGTTTTGTAAAATCCACCATTATTGCTCTCTAACAGTTATATTATTAATTTTAGATTGGTTGCTAGTACAAGAAGAACACTCTCAGTACATGTTGTAAAACAATTTCCTTTTTTTTTGTAAATAAGAAACAATTTTTAAAACAATAAGAAAAGCAGTTGGGTAATGTAAATGGAGTTTTAGAACAAAACACATAAGAGAAAGGGTCAATCTCTTAAGATAGATAACATGCTGAATTGATTTGAATAGCCTAATTATCTATAACCGCACATAACGAACTAGGAACCATATTTTTAGTCACCAAATCATATATATTTCTGAATGCGTAAACGCCTAAACTTATGTTTTCCATGCCAACTGGTCCTTCATTTCTCCAGTATGATGTGCCTAAATGAAATTTAAATGTATCATATCATTCAAAATATGAATATGATCGTGAATAATGGCTTCCTAATCCTATATAAAGAGAAAGGCAACTCATGGCTATCTAATTGTATATATACGTACGAATCAATTACAATCTCTCCATAAACCACGCATATCAGATATTTGTTGCAGCCTGCAGCAATCGAATGGCCTAATCTCATGTTTTTTCAATGCAGGCGTGGCAAATCATGGCACGATTATGACGGGACTTCACCCAATTTCTCATGATTTTATAACACATCATGAGTATTCATTGTTTTTTCAAGAACGTCTGAGAAAGTTAATTAGACGTTTTTCAGTGGTTCACACGTATTATCAAATATTATTATAAATTTAAAATCATATAAAACTTTTGAAAACTGCAGAATTATAGCTAAATATTAATAATTTTGGGTAGAATATATTTGAAATCACAATTCGTATACTCGTGGGCTATCTCTCTATACATAACGAAGAAATTAAGTATAAATCACCCATCTTTATGAAGCGGTGAGAGCTTAATTTATGGGAGAAAAAAATATATTTTTTTGTGTTGGCTTATAGTCGATGTTTGATAAGAGGGGTACATTGATGGATGTCGATAAGAATGTGGGCTCACACCCACCAGCTGGATTTTGATTTTTTAGGGTTTTCTTTTTATAATTTGTCTCAGGGAGAGAAAAAAAAAACAAGAATTAGAGGAAAAAAGATTTTATAGTGCGAAGGCCCATGGTGATGGAAGGTTTGAAACGACGGATGCATGCATTTGGGAACCCTGAAAGTATATATTATTACACAATTTGGAATCACAAGTTAAGTGATATATTTTCACACGCAGGACGTAGATAATTTCCGGAATGTTAACCAATATAGCTTCATGTTGATTACAAGTACTTTCTAAAATAGTATGAATTTTTTTCTTTTTTGGGTGCAAATAAAATAGTAGTATGATTTTAGTTGATTACAAAGACTTTCTAAATTGGTGAAAATTTGAAATGAAGATATATATGAATTGTGTCGCGGGCACAATTGATCGTTTGTTAAAGAAAGAGCAAATTTAAAAGTGAGCGAACTTTCAGAAATAGGAATTTAATAATAATATGCTGCTGATTCAAAGTTCTTTAATCACTTGCATATTGTGTTTTCTTATATATATATGTGATTTTAGCGTCATTTTGTCTCTCTTTTTTATATTAGTTTTTAATGTATACAACCAAATAAAAAGAAATCGACCTCAAAAGAAGGTGGAGAAGCTCTATATGACAAGAAAACTGATTCCATAAGAAAGGGACTATGGCGATTTCAAAAAGTAAAACGTTTGAAATAATATAAAAGAAGAAAGATAACTCAAACCTTTTAAATTAAAATTTTATAATATATATATAAATATTTGTGAAAGCATACCCCTCTTTTTCATTGCCTTTTGAAAAAAAAAATCCTTTTATAGATCTTGTCAAGATTTGTCAAAAGAATATACACAAAAGCATGCAATACTCTTTTAAAATAACTAAGTAATATTTCGTAACTAGTTTTTTATAACTCAAAACTTTCATATCATTACATTTAAGGATTAATAGTAAAAATGAATTGTAGTGGCGCTACTACACAAACGACAAATTTGGTAGCTCAATCGACGTACTATTTAGCCATCCAAAAGAGAAAATTTGGAAACATTTCAAGTTTTGAGCATTTGCGTCGAGAAAATTAAGTTGATTTAGTTCCTGTTTTGAAGATTATGAATTTAAACAGAAATTTCTTGGTTAAGGCCTTAAGGGGGAAAAACAGCTATTAATCAATCAAAGGCACCTTACTCCCACCGCAAATTTCAGTCACTTGTGAAGATAAAGTATGTTATCATTAAATTAAAAAGAAACATATTATTGCAATACAATTTTGATGAAATGACGCTTTTGACCTTCATGTCGATACTCGGATTGAACTCGTCTCTTCGGATTTTTATCCAGGGAAAGGTTAACATTAACAGATAATGTGTCAAAGACAAAAGAGGAAAATAATAGTGGAGATGTCTTTTTCAGAAAGATTATGTAGTATTTAAACATGAGAACTATAGGTTGCTAAAGGCACTTTTTGACTAATCAGTTATATTAAATTAATAGAATTCACAATCTCTTAGCCGAGACAAAAACTTCTCCAATCTTATTATTCTAAAATCCAAGTTTTGTTGACTACACGAAATAAAACTGTGCTAATCAAGTGAATAATTCCGATCGTCGATGTCGACGATCCACCTGTTAGACAATTATGACTTAAATTAGTTTTTATTAATCTGACAACAATGGACCACAAGAATTACTTTGGACATCGATTTAAAAATTCCTGTTATGGAAATAAATTATTTTGTAATAATAGGAATATCATTGGGTACGGCTCAATCAATAAAGTTTTTTTTTTTTATTTGAATGTGTTTTTTTTTTTGGGTTATACAAATCCAAGTTGGAGCCTACTGTGTATATCTCTTTGATTTTAATAACAAAGGAGGAAAAATAATATACAATGTATTATTGGGCCTGTGGGCCCTACAGTCCAATATAATTTATTTGGGCCATATGTGTATGGGCCGTACAGTCCAATATAATTTATTTGGGCCATATGTATATTTTAAATTTGTATTACCATTCTCGATATGCTTTCGATCAGTTATAAATTTCGATCCATATTTTCTCTAATTGTCAACTACAACGACCCAATCCGATTTGAGAACTTCACCGATCTTATGAATTTCTCAGTTCTCTTAAGGAATTGCACAAAGGCTTAATACTCTCATCAAGCAAAACTTTTACATACACTCACCATCCATTTAAAATTTCCCGCAGGTTAGTTGTTATTACTTGTGACGGAAGCTACCCGAATATCAAAACCGATCTCCGCCAATGTCTTCTGATAATTCTTCAACCAAATCCTCAAAAATCTCAAACTCGATATCCAAAACCAACTCTGAGACTTCTGCATCGTTCTTTGATCTCCATGACCCCAAACTCTCTGTTCTGAAATCATGTTCGACCATCATATCGATTGTGTTTGACTCCACATCTCTCCAAGATCTCAACCTCTCGCATACTCTTTTGGCTACTTCGGCTTCATCGTCAAGGAAACCGCTGCCGTTTTGCAATTCCTCCGCTACAAGGTCTGAGATCAATGCTTCTTCTATGCCTTCGGGAACTTCGTTCATATCTTCAAAATACGTTTTAAGAACTCTCTGAGTTATAATCTCACACTGATACTGATTCTCCATCTCTTCTTCTTCGTCTTCCCTCTCCTCCTCGGTCTCTTGGTCTGACATTCTTTTCTCGAGTTCCATGGGATCCAAACCCGCGAGTTGCTCGAATCTACAAAGCTTCTGTAGAAGGAGATGCTTTGCTTCTGTAAATCGAGATTCAGACATTGGAAACATCAGTCTAAATGATCGAACTTGTGGACAACCAAAGGCGTATTTAATGGCTTTTTGTTCATACAAGATCCCATAACTTCACCTAAAAATTCTTTACAGAATATTGGAAAAGGAAATTTACTTATTTAACAATAATGTAACATACACAAAATGTTAATGTTCCCAAATCTAATAGAACAAGCCACGAGATCTTTTAGCCATAATATTCCCAAAAATGTCAGTGAGACACTTTAACGAACACTGTGCGTGCGCTATCATGTAAATGCCACTGAAACATATTAACAAACACTATTCGTGCACTAACATGTTACTGTTCTCTTTCGAAAACATATCTTCAGTACAACGGATCCAACAGTTTTAAACCACGAAACAGGAAACAATAAATGAGTAGGGCAAACTATAAGATCCGAATTAAATGAAAGAAAGGTGAAAATTGAAGACAAAAAGAGTGGTTCGAAAAAACGTACTTTGTACAGATCTGAAGCTGGAAGTGATGTTGTTGTCATCCATGTGAATGTCTTCGTCATCGTCCTGAAATGGAGGGTCCAAAACTGAAACTGGGCTGCTCTGTTCCTTATCTTCTTCTTCTTCTTCCTCTTCCATTTCTAGTTTCTTTAGCTTCTCTGCTTCACTACTCCCTTTCTTCATCTGTTTTATACAAAATTAAGTACTTAGGTCGAGTAATTACTTCAGATTGGATGCTAATTTGACTGATTATTTTGGATTTGATTGACGTGCACAGACACAAACAAAATTTTGGACTCTATTGCTAAATAATTATTACAGACAAAAACCAAAAAACAAAAACATGAGAGAGATTTGCATGTCAGAGACAAAGATCGTCTTTGTTTTCAACAACACAACAACACAAAAGGCTGAGTTCATTTTCGAAAAGACGAAATTGCTTTTGTCTTTAACTGTTATTTCATCTTCGAAAAGAGCCAAGCGATGAGTTTTCGGGGGTACTTTTGTCATTTACCCTAAGCATTACTTAATTTGCCGCTAATACAAACGGGTCAACACCGAGTCAAACTAGTCATTAATTAAACTCCTATGCCAAATACTGAGCAATGTCTCATCTGTATTATCAAATCGAAAATAAAATACTACTAATCATGAACATCAATTATTTTCAGTTTTTTCCTCGATTTCTAACTAACGCGATTATCATAGATAATGTAATAATTTTAAAATATTTCTTAATTGAGAAAGAGACGAACCTCTTGACAATCGTGGCGTGGAGAAGCCGCAGGCGATGAGAAATTCGGCGTTCTGAAACCGCCTGGAGAAGACATCGTTTGGAGGACAAAATGAAACGGGCTTTCACAAAAGCGTTTATTATCCTCCGAGAAATCTGAACCGTTCATCAATCCACACGCAAACTCATCTGAGCCGTCCGATCGGCTGCTGGAGCTAATCGACGTTTCGAAATCGCAGTCCCAAGATCTCTCTCCGTTGGTAACACTCTCTGACCAAACACAACTACTACTAGACCTCCGTGAGAACTGCGCCTCGGACGCGATTTTCTGCGTTTGGTAGGACTTTTCTTCTTCTTTGCGTTTAGATTTTCTTGTGACTATTTTACGAACAACTGGAGATTCCCATCTCAACATATCTTTCACCGAAGAAACTCGACCACCGTCTTTAACGCCGCTGATTTCGCGTTTCTTCCGCTGCGTTAGCTTCTTCAACACTGACCCAAATATCCCAAACGCATTTCCTGCGTTCCGCGTTCTCGTTTTTGAAGCGTCAGACGACGACTGTTTCTGTATCCTAACCGCAGCTTCTAGTAGAATCGAAGCGGTTCTCGCTGGTATATTGACGAAAACCGCGTTTTGGCTTCGGTTCGGTGACTTGAGTTCGAAGAGTGGAGATTTCTTCGGGTCAGGAGATTCACGTAGGGAGAAGAAACAAGCGTTGCGGCAGAAACGCGAAGGAAGTCCCGCGTTCTGAGAGATGGGTCTGCGTTTCTTGACCTGTAAATGCGTTACCGGAGCCGGAGGATTGATTTGACAACGCCGATCGGAGATGTAACTCTGAAGCTGAAACGGCTCCTGGTCTTCTTCTAGAAGATCCTTTAAATGTCTCTGAGACGCCATTTTGTCAAATTCCAACAACAGCAAAAGCAGAGTAGAAGATTGAACAGTACGTTCGTGAGTTTATTCAAAGGTTTCAGTTTTTTCAATTTGTAATTAAAGAGAAAGTTTTTGTTTGAACTCTGATAAAGAGAGAAAGAGATAGATGGTGATGGTGATTCAAAAAAATTGTGGATGGTTTAGAAGATCGAGGCAAGGGTTAAGTAAATAGTTGTAGGTAGGAAAAAACAAATTAATTATTTTTTTGGTCTAGTTTTTTTGTTTGTTGTGTAATGGGTGATTTAAAAGCACACCAACAAAAATAATATATTTCAAAATTCAGAGGGCAACCTCAATGTTGTAGCCATTTCCAAAGGGAAACAAAAAAATATTTATTTAATCGAATTGGTTCCCTTGATATTAATTGATCTTTGTTATTTTTAATACATGCCCCAATTTATTTCGCGTCTAGTTTTTCTCCTAGTAGTATTTAGATTTTGGTGAGTTCAAATTTGATTTATTTATTTCATCTCCATTTGTTTTATAGAAATAGAAAGAAAATCTAACGAACGTTTGTTTCAATAATAGCATAGAATAGTTGTTTTTCATTTTTCACATTTCCGTGAAAGTTGAAACTATTTTTTCCTCCAAAGGCAAAAGCGTTGACGATCTCAAAGAGGGAAAAGTAACAAAAGGAAAATTAGGGTTAATCAAAAGAAATTGTGAGATAATGAATAGAAAACGACAAAAGAGAGAAACACGCATGCCCAATTTATTGTAGGAACTGGATATTGACTCGATCTACTTTTCGACGACCCTTTTCTCACAACTTATTACAATCTTTTTAACCTTTTTTTTTTCCGGTCCTCTTCGATTCACCAATGAAAATATATACAGAAACTTCACATGAATTAATGAAATTAGATTGACAATTGTTATCTAGGTTGCAAGACTCTCTGGTAGTAAAAACTTGGATCTCATCTTATTGATTGGAATCAAAAGTTTAAGTTCCAATGCTAGTATGTTTTTGTTTAGCACATTTGTATCAAGCCTATCAAGTTCCATCTCCATATTAGTCTGAAGTTGCATATAGATGAAATTAAAAATAGAGAATGGACTAAACTATTATGTTAAACCGAGTCTTCGTGGAACTTCTTGATGTTAAAAAGAATACACAACAAGCATATGAAACAATTTTTTGCTAGGCAGAATTCAAATTTTACAATTCGAAATGTAACAGATGAAAAGGGTCTGTGCAATGCTCCTCGTGCGGAGAGATTGGCCAGTAAAAAGGACACGGTACGACATTTTTTTCTGTCATCTGATTGGTTACTCCACAAACACATCAACTTTAATTTAAAATAAATAAATAAACCTTTTTTGAGACTTTTGTTTTTGGTTTTAAAGAAGTAATTATGATTGTGTTTCTGAGAATGGTAATTTTAATAAAGTTGATTACAGTTATTTCCTTATATAGTTCCCAGATATATACTATTAGGTCAGAGCAACGCGTGCTGCTTTTCTTTCCTTCAATCACTTTCTGCTTCTAGTGGTGGGGTGGGTCTTTTTTCTAATAAAATTGAATTTATTTGGATTGTTCTCGCAAATTGAAAGTTTTGCAGGTTAAAAGAAAAAATACACTATGATGTATTTTCAAAAAGATGTCCTGTAAGAAACAGTAAATAAATAATCGATAATTTTATGTTTTTGATTGATCAGAATCATAGAATGACACAATAGGAAAATGGCTATGTAATTCTACTCTTAATTTCCCCATCAGAGAAAGTTGTCTCAAACTCGAAATATTTGTATAACGTTGTGCACCGACGTTTGCCAGTGTGCTGTTTTATTAACGTTGTATTAAAGTGTTAAGATCGGAGAAATATGAAAAAAAAAAAAAAAAAAAAAAGCTGCATGGATCAATATTTTTCCGTCCTAAACCATTATCAATAAAATTATTTTATAGGAATAAGATTTTACTGTATGGAGCCATTGGGTGTGCGTGAAATGGTCCAGCTTTTCATAATGGTCTTTAAGATTCGCATAAATAAACATAAATTTGTGGTAATAAACACGTTTAACTACCCAAGAAAATCTGAGAGAAGCTAATTCCCATTACATAGAAAAATATAAGTATTTACAAGTTGAGAGAATCCTAGGCAGGAAAAATTTGTTTCATACAATTTACAAAAAAAAAAAACAATCAATTTATTGTATAGTATTTGAAGATTTGCTCTGGCTCTAGAATAGACTTCCCACTGTATTTTGAATTTAGACTAGTATTCTGGCTTAATTTTTGACACCCTACGTTTCAAATAAAACTTATTGACGAGTCATTCAGTCGTGCTTTCTTTTTGTATTACTATAACTGAACAAAAGTCATTTCTGTAAAAAAAAAGAAAACAGAAATTTAACCCCAAACAAAACAGAGAATAGTATATATGTTACTCACTGTGGCTTAGTTAATTCAACATACTTAAGAATTAAGATGCAAAGAGATAATGATGGAAACTAATAATCTTTTTTTCTCAAAAGAGATTCCGAATGTTATACAGCCACCCCAAAAGTTAGTTTCGTAATTCTTTTTCTTAACTAATTCCAAATCATTGAACCAACAACACTCATGAAGATAGGCAAATGGTCACTTTGTTTAGTTTTATTTCCTGTTGCAAAAATCTTATTTGTTTTATACATAAACTTCTCAATAATCGCTTCCATGGTTAATATGCATGGAATAAAACATTACAAATCATGTTACTAATGATCGGGACTTAGTTATTCAGTGTTTTGGTGTCACCACATGAGTTCCGCCTTTTTCGTAGAAGGAGTCAAGGAGTTAGAATTTGACCATTTGTCCATTGTGCTTTACGAGAAAATTATTGTAATTTTAATAAAATTAACAAATCATAATCTCTTGTAGCTATAAAATGAAATGTCAAATATGGTCCGTATGACAGTGAACTGGGGAATGTTAAAAAATGTTTACGTCACTTGCTTTCGGTGATATGTTTGACGAACGATTAAAATCAAATTGTTTCAAACCTCGGTGACTTTCTTTACTGGCGTGATGATCAACTTTTAGATTTGGTCTCGATCACAACCTTTTTTCCTGGATATATGATAATCAAACTGGAAATGATTAGTGAGTATGGGAAGAACTATATGATATATATTTTTCAATTATATCATAAAGGTATAGATTGGTATGTTAAATTACATTTACATAATATATAAATATTCTACCTTATCTAACAAACAAAAAACAATCCTAATAATTGTGTTTAGCTGGCATTGACAACGACATTTCTATGATTGAGATACTTTACTAGAAAGCAACTCATTAAACTATACGGTCTATATCAGTGTTTGTGAACAGTTTGTATAAACGCAATAAAAGTTATACAAAGATTATCACAAAAATCGTTGAAAGTTATGCCCATCGAAATCTAACGTTTCACAAACATTGTTCTATCGACAAATTTCACAAATTAAAAATTATTAATTAAAAATGATAATGATTTAATTCCAAATAAAGTAATTTTTGGATGCATGGTAAATATAAAATTTATCTAAAAAGTTACACTGAAAATAGAAACCATATCTTAAAAAAAAAAAATTGAAATGCTATTTTTTTATTTATAGTTTGACAAAAAATATATATGTGAAATGATCGGAATGGTAAGGGACTATGAATTTTAATCTCAAAAACATCTCAAAGGACACCAATGAAATATGACTAACATAAACTTTAACTTATCTCAATGAGTAATTAATTAATTTTTTTTGTGCAAGAAGTAATTAATTAGTTATAAGCTTAATCATCTGTGTATTTAGGTAAAGGTTGGTGCTTCTAGTGGTTGGTGTTTGGTAAGTAGTTTTCTCAATATTCTTCTTGTTTTCACGTATCAAGACAAACTTACGACATACTTAATTTTATATTGTTTTCCATTTGTCATAACGTTATTTTCTCATGGTATTTTGGCTCTCTCAATTATCAGTCTAATCACCTGATTAATTTTGTACCCCAAAGAAAGTCATAATCATAAGTTAAAGTAATTGATTTAAAAAGTACTTATAAGACATGAGGAGACAATAACATCGATTCATGAATATTAGAAAATCAAAATGGGGCCCATAATTTTCTTTTGTTTTTTCACTCTTGGTTATAGTGAGCACCGCCACATAAGGAAAGGACAAGCTTCGTGTGCGTCCATGGAAAGTCACACGTGCGTTCCATTACATGCTGCCACGTGGCAATAAGGTCGGCGTTTCTTCCAGCGGTTTGTTATGGACGACGTCTACAGGTCGCGGCCACTCGCCGACTGATGACGTGGCAGATTTCCTCATTGGATTCTTTTTTTTTGCGTTTTGTTTCCTCTTTATTTATTTACTTGGCGTTTTCTTTCTGCGTTCAATAATTTTATATTGTATTGTTTTGTTTTTGGTCAAGTGTATATATAGTAGTTCCGTAAGACTGTAATATATAGATCCGTAAGACTATAAGCTTACCACTAATATATATATTTTTGGAAGAACAAACCCCTGCAAGTATCTATTTTATAGTTCAACATTTAACGCTGAATATGAATATGATGAAGGTATAAAAGATTGAAACTAACATTTTACCCCTTTTATTGATTTAGTGTATTTCACATGTTTATTAGACAATTAATAAACAGAGACCGCCGAATATCAAACACTTAATTATTTGTATGCACGTTTCTTTTGATAATATATATATATATACATATATATATATTCTTATTTTATTAATCTTAACAATATTTGTGATAGTCCTTTTTTTTGAGAAGGTTCCAAGCAAGACGACATTGAAATGCTTTTATTATTTGAATTTTAACAAAAAAAATAAGACGCAGACAATAGATTTATATCAGCATGTATGACCATATACGATGTTGGATATACTAATATATACGTAGACGTGTTGTATTATTTATCAATTGGAACTTCCATTGTACTTATACGGCTATTCATGTGAACCGATCGATGAGATATTGAAGAGATATGGGCAGAGAGCGAAAGAAGCATGTCCCAATACAATTTATGTAGAAGATACAAACAATAGGTAAAATATATACGCCAACAAATTTAATAGATGCATTATGAAACAAAATTTTGGTCCAATTATATATTTTATAGTATGTGACTTTGACTTATTGTGAGACAATATGTCTCCATATGTATCTTAAACTTGGATCGTGTCGCTCGATTTGTAGCTTTCCTCCATGCTCATGCACGACCGGTACATTTATATTTTACACTCATTCACGCACATCTCGTTACTAGAAAATATCAATTGTCCTATATAAAACTTCGGCACGGCAGCACCGAACACGTCACAACTAAGAACACCCTACACACACACAAAAGGCTTATAGAAATAATTAGAGGAGTATGAATTTTGATAAAGCATCCAAATATGCATTAGATATGTGCCTATATACATGCACACATAGTCACGTTCACATACATATAAAGATGAGAAATTGGCACCAATAATCAAAAGAAACTTTATAATTAGTTATATAACCAAAAAAAAAAATTGTGATATTTCTTATATAAATTACAATATATACTATTCTATCTCTAAAAATACCACATAATCATCTCTTTCGTCTTTTATATAATGTTTGTGCACAACAAATTTGTTTACCCTATTTCATCTTCTTTATTGTATTATTAATATTAGATTATTAATCAATTAAATCTTAATCTTGTGTTTGTATTAAAAACCAGATTTTTTCTATACATATAATTCTTTTCAACGGTTTAACCATCACTCTGGACTAAAATCCCAACCACAGCTCCAACAAGGAAGAATTAGCCATCATTTTCAGCATACCTTTCTTCTTTTAACCAGTAATTTATTCCTCATTGAACTGGACACAGAAGACTGTTGTTGCCTTGTTGGAAGAAGAGATAACATATATCAACAAATAAACTGTTGTTGCCTTTGTTGAAAGAAGAGATAACATATATCAACAAACAATCATGAAAGAAAAAAAAGCTATTGTAAAGATAAGAGAATCAAATGATTTGATCTTCTCTAAACCAATGTATATACTATACTATTTTGTGTTCTATATTATTCAAATATATATATTATACTATTTTATTATGATGAGGGTAAAAACGATAAAAACAGTGTTTTTGGTTAAATGTTTTATTATCTGTTTTATATGACTATATTCTTTAATATGAACTCCAATATATATATATATACACCAAATTAACTCTATAAAAATATCTCGTAGTGTAAAGCATGATGTCGTAATGCTAAGTGTATTAGAATGTTAAAATATTAGCACATTGATACATTTTGGAATAAAGTAGAGATGTCGTAACTGCATGCTAAATATGATAAACTATTGTAGATTCATGTACATTCAATATGGTAAAGTGAAGCGATGCAAATATAAGGAAACATGGTCGATAACACTCCACCAAACCAATCGTATAACTATTATTCCATATTCCTTTGGCTGCTATTTTATTTATTTTAAAATTCTGGTATAAATTAAATCTTAAAGTATAGCGGATTCATATTCGTACAAAAGACAGAAAATTAACATTTTGGCTTTAATTTATAGAACATTTTTGGTAGTTAAGGTCTGCACATTAATGTTGAGCACTAGAATAACATATTGGAAGGAATATATGAAATAATAGTTTTAGAAGTATAGAAGTTTTAGTTCGACTACATAAAAATATGGTAGAAAATCAAAACGTACAAGTTATATGACATCTCTTCATATCACATCGTTGAAGTTGAAGCATTTACAACCAATACATATAATAAGAGTAACTTTCTCATATAAAAAAAGAGTGTTTTTTTAGTTCCGATAAGCATCATCTCGTCCGTTTGATTCAAAATGACTATTGTCGCATTTATAGCTGTGGGCTTGAGCGAGGTCTTATGATGCGTGCCTTCAACATCTCAAACTGAAAACCCATTCACTTTTTTCTCTGCGTCACTGACTTTCATCGCTTGCAATAAAAGCGATTAAGCTGATGTACAAGTAACATTCCAATTTTGGCAAAAATAAGTAACTTCCCAATTCTGCTTTTGGATATGTTTTTTATTCATTTCTGAAATTAATTGACATCATACAAAATTCTCCTTCTGTTTCAACATTTTTTCTCGTACAGACGCCGTGTCGTGCGTGTGTGAGTGCTTGAAATTCTTTTACTTTTCTGGTTTATATTTCATAGCTCAAATTCTCAAGTCAAAAATCTGAATGTGGTCTTTAAAACATATATCAAGAGAGATTTGAAATGGCTCATGGTATAATCATGCATCAAAATGCCTACGAACAAACATAGTTCTTTACATTTATTATTACAAATTTGCGAATCACAAGGATAATATCTTGACAATGTAAACTGGTTACAATTTCTTTCCAACATCTAGTTCAGAACCATTTCCTATTACTTATTATTTTATTTTATAACATATTATATGACTAGAATGGTAGAAGAACAATGAAAAATACTCTAACCGTGATTAACCACACTTATACTTGATATTAAAATAGCCCAATCCCAGTGACTCTGCTCGTCCAACACTAAGCTTTGGTTTGATCGATGTTCTTGCTTAGCTCTTCCAGCTTCTTCAATCTCATTTTCTCGCTTTCTCCCTCCAACTGCGCCCATTCATTCAAAACAAAACCCGTTATAAGTCTCTCTGTCTCAAACATCGTCACAAGAACACAATAAAAGTGAGCATAAACGACGCTTTAGATGTAGCGGTAATTTACAATGGAAACTAGACAAGAAAAGGAATCAAACAACTATATACGGAAACTGTGAAACCCATTTAAGAGTCAAGATCATACAATTCTTAAAATGGAAAACTCCAAAACCCCCTTGAACAAATCTACGGTACCAATGTCTTGACCCACATTTGCAAAGTTTTAAAGAAAGGTAATGAGAAATTCGTATGCTCAAAAACAGCTATGACTACACACCAATTTGTATGACGTCCTGATACAAGTGGAATGATCAGACCAGCTATAACGTTCACTCTCAAACGTGATTGAATTTACTTGGAAAAATGAACTAACCTCCTGTAGCTTGGTGATGAGCTCCACTTTCTCCTTGTTCTTTTCATTGAATGCTTCAAGTGCGTCCTTGTACTCTGTTTCCTGCACTTTTATGAAAACACCAGCTTAGCATCCCATGAATCCGACCAGTGTATCTTGATAGTCGTCATGAAGCATTTAATCTCGGAATTTGTCGTGTTTCGTCGCAACCTTATCTTAGAGAAAAAAAGACATTATAATTCTCAATCGAAAACCCGAACCTTTTTCTGAACTGTATGTCCCAATGGCTTTATCTCTTTATCAAGAGAATCAATCTTCTTCCGGACCAAAGTGACTTCCTTCCTCATGGGATCAGCAAAACCTTCAAGTTCCTGATACATTTAACCATTAAGCTTTAAAATCACCAAACAGACATCATCCGTTACCAATTAGGGTTTAGCCAGAGCTCATCTTTACAAAGTGGATTTCACTTACTGTTCTTATAAAGAATGATTTTTTTTTTCCCAATTCTCTAACCTAGAAGTTGAAAAACCCTAACACCAGACTAGATTCAGCTTCTAATTTAAGAACACTTAACTACTAAATCCGAAAACGAGGTTGAATTTTTCTCCCGTTTAGACTCTCTAAGCCATGAGAAGTTGATCTATTTTACACTAGAGAAGCGGAAAATCGATATCCAGAATCAAACACACACAGAAAAAACCAATTGTTATAGTGTGTTTTAATTACAAACCTCGCGGATCAAAGCGAGACGCTTGGTCTCGCCCTCAACACGACCGAGCTGAGCTAGAACTCGTTCTCTGATCTCCATCTTCTTCTTCTCGATCTCATCTTCTTTGGCCCTGAACGCCGACAACGCTTTCACCGACAACTCCTCGTCTTCCTTCTTCATCTGGCTGCTGAAGCTCATACTCTCCGATAACTCATCCCTTAGACGACGGCTCTGATCCGCCGTCGCCGGTTGCGACGCCTCTGTCGGCTGCATCTTTCTTCTTCCAGAGAATCTGCTTTTGTTTAGCCGTTTATCTGATGCCGACTACGACGACCGTTGGATTCTTAAGCCAATAATGGAAGCAAAAAGGGTGTGACTTTGCGACCCGGAACAGCTTTGTCTAAACCGGAACTATTCATCAAAACCAAATATAATTAAACCAGTATCTTATCGGGAAATTTAAGCATTATTTTAAATAATTTTGTCTTGGACTTTATAAAAAATTTCTTCATCATCTGAATTTTGGATCTTGAGGTTAACGAAAAAAAAAAAGGAATTTGATTTGATCATGTAATAACGATGACAGCTCAAGGGATTACGGTTATTGTGATTGGTTTGCTTAGTTAACCAAGAGCTACATTTGCGGTCTAATGTTTTAGATATTCTTCGTTTCCAGATTTTATACATTCTCGGCGACATGACAATGTTCAGTGTTTAACATTATCTCAATCTAATGAAGGAAAAACACTTCATCACACTTTCTCTTCTCTTATTACGGTTTTGGATCCAAACTCTCGTGGTTTGCCAAGGCATAAACCACGGCGGTTCTACACGGTGCATAGACCATGAACGAAGAGGGCCGTCCGTCGTATGAGCCATCCTGCAATGGCATGAGTGGTCAAGAGTTTGGAACAGTCGCAATGTATCTAAACTTTTGAAATTCAAATTGCTTTTTCCTTACAAATGTGAAATACTCAGCGTTACGATCGAGCCTACTGAATCCACCAAACAGAGGATCGTCCGAGTCCAATGCGATCTGGAACGTGAAAAATAGTAGAAAGAGATCAGATTCTATTTTTCACCATCAAAAGAAGAGTAAGATGTGTATATACCTTATATTTCCCGGGCTTGGAGCAACCAATGCGGTAATCGAAGTAGCTGCTGGTCCAGTGGAAGTTGAAGACGAAGACAAGGTCACCTCTTTCGAATACGATTACTCTGTCCCCTTCGTCTTTTCGTGATATGAATTGATGCTCCGAAGTCATAAACTGCTTAAACGTAAAGTCAGAGTTAAGCTAATGGGAATACAGATTTTCTGCAAAGGTCTTAACAAAGGAGACTTACACCGTATTTCTCTTCAAGATGTTGCATTGCCTGATCAAATTCTTGCAGTCCGTGGTATCTGAGATAATCTGCATCCCCCTATATATATGAATATTCTGCATCAGAACACAGCAAAGCATATATAGCTTGAGATTAATATATACTGTACTTAAACCAAATTACAAGAACTTACAAGATCAAATCTGCGGCGGCATTTGTCGTAGCTGAAATTGTTCCCAGGAATCACGCTCCCATCAGAAAGACGCTGCTCGCCTCTGGGGAAATCGATCCATTCTGAAAATTGCAGGAGAAGATGAAGAAATGTACTCTCGAAGCCCTTTTCGTATACAGTAGAAGGAAAAATGAAATAAGCTTAATAGTACCTGGATGTCCGAATTCGTTCCCCATAAAGTTTAAATACCCTTCACCGCCTAACCCCATAGTTATAAGCCTAATCATTTTATGCAGAGCTATTCCTCTATCAATAAGAGGAGTTGATGGTCGGTCTAGTGCCATGAAATCATACATATCCTGGAATCAAACAAACACCATTCCCCATAAGTTCTAAGAATGTAGTTAAATGAATATAGAATAACTACAATGGCGTCTGTACCTTGTCCATTAACCAGAAGGCAATTGTTTTATCACCAACAAGAGCTTGATCGTGACTTTCAGCATAGGCAATACACTTCTCTGACCACCTTCTGTTGGTAAGCGTGTAAATGATGTCGCCCATTTTCCAGTCCTCATCTCGCTTCCTTCACAAGGAGAGGTGAGTAAGACGGGCTCATTTCACCAAACATTAATAAGCAGATGCAACTTTAAAAAAAGAAAATGCAGCAAGAAGGCAGAAGAAGCTCACTTGAGAATCTCTATCCACTTATCAGCTATGGCCATGTGTAAACGGTAGTCAAATCCAACGCCACCATCTTGGACAGGAATGCAGAATGTTGGCATACCACTAACCTGAAACGAAACGATCTTATAAGCATAGATCACAAAATAGCCATATCCTGAAACGAAACGAGCTTATCAGATAATTGGTTATAAAGAAGGCCTTCAGAACACTTACATCTTCACCAACAGTAACCGCTTCAGGGTATAGCCCATGAATCATATCATTTACCAGCATCAGATAAGTCACAGCATCCACATCAGTTTCCAATCCAAAGTACTCAGTGTAGTTCCCAGTAAATCCGACCTATCCAAAACCCAAAGAAAATAGAAGGCCAACAAACCAATGTCAGGCAAGCGTAAAAGCTGAAACAAAAACTGGACAGGAACATGAAAAACCGCAAACAGTTTCTACAGTCGAAAAGGTTGAAGTACCGAGAGTCCATGATGAGTATACATCATTGAGGTAACACCATCAAATCTAAATCCATCAAATTTGTATTCTTCTAGCCACCACCGTGCATTTGAAAGAAGATATCGTAGTACCTGTTTAGAAAAATGAGTGTTAACTAAAGGTGCTCAAGGAAATTGTCTGTTCACAATATTTTGATTAAAATCCGGGAACAAGTTACATACTTCCCAGCTCCCATAATTGAAAAGACGTGAGTCCCACATCCAATGGTAACCCCGAGGACCAGAGTGGAAGTACTGAGCATCAGTTCCATCAAACATGTTCAGTCCATCCAACGTATTTTTTGAAGCATGGCTGCCGAATTTAGAGTCACAGTATTAAGTAACTTGTAAATAACTGATGCTCACTATGAACGATCTGATTGTTTGCATTCATGAAAACCTTCACTACCTATGAACGATATCCATCAGAACGAGCAGGCCTAACTCATGAGCTCTATCTATCAGTGATTTCAGTTCCTCTGGGGTCCCACAACGGCTGCTAGGGGCAAAAAAGTTTGTGACATGGTACCTGCATGGATGATAGAAACAGCCATGTTCTCAGTAAGGAAAAAAAATTAAGAATTGAGATCCCTATTCTACTAGCTTTTTGAAGAAACATATAGCATCATGGCACAAAAGACGTAGATATTTGCAGCTATGATTTAAGTGCAAGCAAATATCTAGGATTCTACTAGAGCTCAAGCAGGTAAGAAGAATACCCAAAACTGGCATAGTATGAATGTTCTTGTATAGCCATGATTTGAACAGCATTATAGCCAAGCCTTTTGATACGTGGAAGCACATCATCTCTGAAGTTAGCATAAGTATTGATCATTGGTTCCTGTATTACAAGTACAATATCATCATCCACATGATATAGACAATATTCCAGAAAATGGAGAAGTGCAAAAACCATCAGCACTGAAAAATATCCTGTTTATCTATAAATACTTTTCTGTTATTCTTCGTCAATGTCGTTATAGCCGAACAAAACAAATAAACATAGTGGCTTGTTGATACATTAAAACATAATTATTTAAGACGAAGAGGCAGACACACACCGTGCTACTCATGCCAACATGTGCCTCATAAATCCTCAGTGACTTAGGTCTCTTTGGTTGAGGATGTTTGAATACATACTTCTCCTGAAAATATTTTTAGAATCGTTACGGGGCAACCAAAATTACCAACTTATCTATAAATTTAAGGCAAGATAAGCTATATGATTTTTACCTCACAATACCAACTTATCTACAAATTTGAATCTTGAATAACTTCAGACTAGCACTGGCTCTATCGCTTTCCACAAGATAATAATTATAAAAAGGACTACAGAACCTTACCTCTTCTGGAGGATCATAGTATATTCCATTGAATGGGATTTCACCTGGAGCTTGTACCGAGAACTTGATCCAAGCAGGAATTGAATCTTTAATGCCAGATGGTGTATCCATTCGAATCTGGGGTTTTGTGTATCAGAAATTACGTTGTGTATCAGAAACAATGAGACCATCGCTTTATAAAAAAACATGCAACGGTTGATGAAGACAGAAGACAAATGAATCGACTTCTTATTACCTTTACACGTGAGCCATGGGGAATTGCAGGTGAACCATCAGAGTTGTTGGGCAAAAAGATCTCCCAAACACCAAATTCATTCTGTAAAAGATTTGATGAGATAGTCATCGATCAGAATTTACTACATGTTATATGAATTTACAAAGCATAAGGAATGCCATACCCGATTCATGATATCTGCATTAGGATTCCAGTTGTTGAAATCTCCAATAAGTGATGCAGACTGAAACAGGCGAGGACAGAAGTTATGAAGAAAACAACCAAAGTAGTAAAATATGCACACAGATAACAAAAAAACACATACAACCGAGAAGTACAAGTTGCCATATACATGCAACATGCTAAACATCCTAGAATCAGATTTCTTGAGCAAACCTAAATAGGTGCCGCCTACTTCTAATTCCACATAATACCACATGAAAAACATGTAATTTTAAACCACCTTCTCTTCTTTAGTATTAACATCCAATCACTCCTCCACAAGGCCAGTTTCATAATGATTAAACCACTTCTCAGATTTTCCAAAATCGGGCAGCAAGATTTTAACTGACAGTAATCCTCACAGGACTAGCTAAGCATTTCTACCACAGTGACTGTAGCAGAACATCCGAACCTTGTTCTATGACTAATATTTTCTTTGTTGGCGCAGATACAAATGCAAGGATTACTTCTACACTCTTGGATGAAGAAATTAGTAAAACAACAGAAAATGAAAAGAAACAAACCTTAGCTCCAGGCGCCCATTCTCTATAAGTTATACCAGCATCACTGAATTAAAAAATGAAAACAATTAGAAACACTTAATATGGCCTTAACATAATGCCAAAAGTCTCTAATAGCTTCAAGAAAGAGACAGATCGTATAAACTCAACTTTAGTTCGAAATAAGAGAGGGAGCAAACAGTTACCTGCGCAGAAATCCTAACTTTTCATAGCCACGGGAGAATGCCTCCAGGCCACCCTCATACTTGTCTATTTCCTCACGCAGTCTTCTATACTGGCCATAACTGCAGCCAACAAAAATGCAGGATACAAACTTGTATAGCAAATGTATAGTCATAGTAAATCTATAGCAAATGTATATCACAATGAAACGACTTGACGCACATAGGACGCAACATTTTTTTACCGGTAATCAAGATGGTTACTGTAACTCCGCAACATGGGGTCTATCTCATATATTCCCTGCCCATTACCAGGTGGTGGAACTATTCTTGGTTTCATCTCTTTCTCCTTGACAGCATTCTCGTTACTATAAGCTTTACTCGAATCAAAATCAGACGCTTGGTCTTCTGTTCCAACTGCTCCATTCTCTTCCATTGTTTGACTTCCTAGACTTAATATCTGCGCACAAGGACAAATACTTGGTTTCATGTTAAAAGATCTACAAATCTGTAATGCACAACAAGGTTCAATCTCTAATAGTATACATATAACTCACAGATTAAAGAGCACAGTTGACAAGAGATATCCACCTGTGATTCTTCTGAAAAGCTGCTGGGACCTTGTAGTAGCTCATCAGTCACCAATGAAGCACCATCATCAAGATTATCAGGTACCAAGACTTTCTTTGACGCAGAGGGAGCTCGTGACTTAGAATCAAACTCCGCAGATTGATTCCCAGCAAAGATCTTCCCTACAGACATGGATCTAATCAAGACATGGACGCAGCTGGTCTCAATTCGAAAAATACTGGTTCCAAACATCATTACAGTTCATGAAGCTAGTCCAATCACGAAATTTGCAATTATAAAACTCAGTACAACAATGGCGTCGGAGAGCAAAGCAACAAAGGGGATAGATGGAGAGAGAATAGAGAGAGAGAAACAAGCTTACGAGTGCGAGAGTGCTTCTTCGGGAAGAAAGAGACGCTGAAATTTCGATTGAAGTCGATGTTGATAGGTCGCGCAGAGGAAGAAGAAGAAGAAGGAAGGGGAAGAGGGAAGCGTGAGACGACAACACCTGGAGTCACAGACACTCCATGAACCACCACCATATCCCCTCGCCTTCTTCGCTTTCTCCGGCGATTCCTAGAGACGGAAAAAACACGCCCCAAATTGGGAAGAGAGAGAGCAGAGATCTGGAAGAGACGAGCGAAATCAAATGAGTGGCGGGGTTTGCTATGTTCCTTTTTTTGTTTATTTGCTGATGATTTTGGTAATTTTGTGATTGCGAAACGAATGAAGCGATTGCTTAGATATTCAGTGTGGAGTGGGGTCCACACTGTGATCACATTTCACAATTCCCCATCGTCCATTTCACTTTTCCTTCATCCCAAAATTTCCTTTTTTCTAAACTATTATAATTATTAATATTTTGTAAATTTTAACGGTCCAGATTTTATTTTGAACAAATATTGTGTCGCGAAACCATGGCGAGGCTAACCACGTCATATTTTTCCACACTCTCCTTTTTAGCGAGACAAATGCATGTACATGTTTACATTCACGAGATAGTCTAGACACAAAATAAATAAACAAAAACATTTTCAAAAACAGTAATTAACTGGTAATTTTATCAATAAGTTTATACAAAAAAAAAAATAGTTCCGTTAACTTTAAAAAACATATTTGAAAATTGATTGGGCTCAGCATTTTGCGATATCCTCCACGACTTACAAGGCAACAAAACGTTACAAAAACGTACGTTACTTTTTTTTAACAAAAGCATGTTTTCTCTCTCTTCCTTGCACGTTGCAACATGTTTATCTTTGAAATTTGGGTATCCTTCCATATACCAACAAGAAAGTGTAGACTCTGCCGTTATAAAAAAAAAAAAGTGTAGACTCTGATTTAACCTAATTGCTGATTTGTTGTCTCCATATCCAATTTGCGAGAGTGTAGTGTATTTCCAAGTTAGTTACTTTTTTTTTGTTTAAGCCCTTTAACAAAAAAAGCTGATATTGAAAAGTTAAAACCAAACAATATTTTATGTTTGTGATCTGTCATGGTGGTTTTTATTCGCTCAAATGAAATTCAGACGATCAAAAGAAAACCAAATAATTCAGCTTCGTTTAAACATTAGGAAACAAAAATATATATAATAAACTCAAAAAAGTGACTGTGTAACTTAAACGACACCAGCAAGAGTTCTACGAAAGCTGTTAAATAGTAACACTTAAGCTTCTTCATCTCTGTCTTTATCTTCTCCTCTAGAATAACTCAAATTCAAGGTGTTCCCCAACTGCCTTACAATCCAAGTAATTGCTTTTCCCTTCCTGATTCGGAACTCCGTAGTCATAAAAATCCGGAAGCTCAGGCGGGATCGCACACCGGATCAAAGCCCAGTTCAAGCCTTCGAAGAACGCATGCCGTTTTATCTCCGCCGCTCCTTTCTCTGTCCCTAACCGGTTCTCGGGTTCCTTGACCAACAAGCCTCTGATCAGATCCTTAGCCTGGAAACTCACATTAGGGTTATCAGGAAACTTCAAGCTCTGAAGCACCACATTAGCTATAGTCTCCTCATTAGTAGCCCCTTTGAACGGAGTTTTACCGTAAAGCAACTCATACAGAAAGATCCCAAACGTCCACCAGTCAACAGCCGCACCGTGACCTTCGCCTTTAATGATCTCCGGCGCGAGATACTCGTGTGTCCCGACAAAAGAGTTTGATCTTGCATCAGTCGGTTCCGCCACGAGCTGAGGCAACGATTTGAACCGCGCGATAAGGTCGGATTTCTTGAGTTTCTTCATCGTTATGCGGTGTTGCTTGCCTTTCTTCTTGGCTCCAGATCCGCGGGAGAGTTTCGGGCGGAAACACGATGGTTCAATGCAGTTAGATCCGGTTCCACTACCTGAAGAGAGCCTCATCGCATCCCCGTGAAGCGGAGATGATGAGTTTAAAAGCGTTGGGCTCACTGTACACCTCAAGGACAGATCGAAATCAGTCACCATAATGTGTCCATCATCGCGTACCAAAATGTTTTCAGGCTTCAAATCGCGATAAATCACCCCAAGCATATGCAAATACTCCAATGCGAGAAGCACCTCTGCAACATAGAACCTGAAAAAAATGGGATTCACATCACAAATCATAACGTACAAAAGAAGTTAACCACTGAATGTAAGAAGCAAAGTACCTAGCCGCTGGCTCAGGAAACCATCTTCCTGGCTGCTTCTGCCTTAGGACATGTAAATCGCCTCCAGGACAACATTCCATGACCAAACACGATAAGTTATCTGAAGTGAAGTGAGCGTATAACGTTGGAAGAAACGGGTGATCGAGCATTTTGAGAATATCTTTCTCGGTTTGAGCCCTAGACATCTTGTTCCTTCTCTCCAAGAACTCATTATCCATCACTTTTATAGCGAACAAGCAGTTTGTTCCCGTGAGCTCAGCGAGATAAACCGTTCCTATATCTCCACAACCTAGCTTCTTCAAGAGATTGAAATGCCTGAGACCCAATGAACCTAGCCCATGTTGTGCCCTTATATGCTGAATAGCTTCCCATCTTACATCTTTAGACATGTGAGGCCTGTTTCCAAAGCTAGACCTTGTCATTATGTTATTCCTCTGTTCTTGTTCTTCCTCGCTTATACTCGTACTTGAGCTGTTGTATCCGATACATTCCCCGCCTTTGTTTTTGATTCCAGAGTTCTCGTTGACATCTTCAATGACTGCTCCGTCTAAGGTGAGTTTGCTTGGAGGACTATCTGGATTCATCACGACAGATTTCTCACTGAAAGAACCAATCTCCGCACTCTGTTCTGACATAAAGACAGAATCTTTCTGATCAACTTCTTTACCGGATATAGAATCTTCCTCAATGATCTCATTGTTGCCATATTCACGAACATCTTCTATGTTTTTACCACCGAATGTTGATGCTAGAGAAACCTGAGAGGTCTCTGAATTCATCAAATCCAGAGAGCTTCTTATCTTACCAAGTTTGGTCTCTGCATTAGCACTGATCTCAAGAGAGCTCTCATAGCTTGAGCTGGAGAAATCAGAAACCAATTCATCTAAGCAACCTTCCTTAACACACGGATTCGGCTCCTGCTCTGCTGCTACAGGTGAATCTTTAGAGGGATCTTCTTTAGCTGCAGTGTTCTTCAAAGCGAAATGGCATCTATGGCAGAGAAGTTCCTTTGCAATGGGGTCATAGAAGCCATCTACCTCATCATAGACATCTGTAGCTTTCTTCTTCAAGGAACCTTTGCTCCTCAGTGCCGGTTTAGCTCCTCCGCCACGTGGAATGGTTCTGGTCAACTTAGCCACTCTCTTCCCGTTGACTATGGTAGAACTCGGTGTATTAGCATACAACAGCCTCACTTTTCTAACTGATTTCAGTCCGACCACTGTCTTGTTGTTGCCTGATCCGGGCGATGATGAACCGAAGCTCCTCTTCGCCATACTCAACTCCGCGTCGTCAAGAGACCAGTTCTTGTCTTTCTTTAGCACCATCTCGTCGCAATACCGCTTTGATGTATGAGAGCTTTGGCTCGCAGAATGTATCTTAAGAAGACGAAGCTGCTGCGATATACTCTCTGTTGAACTGCTCTGAGCCTCGTCGAGTAACTCAACAAGAACCGCGTTTCCTTCTTCGTTAGCTCCACTTCCTGGTTCAACCAAAACCGAACCATAACTCTTAGGAGTCCGTTTGCTAGCTGCGGTTTCCGATGCCTTAGTGACGCATAAGTCTCTCAAAGCCTGTTTCAATGTCGCCGGTTCTGCGTTTCTCTTGCTCGGCGATCGAGGTCCGGCGAGATTCGCGGGACTTTTCAGGGCGTTACGCTGTAAAGGAGTGTTGTTCCTACTGCTACTGCTTGCACCAACTTGGTAAGAAGGAATCATACCGGATGTTCGAATGCTTATAGACTCGAAAAGTTGGTTGATATCATCTTCTAGTGAACCTCTGTAACCTAATTTCAGTACCGGTCGCTCCAGATCCTTGTCGTCAACAAGGCTTGATCCAGAATGTGGAATAGTTGTTGATCTCGCTGAATAAACGTTCGAGTTTTGACGGTCTTCTTTCTCTTCTTCAATTTCACACTTTCCAGCAAATGAACCCATACCCTTAAAAGCTCAGTCACATAGCATTTTAGTAACCGCGAAGATGCGTGTAGGCTAAACCGGTGTATACATCTTTTGATCCAAAACACACCTGAGATTATCTTCACAGATCAAATAGAAGGGATCAAAACTGTGCCTGATGAATTTATATACAAAGAACACAGAATCATAGCAGAACAGAGGAGTTTGATAAGAAAAAGCAGTGTTCTAAAATACGGTCAATACGGCCGGATATACGCTATACGACCGTATATGCAGTCAATATGACCGTATTTTAGAACACTAAAAAAGTCAGCAGTTTAATTTTGAAAAAGAATTGGATCAATGACTTGAGGAAGATTACAGACTAGCTTAACCTATGAAACAGTCATATGTCTGGAGAATCTGGTTCCACAATGTCTCCATAGAGATCAGTTGAAATTTTAAAAAGGAAGGATTTTTTTCTAAGAAATATAATTCATCAACAAACAAAATTCATTCTTTTCTGTGTTATAATATTTAGTTTTAATTGATGATGAATCTCTTTACTCGTGTTCATATGATTTTACTTTTTTTTTTCTTCAGTGATAGTAAAACAGACATGTATTATTGCATAACAACAACCCAGAACAGCAAAAAAAAAAAAAAAAAAAAAAAAAAAAAAAGAGGAAGGTGATACTAGAATGCCATCATCTTGATTCATCAATGAACAGAGAGTAAGACAGTACCTGGATAGACTACTGAAGAAATCTATGAAGATAATTGACGAAACAGAGAGACAAGAAAAAGCTGTAGTTTCTTCTTCTGTCTCTTCTCTCTTTTCTTTTGTTGGGTTTTTTGTCGGTATTTTTTTGAAGAGGTTTCACAAGGATTCTGCATTTTTCTGGGCAGTTTGGAGAACAAAAGATGGGACCCAGATCAGATGTTTGTGGGTCTCATGTAACAACGAAATTAATAAATATTTTGATTAATTCGATGGGAGACTATTGACATGTTGGTCACTACTGATTTTTGGCGCGTCCAATTCGTTGACGTGTGTCTCGGGAATTTTAATCTGTTTTAGTAGATTATGACCACCATGTCACTACGCAATGAAAATTGAAGATTTTCATCTGGATATTATTTTTCTTTGGTACCATAATTGATTTATCAGGCTGTACATTAATATTACAAGCTTCATAAGAAATGATTAATCCTTTTCCAGAAAAGGCGATAATGATGGACCTAATGTCCATTTGACAATAATGCTGGTCTTTCATCACGGTATGTCTAGAAAGATAATTTAATACAAATCACTTCGCTCGAGGAAACTAAATGTTTTTCTATTGAATGTTCAAAAGTTACAAACAATACTAACTTAGAGTTTTCTCAAGGCCCCAGCTTGTTTTTAAAGCATATCAGAGTTTTCTTAAAGCTTAAAATGTTCGGAAATCCAGGAAGATATAAAAAGGAACTGGCCATCGATAAATAGTTTAATGTTATACTTTTTATATTAATAAGGGTGGTCATCGTCATTTTTAGGTACGTCCTAGATCATCAAAGCGCCCGATTAATGCTAGAAACGTATATACTTTTTTCATAAAAAGTTTTGTATGGAGTCACATCCTCACGTAAAGTTATAGACTGAAAATTTTAAATTTGGTTTAAATTTTGTAATGTATGTTTCATATGTTATATGTGTGTTCTAATTCTAAGAAGCAGGTAGAGACGATAACGAATTATGAAACTGTTACTCATATAGTATTTTATTGCTAGAAATGTAAAAAAGATTTTTACAACAATATGCAATACTTTCTGTCTCTTTTGGTAATTACAAAATTTCTCAGAAATCTGACAGATCGAGCCGGCCCATTAACATAAGCCCATCAATTCGACAACCATGGATATACTTGTTTTTTTCCAGTTTTTTCTTCTTATTCTTACAAGATTGATCAAAGATTAATTTTAATCCATAATTCTAAAGTTAAATTTCCAATTTTAATAACTGATAAATTTTAAAATATAGTAATTAATCATATATAACTAACTAGTAATTGTAATGGGAAAATGAGTAATGAGAGAAAGTAATATATTTATAACTAACTAGTAATTGTCTCTTCATTTGTCTAAAAAATTACAGAAAATCATCTTATTAGCAATAGAGGAAATATAAACCTTACTAAATTACTAATTGCTAGATTACACAAATTCCAGTGAACCCAACAACTCCTTTATTCGCCAATTTGCGTGGTGGTTGCTGAATCCACAAATTCCAGTGATGAGATTCCTTTTATATATTCTTTGAATAAAAAACCTTCAAATCTGAAAGGTGTCAAATCAATAAACCGGTCGTACCGGAATGTAAAACTGAATGTCCGTTTCACATCCGGCTGATCTGCCACGTGTAATATAAAAAGACCGGGTCAAGAATGTTAGACGGCTGACTTGAATTTAATTTTGATTTCTCCACAAATTAGGATATCTAACGGCTTAAATTGGGCCGCGTGTCAAGATTCCTTCTAGACCGGACAGGTTCCCTATATAAACTCCTGACCCAATCACATTTTTCGGATCCGAAAGGAAAGAAAAAGACACAAATCAAAAAAAAAAAGAATAACGATTTTGATCGCATCAATGGCGGAAGAGAAGAGCTTCAAGTATGTGATCGTCGGAGGTGGTGTCTCCGCCGTAAGTCTCCGTTCTTCTCGTTTCGCTTTTGATTGGATTTGTGTTCTCTCTCTGTTGGCTTACGAAACATCACTCTGTACTGCTCAGTGCTCACTGTTTCGCTTTGGGATCCGCACCTTTACTTTCTTATTATATAATCATTAAACTTGTTTTTCCTGTCGTACGAAGTAGTTTCTGTGGTTGATCGTATCTCTAGATTTATTGATTTTCCTGATCCAGAAGAAGTAGGATGTAGAAGACGACAATTGAGCTACGACTGTTGTACGGACGACTCCGAATTTTCACTTTTCATCCATTTTTTTCTTTTCTTTTCTCATTGTTGTTTTCTGGTGTTCTTGAATCGCAGGGATACGCGGCGAGAGAGTTCTCTAAGCAAGGTCTCAAGCCCGGTGAGCTTGCAATCATTTCCAGGGAACAAGTAAGATTCTTAGATATATAAATGATTCTAGGCTAGTTTGTGGATTCTTGTTTTGCTTCTTTGTGATTAATAATTTTGGTAATTATGTGTTAAAACAGGTGCCTCCATATGAACGTCCTGCACTTAGCAAGGGATATATCAACCTCGAGAGTAATATTTCTCCTCTCACATAGATCAATTTTGGGTTTTGGCTGAGTCCGTGTTCGGTTCTAAATGAGATTATTTGTTCTAATGGTACACAGATAAAGCTACACTCCCGGGTTTCTATGTCTGTGCTGGAAGTGGGGGAGAGAAACAGCTGCCTCAATGGTACAAAGAGAACGGTGGGTTCCCCTTTCGTGTCTGATTTTAAGCGCTTTGATAACAACACACATTCTCTTTACTCACTGCTTATACTGTTGCAGGGATCGAGCTGCTTCTGGACACAGAGATCGTCAAAGCAGATCTTGCTGCAAAGACTCTCGTCACTGGCACTGGACAAGTCTTCAAGTACCAAACTCTCCTAGCTGCAACTGGTTCTTCCGTGAGCACAACAACATCCCCACTCTTGTTTGGAAGTTTCAGTCCGTACCTCTTCTCGCATTTCCTCTAAGGAAGCCCTTAAAAATTGTGCAGGTCACAAGGCTGTCAGATTTTGGCGTCCAAGGCGCAGATGCTAAGAATATCTTCTACCTAAGAGAACTTGGCGATGCTGATGAACTCGTGAACGCAATGAACGCAAAGAAGAACGGAAAAGCTGTGGTTGTTGGTGGCGGTTACATCGGTCTTGAACTCGGTTCTGCTCTCAAGGTCAACAACCTCGAAGTTACAATGGTTTATCCAGAGCCTTGGTGCAGTAAGTGGATACTTTAAGCCAAAAAATCCACTAACAGTGAAATCTCATTCCTCTTCAATTGCTTAACATCTTTCCTTTTTGTTGTGTCTTTGAAAAGTGCCTCGGCTTTTCACCGCCGGCATTGCTTCGTTCTACGAGGGTTACTACGCCAACAAAGGAATCAACATTGTCAAAGGCACCGTTGCAGCCGGTTTCAGCACCAACTCAGATGGAGAGGTTAGCTATTAATCTCACCACTCAAACTTCACAACAGCAGTTTTTTTTTCCACCCTGCTGATTTAACAATAAGAATTGCTCTTTTGCTTTATGATGCAGGTCACTGAGGTGAAACTGAAGGACGGAAGAACGTTAAAGGCTGACATAGTGATCGTAGGTGTCGGTGCTAGACCTATCATATCACTCTTCAAAGGCCAAGTTGAAGAGGAGAAGGGTGGTTTGAAGGTTTTGACACTTTCACAAAGTTACAATATTCCATTTGCTGGTAAAGTTTTATATTGTAAACTCATGAGATGTTTCTTCGAATGCAGACTGATGCATTCTTCAAAACAAGCGTCCCGGACGTGTACGCCATTGGTGATATAGCCACCTTCCCAATGAAACTCTACAACGAAATGAGACGTGTTGAACACGTTGACCATGCTCGCAAATCCGCTGAACAGGCTGTTAAGGTAAGAAAAAAACGATAACACGAATGAGTTCTTCAAAAATCCATATTGAATTCAATTGGTATGGTTTTGCAGGCGATCAAAGCTGCTGAAGAAGGGAAGTCGATTCCTGAATATGATTATCTTCCATACTTCTATTCTCGAGCCTTTGATCTCTCGTGGCAATTCTATGGCGACAACGTTGGAGAAACCGTATTGTTTGGAGACAATGACCCGAAGTCGCCTAAGCCGAAGTTCGGGAGCTACTGGATCAAAGAAGGGAAATTGATTGGAGTGTTTTTGGAAGGTGGAACTCCTGAAGAGAACAAGGCTATTGCTAAGGTTGCACGAGTACAGCCTTCTGTTGAGAGCCTTGACGTGTTGTCTAAGAAAGGTCTTTCCTTCGTCAGCACGATATAAAAAAGGAACAACAAATTGCTGCTGCTCGGTTCTGACTTCTGTTCTCTTTTAGTGTGAGTTGTCGCTACTACAAAAAAAGTCCTCATTTCGCTTTTTGGTTTATTTGGTTGGTTCGGATTGTTTGGTTTAGAAATAAAACTTGAAATCTATCCGGTTGACTAAAAAGAAATTGATAAGATCAAAACAAATTAGAATATTAACATAAAGCCAAAGCCATAACCAATACATTAAAGTAAAGTATGCTGTATCAAATTATCGCAAATATTAAATCACCGTGTATGGTATTGTCTCCATATTTGTAGGTAGAGTCTGAATAATAGTGAATCTGTCCTCTTATGGGTGCAAATATATGATTGTCTTGTCTTTTTTGTGTGATCAGGTGAAAGACACACCAATTGATGAGTTGGTGAACTTTGTAATTGCTCTTCAATTAGCTGAAAAATATGTTGTTCCAGTAAATAGTGAGTGTTCTTCAAAGAGTTGGAGATTATATGAGAGATTTGGTATTTGGTTGTTGTTGTCCATATGCTTTTTCTAAATTTCAATTTCAGCCATTGAATGACACAACTTAGACCAATAAATACATAAAAATCGATCAATCAATTAATGACAATGTAACTTTTAATCATCACATCTAACACTTTGCATCTTCAAATCGAAGCAACTAGCATTGAACATGGGAGCACTATTTGCACAAAGTTGGCACTTCAAATTATAAATGCTAATAAGAAAATGTTTGCAATGGGATTGACTGATCGGCTGATTGGTATTTAGAGTCTAATTGGATTTAGAGTCTAATTGGTATGATTCGTGATACTGTCTTGTAAACTCTTATTTATTTCAATACTACTTTTGATTTCAATACTAAGAAATTGGTATTATTGATATTTGCTTTTCTAATTCTTTTGGACGTTTAATATTTGATTTAATGTGTTAAGATTTATATAGAAAAGCGATAAACAATGAACAACCAAACGTATTTAAACTGAATAAAATGAAGTCTAAGATGAATCAGTAAACCTGCTACTGAATTTTATAAAACAGAAGTTTAATAAAATTTCAAAAGACCACTAGAGTGAGGTAAATATAGTTCAATTATTAATTTTCTGATAATCTCAAATGTTATTACCAAAAAGAGCCCAGTTGTAAACTGTGTAAGGATCAGATGCAATTGGAGGGGGGAGGGAAGACAGATTTAGCTGAGATGGATATGCTGTGCAATATTTATAAGCACACAACGAAGATCCAAGAAGAATGAATTCCTAGGATGATGATGTTCCTTTCAAATGATGATTTTTTTCACAGATGAGCTTGCCCATGATTTAACAATGGTGGTTGGTGGTGGATTTACAGTTTTAACTGAATTACTTGAGGGTGTCGAGAGAAATGATATGTATCAACCACTAGAGTAAGGTAAAGATAGTTTTTCGTAGTGTTTTTTTTTATCGTAACCTCGCAATCAATTTCTTCTATCTGCAAGAACAAGTTGTCACTTGTCCGTTATAATAGTGTAGTATATTGATCTCTTGTTGACTTTGATAATGAATATTATTTGATCCTAATGCGAGCCTTTTCGGACAGGGGCTTTTTTATCACTTATTTACTTACTGGGGACTTATTTGATATAATCTCAGTTACGGGGGATAATATAATAATTTGTATCTTTATGCAAACGACGATGTTCATCTGTTGAATTGTTTTCATATCAGATGGTGAAATTTGTATTTTTGTTGTCCCGGATGGTGAAATTGTTGACCTGTGGTCTCCACTATCTATCTTCAGGGAGTGATTATAAGTTATGGTGTAGTATCTGTCTTACCCGCACTAGCTTGCAGAAGGAGTATAATCAAGGAGTACTCTTGACCAAGGGAATGTACAACTTCGCTTCCTTCTTCTTAAGCGTTCCCAGGAGATGGGTCTCTTCTGGCTATCTCTAAGTTCAGCTTATGATTTATTACTCCGCAGCAAAGTTTATTTTGTCTTTTTTTTTTTAATGAATTTAAACCTATCGGCCTCTGCATGATTCTTGCCTCTACAACACTAATAGGAAAAGAAGACTAAAAACATAAAAACAAAAGCAATGATTAAAAGAGTTATTGCATGTTTTAAGGGTAATCGTTATTCGACAAAAACAGGAGAATCGGACTTCTCACAAGATGCCCTCTTGAATCATCCCATTCCACAGAAGCCGACATAATCCCTCTCATCGTCTCTGCCCAAACTCCATCAACCAAAACCTTAAAATTCCTCTTCTCTCCAGGCTTCTTAAAACTCATAACCCTAGGCACAACCTCCACTCTGAATCCCTTCGGTGCCCAAACCCTAGCCACGTAGGTCGACGGTCCGTACCCTACATTCCTCACCGTCCTGTAAAAAACCTCTGACACTTTGGTCTCCGTGAAACTCACTTGCTTATGCATCGACGGATAGTTTAACCCGTCGGATCCTAACACTCGCTTGTGATCCACACATCTGTATTCCTTCCTCGTCTTGTTGTTACCGCCGAGTAAACGTCCGATGCTTGTGCTATTATATCCTTCTTTGCAGAGGAATTCTAGGTAAGAGCCTTCAGTGATGTCGTAGACTAGACCCGGGTGAATCGCTCTTCTCGGGTTAATTTGACCCGACCCGTAACTTAGCTCCGCTTCGTCGCCTTTGATTCTCATTGGAGTAGCTGTAATGGATTGGAAATCTTAATACTTTGAAGAACATTTGGAAATATTGTTTGCTTGATGGTTTAGTTGATAACTATTACCTGTTGTCATTAGTGCGGATTTGATTGCGGCGGGAGACCAATCAGGATGGAATGATTTGACATAAGCTGCTGCAGCTGCTGCGTGAGGACAAGCCATTGATGTTCCTGACATTATGGAGTAAAGTGTTTGTCTTTTGTCGTCTGCATAATCAGTTATCGTTGCTAGCTTCGAGTATGCCGCGAGAATGTTTAGTCCGGGCGCTGAAATATCAGGCTGTCGAAATAAAGGGGCTCAAATGGAATCACTTGGATGCAAAGAGATAGATAGACAGATAGAGAGAAGACAAACCTTGAGAATGTTGGGGCTGATTCTTTGAGGTCCTCTTGCTGAGAAGGAAGTAATCGAAGGAGCTAACATTTTGATTGTTTGCGTCTTAAAGATAACGGCCTGTGGATTTCTGTTAAGGTGGATGTGTGAGGAACAAGAGCAACAGAAGTACAGTAAGAAGAGAGACACAAGGAGAGAGAGATGAGATTGAATTACTTGGTGGAGTTGATGTACTCAGAGATCTTTGTACCGTCTTGGAAGAAGACATAAGAGCCAGAAATGAGAGTTGAAATGGCCATATCAGTCGGTTCTTGAAGTTGAACGATCACGCCAGCTCCTTTTAGGGTTCTCACAATATGGTCTTGACCTCTACTGCCTCCTCCTTCTTCACGTCCTGCTTCACAGTAGACTACCTTCCCCATCACTTTATCTTCCCCCAGTGTCCCGGCTTCACAAGTACTGCATCATCAGTTCACAACCGCTTCAAAACAATCCAAGACTATGAAAAACCGAGCAAGAATTAGTACTTTTGCTCTGTCCTTGAGATTTACCTGGGCTCGCCATAGCCCCCTGCAGATACGTTAGACGCAAGCAAACCGCTCGTTAGAGGATACATTTTCTTCCTGGGAGAGAATCCGTTTAGAGAGATCCCCTGCAAATATTAAAAAATAAGAGAGATCTTTGAACTGCTAGTGTTAACTTGTAGTACAAGCAAGACAGATACAACTTCAAATTCTTACAGATGCGGTGAGGCCATTTCCGAGTTTGACCACAGTCTGAAACTTCCGGTCGATTGAGTTAGCAGCGACGGTCATTACCCAAGGGGCAAGGTTGGAGACCGTAAAGAGATCGGGACCATTGTTGCCTGCGGAACACGTCGTCAAGATCCCTCTCTTCATAGCGTGAAACGCTCCGATCGCAATTGGATCTTTGAAAAACGGAAGTGAGTCTCCTCCGATAGAAACCGATATTACATCGACTCCATCAGAGATCGCCTCGTCGAATGCCGCCAACATGTCCATGTCTGAACATCCTTCTTCCCAGCACACCTTAAATTTGAAAACAGAGCTTAACTGTATTAGAGAGATTCCTTCTGCTCCAAGAAAACAAAGTAACAATTGAAAGCAAAAGACCAAACGAACCTTATAAGTGGCTATTCTAGCTGAAGGAACACCGCCTCGAGCTGTGCCGTTTGCAATTCCGAAAAGGCTAGCGTCTGAGACAGAAACACCAGCGATTGTAGAAGATACGTGAGTCCCATGACCATCATAATCCGCGGCTGTTTGTCCATCGCTATCGAAAAAACTCTCTAGTAGATGAAAGAACTTTGCGCCTATCACTTTGCTGATTCAACATAATACAAAACAAGATTCAGTTAGAAGAAAAAAGAAATAAAAAAAAACAGAGGAATAAGAAATGCAGAAACAGAGGAATAAGAAGATGGCGGAAACAGAGCATTTTGTACTTATTGCAATGAGTCAAGTTATTTCCAGTTACACATTTTCCTTTCCATTTAGCTGGAGGAGGGCCAAAGCCTTTGTCATCGAAGCTCGGTGAGTCAATATAGATTCCTTTTGACAAAAACAAAAAATTGTTATAAATCAGGTTTTATCGATATTTTTTTCCAGATTCGGATTTCAAGTTTACTAACCTGTGTCAAGAACTCCCACAATGATATTACTTTCTACAGCTATTCTTCTTTTGTATTTAGACTCTACAAATCCAAGAAAATCCCATGATCTTGTCGTGTGAAGCTGCCTTTGAGTGTTCTCAAACACCGATACAACTCCTTCTTCGCCTGCGCAGGAACAATCACAAAAACAAAATTCAGCTAACCACATCGAGATAAACAATCGCAAAAAAAATCATTTTTGTTACGTACGTGATAGCTTCTCTACTTCATGAGGAAAAAGTCTTGCCACAAATCCATCAATGTTCTTCCCATAACTATACATTTTAACTTCTCTCGCTTTGCTCTCACTGCAACAAACCAACAAAAATATAAAAAAATTGGTAAACTAATAGCGAATCTATGAGCAAGAACTGATTCTTACTCTCCGATCACTCTCAATAAAAGATCATGATGGTTTTCGGCGGCTTCAACATGAGACTTATCAGCTGCATCTCCCATGTACACAATGTAAGGCTATAAAGAAAGAGCAAAAAGGATGAATGAGTGATTCAGTCATTAAAAATCCATTTGATTGTTTCATCGTACCTAACACAAAATCCACTCTCTTCACTCTCACACTATTACCTTTCTCTTGACGATTTCATCTTCCGTGAGTGCTTTAAACGCGGTGTTAACAAGGTAAAAACAGAGTATAAACAACCGTAAACGCAGATTCTCAACCATCTTTGTAATATCTGAGTTTTTTGGTTTGAGAAGAATATCTACACTCTAATGTTAATTAACAAGGAGGACAATACTCGATAGCCACTTATCTTTTAAATCTCTCTTCTGTTGGCTAAGTCTCAGTATAATACTGAGATTCCTTTGGCTTGTTATTAGGATCTTGTTCCACCCTCATTTCTCGGTGTATTAAAATTTCTTTCTTTTTTCCCCTCTTTATGAATCTAAATATGATGCTAATTAATAATAGAAATGCAACAAGTTTAGAGATTTTATTAGTCGCACAACCTTTTAACACACAAAATAGAAACACAAATGAATGAAGAGATACTGAAAGACAGAGAAAGAACGAACACTGAGATTCAGAACAAGAAACCTAAAAAAAAGAGAAAAAGAAGAGTCTTATTCTCTGTTTTCTTCCGCTTCTCTCACGCTTTAAGCAAAGAAGCGGTAAGACTTTCACGTAAAACCGAGTAAACCGATCTCCATCCTTCTTCTGTAGGGTGACTTCCATCCCAAAAGAAAGCAGATTTAGGATCATCACATATCACATACTTCTTCACTCCCTTCTCATCCACACTTCCACAGTGATACTCGCTGCTCACGCCTACGCAACACGGCTTCAACGGACTCGCAAACTTCGTACTCCCTGCATTTCCACAAAACCAATCAATCAGCCTAAGAAAAAAAACAAACTTTATCTCTCTAGGATCAACAAAATACGATTTTTTTTTTTTAACCTGGATTAGCTCCTCTGTTCTTGAACACGGTCAAGAAAGCGTTGTAGAGATCAAGGATGATGAAAGTGGACTGCTTGGTCTCGTTGTTGAGCTTTGCCACGGCTTGTTGTAGTAAGCTGTTGTGAAGTTTCACTAACGCGTTTTGTGACTCGTTGCAACGCTGGAACGCGGAGGCAACGGTTATCCCGGGGAGGCAACCGAGTGGTTGCAGCGACGGTACTGCTATTTTCTTCACTCCTAAGGCGTGGATCCGCCTCAAGTTCACCTCTGTTTGATCCACCACTTGCTTGATGAATGCTGGAAAGTCCTGTGTAATGCAATTAAGGTAAGAAATAGATAAAACTCAATCGAAACAGAGTCATTGTTTTATTCTGGCTTACAGAGGCAGGGCGGTTTTGGGCGATGAAAGTGGAGTAATCGTTGCCGGCGACACTGACGAGAGAGACGGAGGAACCAAGGTCGGAGGGAGAGTAGATGTCGCCGGCGGTGAGAATCTTCTGGAAGAAATCGATCTGAGTGGTCATGTTGGGCAATGGAACCTGAGTGTTGAATACCCCTGTTCCTCCATACGCAAAATTCATACCGTACTGTAACCGTTTCTTTCCCGCGTAATCTTTCCAGAAGAATGGGATTGGTGACTTTATTCCCACGAATTTTGCTGTAAAAAAATAAATTGAAGTGTTTTCATTGAGAAAGAGAATTTTTTATCCACACGAACATAATCGAAAATCCATGCTTATTAATTTATCTATAAAATTATGGTCACTTTTGTTGTGAATTTAGAGATTAATAGTGTTAAGTATAAGGACTGTGACAGCGCATATGTTAATGTTTAGCTTTATAGTCTTTGTTATATAATAATATTAAGATGGATAAAAGAGAAAAGAAGCATGAACTGTCTTTGCTTTGTTGATGCTTAGTGGTAGTGGCTATGATGCGATTATTAAACACAGAACACTAAAAATTAAAAAGTGTACCTTTAGAAAAAGTTATACAAAAGAACACCGAATGACCGAATGGCGAATACTATGAATGCAAAATACATAATTTAACTATTTTATTTTATTTTTGACAACAAAAGACATAAATAGACTATATAATTGTGATATAGGCTCTAATATATATGAGACCTCTATATACATATATATCATATTTGTTAGTGTGACCCTTACTAATGTACTACTGTTAGTTAACTGTTAATAATTTATTATACATTATGGTCACAAATGCTGATATCCTAACAAATAAAAGTCTATTTATAGGAATGTTTTTTTTATCATAAATACAACTTTTTTTAACATATTCATAAATACAACTTTGTATCTGTTTAAGTTGTCTCGATTCGCAAAGTATTTCTGGCTATTTATGAATTATAGGATGCTTGCGTTATATCAATATTAAATAACAAACGTCATAAAGAATATAAAAGATATATACTTCAAATATATATATAACTGAAATGTTTCAGACTGCCACGTCAGAAGAGAACATTGATCATCATACACACAGTACATTAAGGATTTGACGTTACTCCGACGACTTGTAAAATAATCGAAGTAGTTTCCGTTACCAACCAACCAACTACAAGAAAATAGAAATTACAATTACTCCTAATGTTATTCATCAAGACATAAACACGTATATATTGTCGTAATAATATGGTTTTTATTATAAGAAAAGATCCCAAAATAATTGAATTTTTTTGTTCGAAGGAATAATAGGTTTATTATATACCTACTAGTATACAACAAGAAAAATAAAAACAGTTTTTAAGATTAATATACAAAAAAGAAAGTGAAAAAACACTTTATTAAAAGCAAAGTACAACAAGAAGATGGCAAAAAAGCAAAGTGAGTCGCGCACTGGATTGTCACTAGACCACTCTTCCATCATCGTGTTTTGGACCTTATTTAATACGCGTCATCATTATTACACACATATATATACATTTACTGTATACATAGAATTAAATATGTAACACATGCGGTTGTAATTTAAAATGGGATTAAACATCGATTCGTTAGGTAGCTTCTTACACTAATCAATCATTTACCTATTTCCACATAATCTATACAATCAGGTATAATTTGTACCGTATTAACTCCTATATTTAAAGTCATTTACGTAACTACAGCAGAGGAGACTTTAGTTGGTTTAGTTAGTCAATAAAATTGATTAATAATTTGATTTAGAAAATATTTGAGACAATACAAACAAGATTGCTACTATATAGTTTAGAGGATTGTGAAGAGGAAGAGATACCTAGAAAATCAGTGGCGACGCGGCCGTCGGAAAAACGGCCGGCGGGTTTTCCGGGGAAAGTGATACCGTAAGGGAATTTCCAAGAATTAGAGAGAGATTTCTTAATGTTTCCGGTATCGGCATAAGAATCTCCGAACACAAACAGCTTCGTTGGTCTAAATCCGTACAAGCGATGGTTCTGATTTGAACCCTCTACTCCACTGATTTCTCCTGCACAAAAAAAAAATTTGGTTATAGAAACTTTTAAAAAAATTGGGGTATATGGGATTTAAGAATCCGTGGTGTGTAAATTTAATTACCAAAAAGGAGGGAAGTAAATAGTATGAGAGAGAGGGAGAAGAAGAGTTTGATCAAAGAATCCATTTTTCAGGATTCAGAGCAAAGACTTCTCTTTTAGTGACAAAAAGAAAGGAGACGAGAGAGAGAATAAGTGGAAGAGAGAAGATAGATTGAAATTGGATTGTATTCTCTCGATAATGTCTTTATGGCTTTATATATAGTGAGCCACTGCGATGTGAAACGACTACGATCTGGTCAACTTTTGTATCTTTTTTTGTGTGTTTTATTCAATTTCTGTTTTTCACCATTTGAGTTTATTATTAGTAAAAAGTATTTGTTTAGTGACTGAGTGTGATTGCTACGCAATTGGTGGAACAAGAGAGATAATAGTTTTAATTAGTATATACAGGCGTTATTTTAGTTTATTTCTTTTAGTAGTTAACAAATGTAACATGCCAATAAATATCAATTTAACATGTCAATTTTGAACATGTCAATTTTTTTGATAGGCGATATTTTATTTACTTCTTTTGAGCTATTTGGCTTCTTAGTCTCTTACTTTAAAAAGATTATGAACTCAACTACACTGTTTTCTGAAATTTAAAAGGATATTTTCTGGCATGTTAATAAGTAAACTGCTAACTACTAATAATATCTTAATTGGTCTATATAAAAACATTTGTTTTCTAAAAATATCGTGTATATTAGTCTAATTTCTAGAATAGTGCTCTCTCAACACCAAGGCTTCAGAAGGTTGGAAGCTTGGAGCTATATAAGTGTAATATTTGAATTTTAGATTATTATTCTTTTTTTGTTCAAGATCTCTTCTTGGTCTCCGACGTTCATATTTGAAGTCTTATTACTACGGTACGGCTAACAAGTCTTCTCTTCTTCGGCTTACTTTACCAAAATGCTAATATATATTTATTTTGAGGCAAGAAGACTTATCTACATTCTCTTAGTTTTCTATTTTTTTTTCTATCACACGCAACACTTCCAATTCGTAGGCGTGGCAATATTATAATTATAATTCTTTTTCTTTTAATTTTGTTTGATCATCGAGATTTTATATAACGTGGCGGCGTACAGAAACAAAGACTTTTCTTTTAATCCACGTCAAATGGCATATTGGCAACGTGCGGCACATCGCCCTTGATTATTGTCCCAACGAACGTGTTTACTGAATCCTCGTATGTTTATTAACTACCGGTGGGTTTTATTTTTATATATATTTTTTCAGGCTGTATAGTTTCGGAAAACCAGTAACGAATCAATATCTACCAAATACCATTACATATAGTTATTAATAAACATGAATCAGATCCAACGATAGAGAGAACAACTAAGGATATTAGAACACACTGAACTTTTGAAAGAGAAGCATTAAAAAGAGGTAATCAGCTAGAGTAAGATTTTTACGGTTCGGTTAAAGGATTCCCTAATACCGAGTAAACCGATCTCCATCCTTCTTGGGTAGGATGAGTTATATCCCAAAAGAAAGAAGACTTGGGATCATCACACAAAGTATACATTTTGGCACCTTTAGGATCCACACGCGCACAAGCGCCTTGGCAGCATGGCTCCAATGGGTTTTTAAACCTTTTGCTTCCTGCATGCATTTCGACAAAACCGATCACACAAATAATCACGGTTTAAAAATAATATAAAGATTATTCAAACGTGAAACTTATATAGTATGTTCCTTGGACTAACTGTCACCTTTGTTCTTCAAAATGGTCACGATCGATGATAAAGTAATGCTGCCCCTTCTTCTTAAGCCTAGAGTTTTCGTTAAGCTTGGCCACGACTTTTTTCAACGAATTGTTGTGGACTTTTACCAATTCGCTGTATGGCTCGTTGCAGCTCTTGTAAGAGGATGCAGAGGTGAAAAAGGGGCTGCATCCAATAGGCTGCAGCGATGTTATTGCTATCTTTTTAAATAGTAGACCGCCCATTAATATTATTCTAACGTATAAATCATCCACGACTTTCTCTATGAATGCTTTCAAATCCTGCATGCAAAGATAAGCAATGAATCATGCATCTCCCAACAAAGTAAAAGTATATAGTGGTTTCTTTCTTACAGCGGCAGGGCGGTTTTGGAGGATGAAATCAAAATAGTCGCCTCCGGCATAGCTAATGAAAGAGACGTCAGAGGGATAAATATCTTCCGGAGTGTAGACACGGCGGGCGAGGAGAAGGTCAGCCATGGAATTGACCTGAGCAGTCAAATTAGGGAATGGATCAGCCGTGAACACTCCAGACCCTCCGGACGCAAAATTCATCCCTCGATCCAATCTAAGTTTCTTTCTTCCGTGAGTTCTCCATTGATACGGCGTTTCTGCCCCCCAACGTTTTTGCTGCACGCATTCATCCACATGCACGGACGAGCACATGCAAGAGTTAGTTTTACGTAACATTCGATCGTTTCAATAAATATACTGATATAATACTATACGGAAAATTATATAAAAAAATGTTGGTTTATACTATTAATTAATAATAACATCGACTGAGAGATAGAGAGAGGAGATAAAAGACCTAGAAAATCGGTGGAGGTGAGACCATCAGAATAACGACCGGAAGGTTTACCGGGGAAAGTTATACCGTAAGGGGAGATCCAAGACTCTGCGTCGGGCTTCATGTTTCCGGTATCAGCGTAAGAATCTCCAAACACAAAGAGCTTCGGGACTTTTTTTGAACCCATTACTCCATTGATTCCTCCTGCACAAAAAAACAATCAAAAATCAAAGTCAAATTTTTGCCATATTAGGTTTCACAAAATCTGTCGTGATGAGAGCTAATAGATGATTGTAAATTACCAAAGTAGAGAGAAAAGGAGAGGAAGAGTTTCATCAGATAATACATTTTGAAGATCAGATTCTTCATCAAATGCTTCTCTTTTGTTTTTTCTTGTTATGAGGATCAGATTCAAAGGAATCGAGAGGAAAAAGAAAAGGATATGGAGAAGTGAGAACTTTGAGGATTGAGATTTAAATGTGTTCTCTTACTAATGTGGCTTTAAATTAGAAAAGAGTGACAAATAAAATGGAGCGAAAGTTGTGATGAGTATGTGGAGGAGAGAAATTTGAGGTTTGAATTTCGAAGTGTGTCATACTAACGTCCTTATATAGAGTATTATCATAAGTCCCTGTGAACTTGAGAATATTTGTTTGTTTGGAGTTAACTTATCGTTTTCCATCGTAAATCACTGTGAACTTGAGAATATTTGTTTATATTTGGTTAAAAAGGTTTTCAAAATTGAATTTCAGAAAAAAAGTTGTACGGCAGCCCAATTACAAGCCACTAGTGTTTTAACCCAAATATTTACTAGTGGGCTCGTTATATGTGCTTCAGCCTATCAAAAGCTTACAAAATGGCCACACTGATTTAAACGAAGTCCACTAGTGTTTTAATCCAAAAAAATTACTAGTGGGCTCGTAATATGGGCTTCAGCCTACCAAAAGCTTACAAAATGGCCACACTGATTTATACGAAGCCCACATTACCACAATTAATGGAAGTATTGAAAATGTTTTAAACGTCAATTACCCGCAGTCGAAATTGAAACTTTTGGTAGGCTACAGCCTATGTTACAAGCCCACTAGTAAAACTTTTGGGTTAAAGCACTAGTGGGCTTATAATTGGGCTGTTGTAAGACTATTTCTCTGAAATTCGATTTTGAAAACCTTTTTAACCAAATACATAAACATGTTCAATTTGTTGAAAATTTTACTTCCATTAATTGTGGTTTGAGCAATGTGGGCTTCGTTTAAATTAGTGTGGCCATTTTGTAAGCTTTTGGTAAGCTACAGCCTATGTTACAAGTCCACTACTAAAACTTTCGGGTTAAAGCACTAGTGGGCTTATAACTGGGCTGTTGTAGGACCATTTTCTGAATTTCGATTTTGAAAACTTTTTTAACCAAATACACGTTTTCAATTTCTTATGTTAAAATTTAAAGGAAGCCCACAGTGCTCAAATCACAACTGCTCAAACTACAATGAATGGATGTAAAGATTTTCAAGAAACTGAAAACGTTTAAACGTGATGTACCCGAAGTCGAAGAAATTAAACCACAGTCGTAATTTTGTTAAGAAGAACTGAAAAAATTTCCAATATGCATTTCCAATTTTGAGATCCAAAAAGTGATCTTTACCCTTTGGTGGACGTAGACTTGGTCAAAGGGTTGCCTAAAACCGAGTAAATCGATTTCCATCCTTCTTGCGTAGGGTTAAAGTCATCCCAGAAGAAAGCAGATTTAGGATCATCACATAAGCTATACTTCTTCGCACCTTTACTGTCAACATTTGCACAATCACCATCGCAGCACGGCTTCAACATGTCTTTAAACCTTGTGCTCCCTACACATTTCAACAAATTAAACCAGTTACAGGAAAAACTTTACAACTAGGATTTAGTATTGACAACTTAAGTGTAACTTTAGGGTTCTCGCCTTTTTTCTTCAAGACGGTCATGAAGGCCTTGTGGATATCAATGATGAAGAAATTGCGCTGCCCTTTCTTCCTAAGCCTGGCCTCTTCGTTGAGCTTAGCTACGACATTTTTCAACAATCTGTTGTGGAGTTCCACCAATTCGCTATATGACTCGTTGCAGCTCTTGAATGAGGATGCAGCGGTGTAATGTGGGATGCATCCAATCGGCTGCAGCGACGTTACGGCTATATTCTTAAATTTTAGGCCGTCCAATTTCCACAGGGTTTGCTTTATATCATCCACGATATACTGTACGAATGCTGGATAGGCCTGCTTGGCAGAAAATGAATAATCACCCAAAATAAAGTTATTCCTTTTTTTTTTCATTTGGTGTATGCATTTTACATTTTCAAAAGACAAAAACAAGAAACATTTTCTTTATTTAAATTTGATTTTCACATAGAGAAATTAACGTTTGAAACAACCGAAACCTTAGCATGCATGGCAGAAAAAGATAAAAAAAAAAAAAAAAATCTTCCTTACAGCGAACTTAGGGTTTTCGGCGATGTATCCAAAATAGTCGTTGCCGGAGTAGCTGAGAAGGGCGACGTCGGAGGAAGAAAGGTCGTCGTAAGTGTAGACACGGCCGGCGAGGAAAAGGTCAACCAAGAAACTGACCTGAATAGACATGTTGGTTGATTTTTCAGCCGGAGAATCATACACTCCTGACCCTCCAAACGCAAAATTCATTCCTCTGTTTAATTTAAGTTTGCTTCTCCCGTGAGTTCTCCATAGGTGTGGTGATTTTGCCCCCAACACTTTTGCTACACACATACATTAATTTTTTTTTTCATACCAAGTATTAATTTTTGATTCACTGACTAATAAGAAACAATATAGTAAGAATTTATCATTGGTTAATTTAGTTTACATTTATAACATTGATGGAGAACGAGAGAAAGAGGAGAAACCTAGAAAATCGGTGGCGATGAGGCCATCAGAATAACGGCCAGAAGGTTTACCGGGGAAAGTGAAACCGTAAGGGGATTTCCAAGACACTGCGCCGTGTCTCATGTTTCCGGTATCGGCGTAATTATCTCCGAACACAAACAGCTTTAGATTTTTATTTGGTTGGAAAACCTGATTTGAACCCATTACTTCATTGATTCCTCCTGCGCCAATTTTTTATTAAAAAAATAACAAAATCAAAATCCTAATTCGGCCTTATAGGTTCTACAGAATCCGTAGTGATGAAAGCTATTAGAGAGTTGTAAATTACCAAAGAAGAAAGAGACGCAGAGGAAGAGTTTCATTAGAGAATACATTTCAAGATCTAGAGTAATCTTAAAAGGTGTATATGACTTTTGTGCGTGTTTACTTTTTTGGTTAAGGGCAAAGAGAAATTTTGACAAAACAAAACAAAGGGGGAAACTTTAGGATCGAGAGTATGATGGGTTAAGGAGAGAATTTTGAGGATCGGAATTCAAGTGTGTCTTAATTTAGAGTAGCAACTTTAGTACATGCAATTTAGTTATGTACCATAAATTATTGAGTAAGATTAGTTTCGAAGATGCTTTACCGAAATATCTGAAGCTAATATGAAATAAAGGGATAAAGCCAAACTTAACTTTGCATGTATTTGAAATGATGAAACTGATGAAAATGCAAATTAGATTGCACACCCAAAAATGATCACAATCAAAATTGTTAGAGAAGTATACAAACGTAAGAGATTTTTTTTATTAGTCACAGTTTTCTTTCTTTATTCTTCATCAGAAGAAATCTAAAAATCTCCAATATTACATTTGAAAAGTGGTTTTATCCTTTGGTCAAAGGGTTGCCTAAAACCGAGTAAATCGATTTCCATCCTTCTTGGGTAGGGTTAACTTTATCCCAGAAGAAAGCAGACTTTGGATCATCACATAAGCTATACTTCTTCTCACCCTTACTATCCACAGTAGCACAATCACCTTCGCAGCACGGCTTCAATGGATTTCTAAACCTTCTTCTCCCTAAACCGTTCACACACAAAAACCTTTATTTTTTTTTAAAAAACACACACGGCTTTGTATTAAAGATCAAAAGTGATGAGACTTGTGTTGCTTGGGGTTTCTCACCTTTTTTCTTCAAGACGGTCATGAAGGCCTTGTGAATATCAATAATGAAGAAACTCTGCCCCTTCTTCCTAAGCCTAGCCTCTACGTTGAGCCTGCCCACGGCTACTTTCAACAACTTGTTGTGGAGTTCCACCAATTCGCTATATGACTCGTTGCAGCTTTGGAATTTGGACGCAGAGGTGAAATGTGGGAAGCATCCAATCGGCAGCAGCGAGGTAACTGCGATATTCTTAAATATGATTCCGTCCAATTTCAACAGACAATGCTTTATATCCTCCACGATAAGCGGTACGAACGCTTGGTACACCTGCATGCAAGATGCAACGAATGTAAAAGGAAATGATGAATATTGAATAATCATGCATCCATTTATTTTGTATTTGTATGTATATATATAGTGGAAAAGTTAGTTGTTTTACACGTAGGTCGTGTTTGGCGATGTATTCAAGATAGTCTTGGCCGGAGTAGGTGAGGACAGCGACGTCGGAGGAAGAAATGTCGTCGAAAGTGTAGACACGGCGGGCGACGAAAAGGTCAACCAAGAGATTGACCTGAGAAGACATGTTGGGCGATCGAACAACCGGAGAGGCACCATACACTATGGACCTTCCGAACGCAAAATTCATTCCTCTTTTTAGTCCTTTCTCTTTTCCCGTGAGTTCTATAGAGGTACGGTGGTTTTGCCCCTAACACTTTGGCTACACACATCCATCCACGAACGCACAAAATTGTTTTATTTAACGTATATCCGTTCCAATAAAACAATTATATAAAAAGTTGTCTTAGTAAACATAAGAAGGGGTAAAAACGAATAACTATAGTAATTTTTTAACGTATGAAAAAGTAGTAAAACATAAATTTAAATATTATAACGAGTGAGAGTATAACCTAGAAAATCGGTGGAAATTAGGCCATCAGAATACCGGCCGGAAGGTTTACCGGGGAAAGTTATACCGTAAGGAGATTTCCAAGACACTGCATCATGCTTCATGTTTCCAGTATCAGCGTAAGAATCTCCAAACACAAAGAGCTTCGGATCTTGGAAAAGCTGATCTGAACACTTAGCCCCATTTATTCCTCCTGCACAATATTTTTGTTAAAAAAAAATCAAAAAAAAAAAAAATTCATCAGATAACACATTTCAAGGTGACTGTCAGTTACCTAAGAAGAGAGCGAGTGAGAGGAATAATTTCATCAGATAACACATTTCAAGATTCAGAGCAAAGGCTACTTTTTGTTTGTTTGGCTAAGGACAAAAATAAAGCGAGTGAGGAAAGAGAGAGGATGTGGAGGAGAGAACTTTAAGGATCATAAGATTGAAGTTTTCTTACTTATATGTAGACCTAGTTGCCTTAAAATGAGTAACTCTATGTTTGTGTAGTGCGTGATTTGTAAAAGACTAGAGACGGACACTTAGACTAATAAGTAGATCGCATATAGAAGAGGCATGTATTCTTTTCATTTAAAGTATTTAATCAAAAAATTATTAGCCAAGGTCTTTCTTCTTTTAACACACAGTACAGAGAGAGAGAGAGAGAGAGAGAGGCACTATACCATAACCATGCAAACACAAATGAAAGAAGTTATACTCAAAATATGGAGAGATCGGTAACAGCTATGTAAGATTGAAGAAAACTTGAAATCTCAAACACATTTTGGTTTTTACGGTTTGATCAAAGACGCAGTTAGCGTTTTGCCTAACACAGAGTAAACAGATTCCCATCCTTGCTGAGTAGGGTGAAGTCCATCCCAGAAGAAAGCAGACTTAGGATCATCACATAAGCTATACTTCTTCTCACCCTTCTCGTCCACATTCGCACAACTTCCTTCGCAACACGGTTTCAACGGGGTTTCGAACCTCGTACTCCCTGCATTTCCACAAACAATCGATCACAGGAAAGCCTATAAACTATTTTTTATTAAGGATCAAACGTAAATATTAAAACTTTTTGTTACCTGGATTCTCTCCTTTGTTCTTGAAGATGGTCAAGAAGGCGTTATAGAAATCAATGATGGCGAAAGCCGAATGGTTGGTCTCGTTGTTGAGCTTGGCGACTACTTGCTGCAACAAGCTGTTATGGGCAGAAGATACTAATAAATATGAGAAAACGATATGTAATATCTATAATCTATATATATTATTACATGTTTTGTATGTTGGTATACAAACATTTTGTTCTGTATATTTATACACTCATTTCTATCTTGATAAAACCGAATTGCTCCAGGCTCCAGCATATTTGATCTGAATGCTCATGTTGGGACTCGAACTCTGAGTGTTGAACACTCCGGTTCCTCCGTACGCAAAATTCATTCCGTACCGTAACCGTTTATTTCCCGCGTAATCTTTCCACAGGTAAGGGATTGGTGATTGTATCCTCAACAATATGGCTGCACACCCATCCACCAACATAGTTGTAGTATGATTCGAACTTTTTTTGTAGTAATATTACACCAATAATATTTATATTGTCTAACTCCTCGGAAAATAATAGAAAGTGAAACTATAGCGCACGTAAACAATTCATATGTGTTGCCCCTTTCACAATGTTAGGAATTTCTCACTAAAGCATTAGAGTCTTCGACCAGTTGTACTTAATAATGTCAATACAAAAAGTATTCATGTGAAGTTATATATGAAGATAACGTTTTAGCGTTAGGCTCCAAAGGCAAAACCCTAAAAAAATAAAGAGGTGATACCTAAAAAATCGGTGGAGACTAGACCGTCCGAGAAACGGCCAGGTGGTTTACCGGGGAAACTGATGCCGTAAGGCACTCTCCATGACACAGCGTGAGGCTTTTTTATGTTTCCGGTATCCGCGTAAGAATCTCCGAACACGAACAACTTCTCTGGACCGTACAAGTGATGTTGATTTGAACTCGCAACCCCTGCCAAAAATATATCCATATATAACAAATCGTAAGTTCTGAAATTAATCAAAATGGAGGGAGGTTAGAGAAATCCTTTGTAATAAAAATTATAATAAAATTGTGAATTACCAAAGAGTAGAGAAGAGAAAAAGAAGAGTAATAGTGAGAAGAAGGGTTTTATCAGGGAATCCATTTTCAAGATTTAGAACAACGAGATGGAGAGAAAGAGAGAGTTATTTGGAGATTTGGTTAAAGAACTTAAAGAAGTGAATATGGTCCCAAAGTTAGTATTTTTCAAGTTCAACGAATAAAAGCAACATGCGTCTACCAAACAAGCAAATAACAATGGCACTTTTTTTTGTGGTTGGTCTTCTTAATACCAATCGGTCATATTTTATTTAGTAATTCAATAACACTATCAATTATCAATCATTCTACCAAATCTTGTTACCTACAAATATTTAATTTTAGAAAGAAAAAAAATCGCACGCAAAATCCGTTGGTCGGTGGTGAATACTAGGACTGACGATCCATCTCCTTTCTCCTCGGTACAAAATTCGGATACATTAGATCATTTCCAATCTATTTTGCTATTTTTTCCTCTACAATAGAGAAACTCTAAAATAGAGATAGATCTCTCTCCAATTCACCTCTATTTTAGAAGAATACCTCTATTTTAGAGGAAAATATAGAGGAATTTATTTTTTCCTTTATATTTGGAAGAAAAAGTAGCATCTTTATTTTTTTCTTTAAAATAGAGATAGATTAGAGAACAAAAATGACACTTCTATTTTTTCATCTAAAAGTAGAGAAAAAAATAGCAATAGATTGAAGATGCTCTTATGTTATATTTGACACTGCCAACAAATATCATCACCATCTCGAAAACATTGACCAAATCGTCACAACTTACAAAGAAAAGGTTAACGCAATAATGCATAAATCTGTAATTATCTTATACACTTCATTCGTCGGAGGGCCAAATTTCGCTAAAGATCGATGCCACCCGATGTTGATACAAAAAGAAAATACAAAGGACTCATTTGCAAATTCATAATAACTAAAACTAAAAGAGTAATATCACACAGTCACATGGGGGAAACCTGCACAAAACTCTGATGGGATGCAGTTTTCCTTTAGCAGCAAATTTTTTAGATCATGTAATTAAATGAGAGAAAAAAACGGATTTCTAATTTAGTGAAAGCCTTAAATGAGAATCATACTATTTAATCATGTATTTGTAGTTGTAGGTGATGTAGACGTAGAACCATGTTGACAATACAAACAAGTAACCCAAACGTCACCCCTTTGTTCTTCTCTCCATCTAAAGAGAGATTAATTTTTGTCCTTTTCTTACCAATTTCATTTTTTTGTCTCGTAAAACAAATCACTCATAGTTGTTTTTTTAACTCCAGTCTACCATTAATTTACATGCAAGCAATTTTTTAAGTAAGGATTATTATAGACTTTATAGATTTCCATGCAAGCTTTTCTTTTGTAATTTTTCAGATTTTTCTTTTCACCACGTAATTACAATGCTATGGGCCTCATAGCAAAGAGAGGTCGCAACTACCTATTCGACTGTAACGCGAAATTTTATTAAATTATTACTCTAGTCTAAATAAAAATTATGTACTTGAAAAAGTTTGGTTTTTCTGGGACTTATCCTCGTATAGTATATGATTACTAGGTTACGATTTACCTATTTATACTTTCTCTGCTTACATATTGCACATTGATTACCACTTGATGTTTCAAAATTCACAATTACTCAATAATTAATAATTAAGTAACAGTTTAGATTTCAAATTGGAAAAGGAACCTGTATGCGTCTCTTTCCTGTTCACATAAAGAGATACAGAACTCTTATATTAGTATAAGATAAAATCTGGGCCTACTACTAGCTAACAAAATTAAACACGATTACTAGTTCAGTAAAAGCATTAAATGAGAACAAGTTAATGAATACAGATATAGTATTTATAAAAAAAAATTAAATAAATAGATTAACATACATGAGAGAATATAATAGACAGACTCCTTCTCACTATACTTAATTGCATTCTTCACTTTCTCCGTCTCTGATTCGGTTCTCTTCTTGGTACAAGAGTGAAAACCAGAGTACAATAACAGAGCACAACAGAAATAATTAGAACAAATTATTGACGGGAAATGACGTCATCGCTGCTTTTATCGATGCTGGTGACGGTGGCGATTATATTGGCGATTATGTTTAATGGTCTTCCGCCGTGTCTCATCTGCCGCAGGTCAGTACGGACTTCCACCACTTCATTTTTTTGGGTCTTTTTGGCTCTTAAAATTCCTAATATTCTATGAAAATCTTGTAATTGGTTAGCCTCATAATTTTATGGTATTTTTTTATATACAAGTGATTATTTTTAATACATTTCATGAGGTATGAATTACAAAATCAATTTAATTATTTTTTCCCTGCTTACATAAAGTAAAAAATAGCGCAAACTAAAATCTGGATCTTTTGGAATTTGGTCAATCCTATTGTTACAATTAATAAATATTTTTGAAAATAATTAGTCAAAGTCAAAAGAGTATTCACTCCTTTTAGTTAATAAATTTAAGTGTATCTGACTGAATACACATAATAATTTGTTGCTTTGTTACCAAGAGACAAATTACATTTATTATTACTATGAAGGTGTGGAAGAGAGCTAAAGATGGGTAACAATGATATTCGTCACAGATCTTCAGTTTGTCCAAGCCAATTCACGAGTTTGTATTTAGCCAATCTTGATCCGCAAGTCTCTGAAGAAATGTTGATTCAGATGTTCTCGGGTTTCGGAAAGATCATAAGATCGCTTCTAGCAAAGGATTTCAGAGGAGACTCGCGAGGTTTTGCTTTCATCGAGTTTGAAATCGCCGATAGCGCTGCACAAGCCGTGAAACACATGAACGGAAGGTTAATAGGTAAATTATTTCCACCAAAAATAACATTTTTAAGTTTAGTAAAATTTGGAGTTGATATCTTTGATTAATTTTTATTGTTTTTTCTTACCTGATGAGTATAGGTCAGAAGATTCTATACGTTGAGAGGACACCGAAGGTGGACGATGGTCAAAACATATAATTATAATAATCTTACGTGGGTTAAAAAGTAGGGAGATGTTTTTATTTGAGATGTGAAATGGTGGCACGTTCTTTGAACATGACATAAGTTTTTTTTGATGAAAAGGGAGTAGTAATGAAGTTGAATAATTACGAAGCAAAAAATTTGTTCAGTAAAGGAATCTTCTCCAGGTGAAATATATGTTTTCGGATTCGGTAGAGATGAACTGTGTAGAGAACTCCGGCTAACGAAACCGTAGCAAATGAGATTAACGTCAATATCCAAAAATCCTGAATTCACACCCAAAACACAAATTAGAAACGAAAGTGAAAGAAACGATCTAACATATTTACTGGGGGTAATTTAGTTTACCTTAGGATTAGATACAACGATACCCAAGAGATTACCCATCAAGTCAAGAGCCGCTTGCAACGAGTTCTGAACACCTCCAACCACACAACGGTCCGATTCCGGAACAAGATCCTAACACAATGTTCCCAAAGCATCACACACTCAACCCAAAATATATTTGTGTAGATGGTGGGGCTTGTTCCTTGGCCCATTGGGACACATGTTCTTGATATGAAGCAATAACTAAGCCAAACGAGCATTAAATGTGTACCTGCATCTGTTGGATTACAGCAAGATCGAACATCCACAAGCCAAGCCTAGAAGCAGCAACTCCAGCCATGAGCATGTATGATGCTATTTTCTCCGTTTCAACCCATATTGATCCAACACAGACCAAAAGGCAGCTCCACTAGAGAAACAAGAACTAGACTTTGATGACATATTCACATAAATCATAGACCGGTTCATCATATAGTGTTGATACATTGCATTTGGATCTAATTTCCGTAATGTCAAATTTTGATTAGTATCATATATACCTGAGACCAGAAGGACCAGAGTCCGGTTCTGAGCGGCGAGAGACGGGATTGCATAATAGGGTACACGACCGTAGCAGCTAATCCCACACCTGCGCTGATTCCTCTGCCTATACCAATGATATAAGTTGGTATCCCTTTCCACTCCAATGTCGCCGTCATCAATGTTCCATAACTGTTTCACAAGAAAACTATGTCTACAAACCGAAAAGGACAAGCTGAAAAGAGATAGAGAAAAGAAAGGAAACCTGAGGACAGTGAAGAACAATAGAGCTAGAGCAACTCCAGGGAGCACAATTTCTTGATTGAGATAATTCCTCCACGCGCCAACAAAAGAAGACTCTGAGATTCTCTCAAGAATCCTCATGATTCCACTTCTACTTTGTGTGTGTTCATCCTCTTGGGCTGTTCTTTCTAAAAGAGGAACATCATAACGAGATGCAATATCTGACTCTTTTGCTTGCCTTCGAGACAGCCTTAAACTCCTTCTCTCATCGCTTTGTACTATCGCAGGGACACCGTTATAAACTGAGATAAAGAGATAATACTCGATCCACACGGTTATAGTAGCCCAAGCCGCGAATGTGATCGCTGAGGCTCTCAGAGAGACAAAGCTAATGATCAAACCAGTGATAACCGGAGACAGTAGCTTCGAGCTCAAGTCAATGCTTCTGATAACAGAATTCATTCTTGTTACAACCCCTGGCGAATGACCTTCCGACATAACCACAACCCTGTAATAAAAAACAACAAAAAAATCTCAGCTCAAAATTGCAGTTACAAAGATAAAAACTCTTAAAAAGCTCAATGAAGTACCAGTCTCGTTCGATCAGAATGGTGCCTGCGAGAGTTGAGAGTACTCCAATGGCGCCGGAAAGATTCGTCAACACGACCAACGATGCGAAAACGGGGAAATTCTGAGACTTGAGATCAGGAACAAGCAGCAAAGCAACGACTGAACCACCAGCAACAATGAAGGAGAGGTTTTGAGTTACAAGCCAGAGCCTAAGAACCCTAACGTAGCTCATTCCATCTATCATTTGGCCTACTATGGGACCGAAAATGGCGGTGGAACCGGATTCTACAGCACCGTACATGGCGGTGAGAAACAGAGAGTTTGGCCAGAGGTATATCATATACAGAGCAACAGAGAATTCCCAAGTTCTGCAATTTCAAATTCCATATGTATATTACGAAGGATTAAAGAATCTAAAAAAACAAATCTTTTCTAAATTACGAAGATTTTGATTAGACCTTGCACCCCATCGAGCAAGAAAATAGCCGAGATAGAGAGACATCACCATGGAACGTGGTAAAGATGGCTCTTCCTCTTGTTGTTCTTCTTCGTGTGATAGAAAAACCCTAGTTTCGGTCTCCTTCTCCATTTCTGCTGATTAATTTGATTCTTTCCTCGGAATCTCAATTCGATAATCTGAAACTCAGAAAGATCGATCAGAGCGAATTCAGTGGTCATTGCATGTAGCTGGCTTCTCTAGATTTTCAATTGAATGAGTGCAACTAGTAAAATCATGGATGGAATGGATAACCAAAAACAGAAAAGAAAAACAAATAAATTAAAATAAAGAAATAAATCTTAAGTGAATGATGTAAATTAGCCAAAATATGCGAGAATACCAAAACTATTTTGGTCGAACCACGCAAAAATAAAAAATAACTTATTTGTGATTTTTGACAATGTATTTATTTTGGCTATGTAAAAAATTAACCATTTCTTCTGAGATATTTAAAAATACCATCTAAGTAGCAAAAATCTTGTTTGCATGCAATAACAACGAAGAAAGGAATTAGAGGAGTTTTTTTTTTTTGAGATAAAAGTGGAAAAAGAGGAACTTAAGCTAAAACCACAGATACTCTCTGTCATATGACAATTTCTGATCTGTCCAAAAAAATCATATCTTTAACTTAGAAATGAATGAGCTTTCTTGATTTTTCTTGCAGAAGAAAAAAAATCTAGAATATGAGTTCCATTATTCGTAAACATAGTTGTATAAGAAGATTAGCTTTTTCAAGTGTGTGGATCAACAAATGTCAGAAAAGTTGCATAAAAAGTTTAGAGAGAGAGATCCGAGAAAACAATCGGAGATGTATCAAATAGGTAGAACCTGAATTCTAGTGAACCTCTGGTGTCTTCGATGAGTTTAATTATCTCTAAACTATGAGTTATGGTTTCTCACTTTTGCATTTAGACATGTAGCAAATCTTTTTGAAAGACCAATAAAAAGAAATTGCGACTTTTTAGAAAGAGATTGCCATCGAAAAGACTATATGATTCCCAACAAATCATACCCAAGAAAGCAATAAACAGTCCGAGCTCTTTCTTGATTCAAAAGAATAGCACAATCGGATTAAGAACCCAAAACGAATATTTTCAAACAAACCTCACCCGGCACACAAGCTTGGATGATGAATGATCGAAGTCGTGGAAGTCAAAGCATAAACCGAGAGAGGTTTTTTTTGTAGGGCATTGGTGTGATACTCCAAATATTTTCGTGATTTTTGGCGTCAACGATGATCCGATCTATAATATCATTATTAATTAGTATTTAGTTGTTTTTGTCCCGTTACACTAGACAATTAGCGTCTCGGACAGCACAACGACTGCGTAAGTAAGACGTCATTTTTTTGGGGTGAGAATCATAGTTTACATATATGACAATCTGTCCTAATCAATGTACAAATATCTACATTATCTTCTCATCATTATCTCAACTCATGAAAATATTATAGACACATACGAACAAGAAACAGCTTATTATATTAAAACATGATTTTTTATATAGGCTATACCATAGCATGCATCATGTTTTTATAGTTTTGGGCGAACCTTTAACTGATTATTAACTGATTGACACTACACGTACATCTATAGAACCCCTTCATATGTCACACGCCCTTTACATCATACTGTAACAAAACAAATTTCACCAGTTTAAAACAAGACATAAGTAAAACGGCATCCATTTTTCTTACGAATACTTGAAACGGCAAAGTGTGTTGACGTGAACGGCGCGTACTCCCAAATCTGGTGTAAAAAATTAAAAAAAACCACAAGTCTGGAACATTCCGACTACTCTCCCTGAGCTCAGGGCCTCAGGCCATGGCGTTTCGTCTCGTGAGGTCATTGGCGGCGTCACGGCCATCGTTGTTTTCCATGGGAATTTGTAAGTCGGCGTCCGATATCGCTTCCCCGGCGATCGACGGTCGCGAGTTTTCTAATTTCGGTCGGGCTTTCGCCTTTTATTCGTCTTCGTCCTCTTGGTGGTCGTCTCCAGATGATTTGACGGCGGGATCGAAGAGACGCGAGAAGAAGACTACAGACCGTTTCTCAGCCGTGATTGACGCAGTCCATGACCGGAAACTCCCACCGGAGCTACGTGGGCGGCGCGATATTGTAAGGTATAATCATTTACAAGCTTTAGGCTAGTAATTAGTCTCCTTGTATGTGTTTGGGCTTTGGACTTTGGAATCGATATATTATGTTCTTAGGGTTCGTTGATAATTTAGTGTCTTTGCAGATAGATCCAAATACCAAATCCTGAATTTATCTCTCTGGGAAGTTTTCTTACCTTGTTTTAGCGTTTTCTGCTCCACATTTCAATTTCGAGGTCCAAGCGCGAATCAAATTCACTGTTTCCTTTGATTTCCAAGTAGTAGCAGTTAGTGTTTGGTGATCTTTCAATAAAAAAAGTGACTTTAATGCGATGCATCTGAGTATGTTGTCACAATTGCGCAGTAGCTTTGCTGTTTCGCTGTGGAATTTTTAGTCAGAGAAAGCATAGGCTTGTTGCTTTTTTCTTGCTATGTGGTTCTTTATTAATATTCCAGATGAGATTCTTCTTCTTGTGAAACATGTTATTGCTTTGACCTTCTTGTAATGGTTGCTAACTAAGAGATCATGTTGCAGGTCAGAGACTGACATCATCAACGTGGTCGAGCAGAGGATATGGCATTCAATGGAAGAAGGCCATTTTGAGAACTTACCCGGTAAAGGCAAACCTTTGAACCTTCACACAAACCCTCACGCAGACCCAGCGGAGGATACGTTGTATAGGATTCTTAACAAGAATGGGTTTGCTCCTGAATGGGTGGAGCTCAACAAAGACATAAGAAGCAAAGCAAAAGAATGGAGAGCTTCACTGAAGAAAGCATGGACTACGAAACTCGAGGAAGACCAATCGGGTTGGGAAGAGAGATCAGAGTTGCTGAAAACACAACTGAAACAAATCAACAACATGGCAAGTCTTCTAATATCAAGATCCTCTTGTGATATATAATGATATCTTTGCTTATGTGCTCTCTTGTCTCTGTGCAGGTTTTTAGGTACAACCTGATCGTTCCTTTTGGCCGTCAAATGTTTGGATTGAAGTGGGAGAAAGAGATTGATCGCTTGAAAGAATAACAGCTTCAGATACCAAAAGGTTGGTCACACTTCTATGAACTACACTGTTCTCGAGTTTGTAGCTGTACATATTATGGTATATATACGAGTCAATGTGGCTCTTGGTTCTTAGGTAAAGGAAGAGTAAGAAAACAAGTGCTTGAATTGTATTCAAACTTATGTCATGTACGTTGTATCCTTCACATCTTCCTAAGAATAAACATTAGAAAGACAAATTATAGGTTAGAAGAAGTCGTTTTAGGACTTCAATCATGTTCTTTATTAAATTAAATCAAAATTATGTTCTTAAATTGAGTTATTTTCGCCTAAATGAGTAGGCAAAATTGGAAGTCAACGAATCGAGTAACGTGAAAATACATGAGAGAATCTTTTTACCTGGAAAAAAGAATCTTTTGTTTTTGTTTTTATGTATTTTAAAAAGAAAAGGAAAATGAGATGTGAGAGCGACAAAACACCCACTAACACATGGTTCATTTCCAACCACATGTTACTCAGAGGACTTAAACGGAACAGCAAACACAATACTACGCAGTCTCCATCTCACAATTCAATTCTTTCTCTCTCTCTCTCTTCTGTGTGAGAGAGGAGAGTCAATGGTGTCCAATTGCTTTAGCCTTGGCCTCCATCTCCATCCTCATCCCCACAAACACAATCATCATTCACCTTTTTACTTAAGATCCCACACACAAGCTAAACTCTATCACCATGCCTCGTTCACAGCTTCTAGCCACAAGAGATTTCACACTTCTTCTGGGTCTCCGTCTGACCCTCAACATAAAAGTCTCAAACACTGCGGATGGAGAGATCGCAGCTTGACTTCGAGCCGGTCCGGTGAGAACTTGAGGTTGAGCCGATCCGGTGTCATCCGCCCAAGATTCTCGGCGATGACAGGCTCAGAATTCGATGACTTCGGTTATGACGAATCCCGATTCGACCCGTCCCTCACGAATGATGACTTGAAACCGACAAAACCAAGCCAGAGAACGTTTTCTTGGTTGGATATGTCGAGTTTATGGATCGGTCTAGTGGTTGGTGTGCCTACTTACTACCTCGCTGGAAGCTTAGTGGACTTAGGCATGGCGTGGTGGCAAGGCATAGCCACAGTGGTTGCTGCCAATCTAATACTGCTCGTGCCGCTGGTTCTCACCGCACAGCCTGGCACCATGTACGGAATCTCCTTCCCTGTCCTGGCTAGATCATCGTTCGGCATCCGTGGAGCCCACATCCCGACCTTACTCAGAGCATTGGTCGGTTGCGGATGGTACGGTATCGAGACATGGATCGGAGGAGAAGCTATCTTCTTGCTCTTACCGAGTCACATCAAGAACTCGGCTTTGTCTCATACACTACCTTGGCTCGGCACTTCCCCGCTTGAGTTCTTTTGTTTCATTGTCTTCTGGTTGGCTCAGCTTTGTATTGTCTGGAGAGGAATGGATGGAATCAGAAAGCTCGAGAAGTACTCGGCTCCGGTTCTGATCACTCTCACTTCCTGTCTCCTCGTCTGGTCCTATCTCAAAGCCGGTGGATTCGGTCACATGCTTTCTTTGTCATCAAAGCTAACCGCTGCTCAGTTCTGGACACTCTTCTTCCCGTCGCTAACCGCAAACATAAGCTTCTGGGCGACTCTAGCTCTTAACATCCCCGATTTTTCTCGTTTTGCTAAATCCCAAACTGATCAAATCATTGGTCAAGCCGGTCTTCCCCTTTACATGGGTTTGTTCACGTTTGTGGGATTAGCTGTTACGTCCTCCACAAGTATCATCTTTGGAAGAGTCATCTCCAATCCGATTGAGCTTCTCGGTCGAATCGGAGGCCTTGCCACAACTCTACTCGCTATCCTCGGAATCTCCCTCGCTACAATCACCACAAACATAGCTGCAAACGTGGTCGCACCAGCAAACGCGCTTGTGAATCTAAACCCTAAGGTTTTCACATTCGGAAGAGGAGCGTTGTTGACCGCGGTTCTTGGAATCGTATGTCAGCCCTGGAGATTGCTCAAATCGAGTGAGAGCTTTGTGTACACTTGGCTCATCGGGTACTCGGCGATTCTTGGTCCGATAGGCGGCATAGTTCTCGCGGATTATTACCTGATCAAGAATATGAAACTCAACATTGGGGATTTGTACTCTTTGAGTCCTTCCGGTGAATACTATTTTTCAAAGGGATATAATTTCGCCGCCGTCGTGGCTTTGGTCGCCGGAATTATCCCAGTCGTGCCTGGTTTTCTACACAAGGTCGGAGCTTTGTCGAAGGTCTCAAATGGGTTCCTCGTTGTTTACGACAACGCATTGTTTTTCAGCTTCTTCATTGCAGGATTTGTCTACTGGATCATGATGTCTACTCTGAGAAGGAAACAAAGCTCGTTGTCTTCTTCTTCGCAGACTCTTTTGTAAATCTTGGCATTCAATTGGTTTTGTAAGTAATTAAATCTAAATTCTCAGTTGTAAAAACTACACAAAGAACAAAAGAAGGATAAAGATTTCTTTTTACGCTCTTTTTATCGTCATTACTCACGATGCCTTGTCTGAGAAGGGAAACCTAGTTGTGTATTTTCTTCACAGTTGCTTTTATCAATCTTATCATTGAATTGGAAGTTGAACAAAATATATTCAATTGGCTTGCTTCATTATTTCAAATTCCAGAGATGTTAAGTAAATAAAACAAAAGCGAAACACGAATTAAGATTTTATTTTCCCATAACAGTTTGGGGTATGAGTTAGTTATTTTCCTTCATTTAGAAAAATCAAGAACCCCTCTTGTTGTATTTCATTGATTTCTTATTAGTTTAGATATGATTTACTTTTATTCTTGTTAGCTGGTTTCACTAGATAAAATATTGGAATATTCTAGATATGTTAAGAAATCTATAAGATTAATAACAAATTTGATTCGACTTGATCTGTGAATTGAATTTCTCTCGCTGCTTTATATAAAGAGAATAGGCAAAGAATCCAAACAAATTGTTCCTTCTCACGGGATCTCTCTACGTATGGGGAACCAAATGGAGAAACAAAGTAAATCTGTCACTGTCAATGGCTTCGTTGTTAAACCTTCCCATGTGGAGTTAGCGAATTGGATTTTTGCGTCACATCCAAAAACTGCAGTGAAAGTTCAATTGCAGAACCAAGAGCTCAGGAAAGCATACATGAAGGTTCTCTGCAGCAACATTCATAGACTATACCACAAGCCTAATATATCCGAGTTTGAATTAAGCCAAGTATCCAAGGATTTGTCTGATCTGACACGAGCCGGTTTTAAGCTGAATTGGTTGAAGTCAAAGCATGAGACGGTTTCCATGGAGAGGGAGAGGAAGAAACAACTTGCTTCCGAAGCTCGGATGGTGAAACTCGAAAAACAGTTAAAGAAACTTGAGGGTATGATGTCAGATCTCCAACTTGAGTTGGAAATGGAGAAGGCCAAAGTTAAGTAGTTACTTCTCGCTCGTTTAGGGGTTTCTTAATTACATTTACTACTTATTCTTCACTAAGTTTTCTTGTTTAAGTTAAAGAATATTTCCCTAGGTTTTCTTGTTATGACTTTTGAATTCGAATTCTTTACCTATTAAATTCAAATTCTTTACCTATTAAATTCAAATTCTTTACCTACAGAGAGAACCAACAAAAATCATATAATTACTTAATATCGAAACGAAATTTATAAGATAAATTTAGGGCTCCTTAAGGGCCCTGGGGTTAATATAAACTTTTTTGTTCGACAAAATCAACAATTCAATGTCCATAAAATCAAGGCCCAAAATCCAAATACATACCTTGAGGTCCGGCCCATGAAATCTGCAAACAAACATTAAGCCCAAAAGTAAGTGATCGATTTCTCTCATTTATTCTCTCCCTCTCTTCTTCCCCGTCGCCGCAGGTGAGGTGAAATTAGGGGTGAGCACGGATCGGATATCCATATATTTTTTAGTATTTGTGTTTGTTCCGTTTTTAATATATAATTAATTTTATGATTTGATTTACTTTGGAAATATGCGGATATCCGGAAAATTTACAAATATTTACGAATATTTGCAGATATTTATGAATATTTAGTTTGATCCGTTTAATATATATAAAACTGAAAGTACATAAATTTTTATTATAAAAATATTTTTCATCTAAACTATTAAGTGAAAATAACTAAAAAAAATATTTTATTTTATAAAAAAAGTCTATAAAAATAGACCTACAAAACTAAGATGAAGAAAAAATAATATTTTATATTTTAAAATAATATTAACTATTTGAAACTTTAATATTAAACTTTACTAAAAAAACCTTTGTTGATATTTATTTACTAATATAAAATAAAAGATTATTTATTAACGTATTTTAAGTTTAAATATATATTTTTTTATGATTGGATATTTAGTCATTTATTTTATATAATCAAAAGAATTTAGAAAGAAAATTGAGAGTATATTAATAAAAATTTATATATAATTGATATATACATGATAATATATACTAATATATAATAAATTTATAAAGATATAGAAAAGATCGGATATCCGACATTATCTAAAAACATATTTGTGATTTGCTCCGTTTTTGTACAGATACTATAGCAAAGCGTAACCGTGGACTAGGTTACCAAGGGAAAACTCACATCCTTCTCATCATCAGAATCTTCCATATCATACATCTCTACGAGAACATGCTCCTCATCATCAGAATCATCCCTATCATACATCTCTCCTCCACCGAGATGAACATACTCCTCATTATCAGAATCAGGAAATACTAGAGGCATTTTGTAACCTATATATATATATATATATATATATAACAAAACAAAACAAAGATGTTGATTAGAGACATAAAACGTATAATAAGTGGAAACCGACAAGAAGGGTGTTATGAGTTTAGGACAAAATTTTCTCTTGTTTTTCTAATTCCTAGCTCGAAACAAAATTTAAGAAAAGCTGTATAGAGATATGAATTTTTTTATTTTTTTTTGGGTTAGATAAACTTATCGTGTTTTACTAATTCGTAGATTTAAAATAAAAATCTAAATAATTCATGAATAAGTGAACTAAATTTGATATAGGAATTGCAAATTAATATCAGTTTGTTTCGCTACCTATGTACATATATATAGAGAGAGAGGGAGCTACCTGAGCATATCATCACGAAGCAGCGAATGAAATAAACTTTATTGTGACAATTACTATCCGATCGATTTAAAAAGGCTTTAACGACGGGAATATCAAGTGATGGGGAACCAATTGCAGATACAAAGAAAGGTAACTGTAAATGGCTTCATTCTTGATCCTTCGCAGGTTAAGTTAGCAAACTGGATTTTCCAGACATACCCTGAAACTGCAGTGAATGTCAAACTGCAAGACGATGAGCTCAGGACAAGATACATGAGCCTTCTCTTAGGCATCATCAAGAGACTTTACCACAAGCCTCTGCGTGGTCTCACCGAAGATGAACTGAGCAAAGTTTCCAAGGAGTTGGCTGATGTGAAACGAGCTGGTTTTAGTGTCGAATGGTTGGCTTCAAAGCTTGCCAAGGTGTCCTCGGAGAAGAAGACTTCTGAAGATCGGATTCGGGAACTCAAACAAGAGCTCCAACAACTTAAGCTTACGGTGTCAGAGGAGAAGTCCAAGCTGAATAAGAGACCATGTTGGATCACCAAGACTGAGATACATATTTCTTTTTAGAAATATGTATTATTATTATTAATTTGGTTTTATTGTTTTAGAGTTTCCATACCTTATTTTTCTTTGTTTTGTCAAACATATATATATCCCTGTGTTTCGTTTTCATCTACACCCCTTTCTCAATGATTTATTAGGTTTTCTAGTTTTGAATTTTGGAATCTCAATCTAGTTTTTAATCAATAGCTTGCCAGACACGGTTTAATTAGGGTTCCCTAAGGTTTCACCTATAATGTCTTCAAATTGGACTATCAATGGGCTAAGATTGGGCCAAGTCAAAAGAAGTACTAAAGGTAAACAGATTGGGCCAAGTCAAAAGAAGTATTTTTGCTAAAGGTAAACAGATTGCTTAAAAAATTGGTTTGAAGACACCATCCAAACAAAAGATCGAATCACAGAAGTGGTTTTTGATTTTAGATATAAAACCGAATATTCTTTTGTTCCTCTCACACACACACAGATTAGGAACACGCTCGACTGGTGCATCACACAGGATTACAACACCACACACATACACATTTAACACGAACATAATCAAACCAAGCCGGAATCAAACTAAACAAAGAAGTAATTAGAACATAGACAAAGAGAGTAAGGAGTAACATGATAATCTGCTGATTCCGAGGGGAACCGAAGCTTGCCAAAGGATCGAAGTTGCCCTAACGAGGGATAACAAAAGACACATCAAGCTTGTCTTCATCAACCTTCATGCAATCTTCACCGCTCCATTCACACACAATCCTCATCATCATCATCACCATATATATACTGATAATGATAATGATAATGATGATGATCGTCATTCACACAGCACCTACACATAAACACAATTCATAATCTTCTTCTTATTACCTTTTGTGAGTACTCTTGTGTTTTGGGCCATCCCCTAAACAGAAACCTGAGAACCTCTCAAAACCCCTTATTGGCGAGATCTTCTGATAAAACCAGAGAGTTTCTTTAGGGGATGGCCATATTTTGCGTGTTTGGTGTTGTGCCAAAGAGAGTTTCAACAATGGATGCTGTTAGAGTTTTAATGGCTTCTCTCTTTGTCTGTGGTCATGGAGACAAATTAAAAGAGACACTGATGAAAACACCCATTACATAAGCTAATAGTGTTCTTGCCACTTTTTCTTTAAAATACTCCTTTTCAGTAATAATTAATCAACTCAGTTCATAATAGATTATCTTTTGTTTTCTCCTAAACTGTACATATCTGAAAAGTGAACCGAAAATGTGAAATTTAGTTTATATACGGTAGACCGGTATCAATTTTATTTATGAACAATGCATTTGTACGCAAACTGTATATGAGTTCAAAGTATAAGGGTATGTATGAGTTGTTTCATGTGAGTATAAAATAAAATACAGAAAAATAAAAGAAAAAATGTATAGATAATTGGTGTAAAGGGGAATAAAAGTAAGAATTGTCATTGGTGTAAAGATGACATTGAAAGAAATCAAATTATTAATTTGGAAAAAAGTGGAAGGAGATGATGGAAACGGGGAAGTCCATGTAAAGATGTTGGGAGAATTTGGATCTTCTAAAAGGAATATGCCATAACCAAACTTAACAAAAAGATATGCCATTACCAAACATGTGTTAAAACAACAAACCCATCTCATCACTCACTATTTTACTAATAAATCTGTTTTTTTTTTCTTTGTATGCATGTCGATCGAGCTCTATTGTCTTGTCCGGTTCAAGAACAAGGCTGTGGTCGGTTTCTTATTCTTTAAAGAATAAAAGATTTGGGTTCTACTCGCATTAGTTTTCGAATTCTTTATTTTGTTTTTTTCGTATGATCCAAAGTTCCAAACCAATTTTCTAAAAGTACTAGTTACTTATGCCTTATGGGATAGTTGAAAGGTGTTTACTATTTAGCGCCAACATTTTTCTTTTGGATTTATTTCTTATCACTAAGAATATATAAAACCAGACACGTACACAATTAATTGAGCATTTAACTATTAATTAATTATATTCAGTCTTCAAACGAAATATAAAGAAGAAACAGAGAGCTTCAAGCCTTCAAACAAAATTTAGAATTTTCCTTTTTAAGATTTATTTTTCTTCGATTTAACTTTCGTAAATCCGGGATTCGTCCGCGTGAAGATCTTTGAACCCAAAGCTAACAGAAGAGTCTTTATAACATAGTCTGAAGATCATTCCGAAAATAATGCCTAAAATTTTAGATCTCCAATGAAATCATACTAAGAAAAGAAATCTCATATCCGTGTGACTACGACTTATTGGCCATGATAACTTCAATCGCGAACATAAACAAAAAGAAACAACTCAAGTCTCCAGGTAATTTACATAAGCAAAAAAAAAATACAAAACAAAAAAAAAAACGAAATGCGGACAATCCATATACAATAGCAAACAGTTTGATAGAAATTTACCTTACACAATTAGTTATGATCGTCTTTTGTTGTTGTTTTCTTTTTACCGTCGTGGTTCATTCATAGACTTTCCTTCAAACAACTCACCCAACAATCTTTCAAGATCTTCAGCTGTATACTTTATGTATTTGTTCGGATTCTTCCCACTCTCAACCAGAGGCCTATACCGATCATCAATTTTAAATCTCATTAGGGCTATACAATCTGATCAAATATGTTTTTTAAAAATGCTGCTTTTGCAGGTAACAGAGAAAAAAAAAAGATGAAGAGATTATATTACCCAAAGCGTTTGAGGAATGATCTGTAAGCAGGCAATAATACTTCAGCAACAGCAAGTCTAAGTGACTCTCGCAACTCTGTGTCTGGAACTGTCCATTGAGATTGTCTCTGATGCAACTCATCAAACTGCATATTGAACATCTTGAACCTGTTCCATTTTAAAAAGTTTATTTATTCATTCATCATTTAACATATATGTAATCATTTCATGATTAACTGTGTTTTTTTTTTTTAGCTGTTTGAGTCTTACCTCTCTTTTAGTAATCCTCTTGAAACGCCACTGCTGTTTCCTCCCTCTACACTTCCTCCTCCCGATGAGGTCAACCCTTGCGCCGACGAGCTTTGTAATATCTACAAAATATCAGTTTCATTCATCCTTTAGAATCTTTCTTTTACTTTCGTAGTGGCCATATAATGAAGATTTTATATTTATGTTTTGTTCTCGAGTAAGACGAATATAAAGAACCTTAGTCCAAGCAACTCTTTTGTATTGATTTGCATGCTGCTGAACGATACGCCTATGCCTTTGAACCCAATCATCGCCTAACAAATCCTTAGCTTCTGACCTGAAAATTAATGATATCAATGAAACCTACTACGTCATCTGAATGTCTTTTTTTTATAAGCCCTGATCAGTCTTTAAACGCGAAACTAAACTCACCTTCGCACAGATCTAACCATGTAATGAATGTTGTTCATCAGGAACAAGTGTGTCAACGCAGGATCTCTGTACTGTTTCGATTTTCCGTCCAAGTTGTTTTGAAGCGCCTGCATTATCCGCATTGTTACTGATGCCAGCTGCGAGTTTGAGTCGTCCCCATTTCCAAATTCCAAGAAGAGTTGCTTCAATGTCGCTTGATAGCTGTCACTTAATGAAGCGTCGATTAAAGAATGTGGAAAGAGACAATATGCAAATAGCAGGGCGAGGAAGAAAAACGAGTTTCAAAGAAATTAGTTGAGCTAGTCGTAATCAAGTAGACATGTATACGGCACTTACTCGAACAAGAACTTGACATAATTGATGACATAGCTTGTTAGTGGGTGGACAGTCCCATCTAGAACAGCAGTCTTTGTAGCATCTTTTTCAACAGCTTCTTCGAAATCACCAAATGTTTCCTGAGAAGTCTGCGCCAACCGCTTTGTCAACCCCATAGCAGAATCTCTAATTTCAAGGCATGCTTTACCTTTGAAGATTGTCTCAATCTGTCAATGGACACAAAATTTCATCAGATTGTTGTAGGGCCACCTAAATGTTAATCCGCCGTTTTACAATGTAGCACAAAAACCAACTGGTTATCAAATAATTCTCACACGTTATGTAGACCTAGATAGCAAGCTTCAACCACATACGTTTACAAAGTTTTTTCTTTGCCTGCCATGCAGTTTATTATGGTGAGGATTTCAGTTCTGGACTATTACATGCATTCAATGCTCAAATCACATACTATTTATAAAAAAAAAAAAAATCAGCTAGATTTGGCATCTCTACGAAGTGAGTGGTGCTTACACAAATCAAATACAGGTTCGAGGGTGAACTAAAACTCAACCAAAGTTTACGATACAGAGAACTGCACATCCTAAAGATCAGAAAAATCCACAAAGAGCTGAAACTACAGAATAATTTTTCATCTAATAGAAGACTCTTCAGTAAATGTATGGAAACTTGATGATATTCGAGCAACAATGAGTAAGATATTACCTCTGTATGAAGCTCCCGCATTATCTCATACATGTCTAAGAGTACAAACAACTTTTCTGGAGATCTCTTGCTTCTGGCTATAGCATCCCCAAAGCTAAGAAGCATTGAGACACTGCTTACTGTAACTTCCGCAAAACACTGATCGCTAAGAGAATCGAAGCCTCGAAATATCTGGTCGCATACTTGCCTTTCTCCAGCAAAGAGTAATTTAACCTGTTGAAAAATATCTTGAGTTAGGGGTCAACATAACATGTTAGAAATATTTCAAAGCTTAGATAGCGTACTTACAGCAATGCGCATAAAATGAATCCAGTTTCCAATTTTGGCCTCCAGAACTTCCCACTGCATCCTCTGAACATCCTCTTTGCTAAGTTTTTCAACTCCCAATTTCTTTAGGCTTTCTTCCAAGACAAAAGAACGTGTTTCTCTGAACAAACACAAAAGATTAGACAGAAGGAGATAAAAAACAATTTCAAGACGCACAAATGCATCATGGATATGCACTGGGAAAATGCCAGTAGATTATGCAGTTCACAACATTAATCTGATATAATTCATATGTAAGAAAAAAAAGACATAGCTGCTGCATTAAATTACACGTATGAGACAAACAGCATCGCATGATATTAAACCTAGCAAGCATTTTTCAGATCAGGTAAAGAACAAACAGCGGAATGCACGATGTTCACAAGGCCCACGAATATTTCCTAAGTGATTGTGATTGTAGTTTCATATTTTAACTACACTTCTATGTAGCTTAACTGGTGAAACAGCATAAGGGTAGTCAGATTATACTCACAGCATAAGGAGAGTCTGATTTAAACTTGCAACTTTAGGAAACCTTGGAAAATAAGTGGTGAGCATTTTATGTAAATCAATTCTATAGCCATGTTCGTTTCAAAGCAATTATAGCTTGACACAATGCTTTGACTCATGTTACTATTATATTCCCCTAAATTTCAATTCAAGAGCATGATCAGACACTGAATGACCAAGAATCAATTCACCTATAAATTTGTAGCAACAGTTGTTGGTGACCAGCCTGAACCATTTGCTGGGCCAAATCATGCAGCAGTGGCAATACCCTTGACGGAATGAGAACTGGAAGTGTATAAGCAGCAGTATCTGAGTCATCGTTGTGGTGTCCTCCGTGGGGCATTGAAGATTTTCCACCACCATCACCGTCTAAGGATGGTCTCAGTGAGTTTGGAAGGCATTCAAAAAGGCGATCAGGCTCCACAGCTTTACTGATTGTAAGAAACATAAATCAAAAAGAGGGAATGAGGACAAGATGAAGTGCTACATATATATATATATATATATATAATACTCGATTATGTGTTCGAGAAACCCGTGTTTAGGTACAGAAGCACAAACCTGTAAGAAACTAACAATTGCTTAAACTCCTCTTCCAGCTTTGACTGTGCTTTTGCAAGCAAGCTATTTGCATGGTTGAGGACTCCATCACTACTCTTAAAGCTTTTGTTGCTGCTAAAATATCGAATAATTTTTCTGAGTTGAGCTATTGCCTCCAGATAGCTTTCCAGGTCCTCATGTGGCCCCTTGAGTACTTTAGTCTCTGCCTAGAAATGAATTGAGAGTAAAATAAAGAATCGGTTTCGAGTTGCAAAAACGAAATTCAGAAATAGCTCACTAGAACCACAACCAAAGACATACGTTCTCAATATAGATCACTAAAATTCGATCATGAAGCAAAACATATCAAGCAGCCACCTATATAAACTTAATATCCATGGATCATTTAGTGAGATAAATATGTAAAGTAAGAAATGTGAAAAATGTTCCCCAGTTTGGTTTCTACGAATTTAAAATCCGAACAGAGACCTCTCACACTAACAAAGAAGTTCGTCGGAAAAAGATGAGGAGGCTATTCACTTTGTAGTTACAAAAACTATATACAACAAGCTAAACACTAATCCAACCTCTGCTCAGAATCTATCAGTTTATACCGATCGATCTTCACAAATATATGAGAAGAAAAACATAAAATCAGCAAAAAAGAGAAGTAAGATTTCAAAAGCAAACCTGACGGAGGAGATCAAATTGAGACAAAATAACCTCAGCAGCTTTTAGAGTCTTATCGATATTCTCGTGAGCTTTCCTTATGGCATGCGTCCTAATCTGAGATTTTCAACACAGTCAACCCAAAATCCGTTCAAGTCAGCAAAATTTCAGAGAGAAACAATCCCAGATCTGGATGGAAGAAACATTCGGAGCTCGAACAGGCGGCAATAAACAGACCTGAGTGGGACGCATGGCGGTTTCGAGAGCAGAGAGACGGCTATCGAAGGAGCCGAGGATTGAGACAACATTGTCGGTGATGGTTTGACTCTTCTGAAGAGATGCTCTCATCAACACGGCTCTTTCGCTGAGCAGGTCGACTCTGCTATCTACGGCCATGACGGAGGAGATCAAACTGAAAATACTTTTCGTCTTGGAAAATCGAAGTTGAAGAGAAAGAGACGACGACGAAGGACGGCTCGGTTTGGTGGTGCCAGAGCCGGTACAAGCCAGCTAAGATTTTTCTTTCCACTGAAGCAGCAATTAAATCATTTTGAATTTTTTTAAAAAATATTGACCTCTTCTGTTTTCAAATATTTTGATTCCAAAAACGAATTACAGTAAATAATAAACTTCAATAACTGTCTTTCCCTTAACCAATAAGCGTTAATGTTTCCTTCTCTTCTACACAATTCTATCTTTTCTTTTACGTTTTTTTCTCAGTTTACATTGAGTAATGATAACTATTTTTTTTTTTTACAAACTTGCTTATGAAATTAATGTATTGCTTACAATTACTGCTAAATATTTATGATTGCTTATGAAATTAATGTATATATTTGAGAAGACACGATTTATTTACAAACAAACATCAAAGCTTATACCGAGTTTCGGCTTTGCATCTTTCGGATTATAAAAAACGATATTTAAAACAAAATGTTGACTTGACAGAATTATTCAAAAAAATAAAATAAAATGTCGACAAAATGACGGATGGACATCTAAAAAGGAACTCTGGCCCGCAAAGTAAAAAGGCTATGGCCCAAATAGGAAATAGCCCATTAACATATGACGGCCGAACTGTTTCGATACCATAATGGGGATGGACATCTAATAATGGAACTCTGGCCCGCAAAGTAAAAAGGCTATGGCCCAAATAGGAAACAGTCCATTAAAACATGACGACCAAGTTTGTCTCAGAAAATAAAGAGCTCAACATCAAATTAAATTTATTTTCTGACCACATATGTCAAAAGACATGTTATCGTTTGTAACATACGAAACAGACAAAATCTATAAACAGAAACTGAGCAAAAAAAACTTACGGACTATAACATATAAGGATTGTTAGACAAAGCTGTCGACGATGATCTTTATCTCAACTTGTCATAACTTTGGTGGGTCAATTTCGACGCAACAGCTCTATCCTCCAATAAATTGAAATAACACCAAACACACACACACAAACATACAATTTATTAAAGAGATGAGGAAACGAAAATACATTTTGTATATCGATGATACTGTTTAACGATGATATTATAACTTTTATTGGAGGTACCAAAATTTGACAATCTTTAGTATATTTATTTTATAAAAATGTGGAAGAAAAAAAAAAGTTAAACGGAAAGGAGGATATTTTTCAAAAAAGTTTTTGTAATTTTCTTTATATTTTTGATAAGCAAAGGGAGATGATGTTCCTAAGATACCTTTACCTTTCATGGCTTCTCCGTCACTCATTCTGTTCCTAAAACCTTGGACACCATTTTCACTTTTTTTTTTTCCAATATTTATAAGGATAATTAGTTTGCATAATTCTAAATTTATTGCTTGAATAGTCCCTTCCTTTCCTAGAATAATGATAATGGTTTACTGAATTGTTTGTTTTTTAGCAAAAAAAATAATTGAACATAGCCATAAAGAGCGTGGAATGCACGCGCTTTGACTGGCCACCGTCAACTTTGCATCGGCCGGAGGTGGGGTCTTGCAGGGGCTCGACTGACAGCATTCAAAAATCAAAAGATCATTGTTTTGCTCCCACAATCCATTAACTTTCACTCATCGCCGACGCTAAAAACTAAGAAGATATAACAATTAACTAGTTGCTAATCATACTTAATCATTTTAGAAAAAATAAGGAAATAGTTTTATAATAGTAACATTTTCGACCTTGAAAGTATTTTAGAAAAGGGTGCTCAACTAAATAAGTGGGTTTCTATTGGTGACTATTTTTTTTTTATCATTGTACTGTAGTTAAATTTTCTTTTTCTGCGATTACAGAGAGAATACATACACTATAGTAAAAAACGGTCAAGAATTACAGTTATAGCAATTTAAAAATGTCTAAATATATCAACCTAAAATATCGCACTACAAGACAAAAACAAAAATCTAACCATTTTTAGAGTTCTCTAATCGTCCAAAAAATTGCCTTTTACCGATATCGCAAGGGCAATCGCACCCGCGATTCCAAAACGCTAGCTAGACACACGTCGACAAAAAAGGAACTAGAAGAAAACTTGGAACCAAACAAAGACGTTTCTGTGAAGCAAAGTGTCGGGAGGGAAAGCAAAGAACAAACGTTACTGTCAGGCGTGTTCTTTGTCTTCTTCAAATCTCCCTTTCTCAGATACCCGTTCTCCGTAAAGAATAATAAATCTCCAATTTCTTCGTCACATTTCTTTTCTTATTTTTATATTTTGTTTGCAATACACGGGCCAATAAAAATATAAAAATATATATATAATTCTTCTTCCATTGCTACTTATAAAATTGAGAAAGAATTTTGCATATAGATGTAATTATCAAAAGAGAAGCATTATCATCATTAGCATTACACATAGGTTCATATTTATTTTAAAAGTTCGCATTTTTAGGTGTTGATTAAGTAGGATTTGGTTTGATCGCCCGTGGGTTTCTAGCTTGTTCTTTCCCTCTAGAGTTTTTCTTTTTCTGTCCTACAATTACAGATCGAGAAGGTATTTGAGTGAGAGAGATCAAGCAAATCTAGGCTTTTGTGTTTGGTTTGTTTAGAAAAATGGGATCTTCTTCTGGGCAAAGTGGGTACGATCTGTCGTTTAAGATCTTGTTGATTGGAGATTCTGGCGTTGGTAAAAGCAGTTTGCTTGTGAGCTTCATTTCCAGCTCTGTTGAAGATCTTGCTCCTACTATTGGTAGTAATTACTCTCTTAAACTTGATTTCTCTTTTATTTTCAGGAAACTCAACCGAGAAAAGGTCTTAGATTTATGTCTTTCGTGTGTTGTTGATCAAACAGTAGTTTCCATACCTGGAAGAGCTTGAATTTTGATGATCATCTGTCTGATTTGTGTTGGCAATTCTCTGTTTAATGATCGCATTCCCACTGAAACAATCTTGGCTTTTTTTGATGATTCAGCTTTTAGCATTACCAAGTTAGATACTTTCTGTCTGATAATATAGTATTGGTTTGGTTTAAGCAAATCTGTAACATTGTTAATTTAAACTTAATTATTACTCACTCGTAGGTGTTGATTTCAAGATCAAACAATTGACAGTAGGAGGCAAACGACTGAAACTTACAATCTGGGACACAGGTAGGTGAATAATTTCTATACTGAGATTGTAGAAAGTTATGTTCATACAAGAAAACTAATGGTTGTTGTAACATTCTCGGCTCTCTCGTTGTAGCTGGACAGGAACGGTTTAGAACACTGACAAGCTCTTACTACAGAGGCGCCCAAGGGATCATTCTTGGTAATGCCCATCATATCAATCAATCCCTGTATAGTAAGAGATCTCTCTGTTTGTAAAGTGTTTAGTTAACGTGTTCTTGGTGAATGCAGTTTATGATGTGACGAGAAGGGAGACATTTACAAACTTGGTAGATGTGTGGGGTAAGGAGATTGAGCTTTACTCTACAAACCAAGAATGTGTTAGGATGCTCGTTGGGAACAAAGTCGATAGAGTGAGTTGCAATTCGAGATTACACAACTTGTTCTCAAACACAGTTTGGTCGTTCGATAGTTGTCTTGATAAAAAAAAAAACATATATGATTACAGGAATCTGAGAGAGGAGTTAGCAGAGAAGAAGGGATTGCTCTAGCGAAAGAACTCAAGTGCATGTTTCTTGAGTGTAGTGCCAGAACTCGTCAAAACGTGGAACAGTGTTTCGAAGAGCTGGCTTTGAAGGTAAGATCCTGAACTGGTAAAAACTGACTCGAAAAGATAGATTTATGCTTTGTATCTAAACAGAGAATCATTCTGTGATGAGACAGATAATGGAGGTACCTAGTCTTTTGGAAGAAGGATCAAGTGCTGTGAAGAGAAACATCTTGAAGCAAAAACCAGAACACCAGACTAGTGCTCAAGCAGGCTGTTGCAGCTGATGAGGCGAGTCGAATTTACAGTTAATAAAAAACTCGAATTGTTCTTATGTGTGCATCGCAGTCTCAACCCGATTCTTCTCTCTGAGGTTGCCTCTCTTGTGTGTAACATAATGGTAGCTTCTCTGTAAATTTGTGGGATTACTTTTGCTCTTCTTTTGCTTCTGAAATGAGATTGTAATAACATCGTAGAAGAATGAATCAAGCCTATCTAGTGTTTTCTTCAAATCCGTGTTTATTTAGTTTAGATTCGATTAGAGAACACACACCACTCAAAAGAGAAGAAGATAGCCAACTCTTAATTAGACTGCATAGTCAGAGTTATACACACTACAACAGGTTGATTTTTCATAAATTCATAGTCTTTTAACATAGTTTCTTCGACCAACATAGTCTTCCATATCAGGAAGATCATTGTACGGGAATTGTGGAGATAGCAAATTAGAGACATAGGATCACAGCCATCAATGAGAAATCCTACTCGTTCTAAGTATCAACATAAGAACGATCTCTGAATTGAGATGTAAGAGATGAGAAAGACGGCAATAGATTGAAAACCGGTGCAGGCAATACATCTACACGTAACTACAGCAAGCCGACTTTTCGGTTGTAGACGAAGATGAAGCAGCATCTTGTTTCGTGATCTTGATACCTTGGGGCTGCAGAGCAAACAAGAACAATCCATAAGTTTTACTCCGTTATAATGAAGGTATAATAACAAAATGAAGAGTAAAGTAGTAGTAGTCTCTACCTCTGCCTTTGTATCGGTTTCTGTCAATCTTTGTTTGATGTCTTTTGTGATTGAAAGGAAAACCGACTCGACATTGAGGTTTGTTTTCGCACTCTGCAACAATTGCAATCACAATCTTAAGAACATGTCTCTGGAAATATCAATGAAAAGGCGAGACATGTTATGTTTTAATGTAGCTCACCGTCTCAAAGAATTTGATACCATACTCATCAGCCAAAGCTTGGCCCTTTGCTTTTGGGACGGCCTGAAGAAGAAGATCTCACATCAGTATACAACATCAAGCTATAGGATAGGGCATGAAGTATGCAACTGAAGATTACTAACCCTTTTGCTTTCATCCATGTCAGCTTTGTTACCAACCAATATTTTGTTGACGTTATCTGAGGCATGCTGCTCTATGTTCTTCATCCAGTTCCTAATGTCTGTCATTAACAATCGCGATCAGTTGCCACAAGTCTCACAATTTCTTTGAAAACGTCATTGCAAAATTGACTTGATAATATAAAACTGTAGACATACTGTTGAAGGATGACTCATCCGTTACATCGTAGACAAGCAATATACCCATAGCTCCTCTGTAATAAGCTGCATTGAAAAGAAAAGGAAAACGATTTAAAGGAAGTTCAGAAACAGATGAATTGTCATTTACTTCTTGAAGTTTGGAAACACACAAGCTATCATCAAGAATCAAGATATACAAGTAGAAACATCAGTCAGATATAAGAACCTACAAGCCTCTTAAAGAACCAATTAACAAGGTTTTAAATCCGAAAGCAAAAAATAAAGTCGTGTACCTGTTGTTATAGTTCTAAAACGTTCTTGACCAGCTGTGTCCCATATCTGCAATTTGATACGCTTCCCATCAAGTTCAACAGTTCTTATCTTGAAGTCGATTCTGGAAAAGTAGTCGTAAGACAAGCTTAGACGCAAATATAACATTTCGACAAGTCTTAAGAAAACAGCCATATTGCTGAAGACATACCCAATGGTAGTAATGAAACTTGTAGTGAAAGTATCATCGGAGAAACGCAGTAACAAGCAACTTTTCCCCACACCTGAACATATATATACACATAAAGCTATAATTAATTAACACAAAATCGATGAATTAAAAATAACTCTGCAACTAATTTTGTCAACGGCTTCCACAATTTCATTTTTTCTTCATCTACACAAGATTTATTCTACTAGTGGAGTAAATCAAAATCGTAAACCCTAATTAAGATCGCTAAAACGGAAACGAAACGCTTTCAGGAAACGAAATCGAAACACTTGTGAGATATCCAATTGCTAATTTTAGTCCGTAAGAAGAACACATAAATGGAGAAGAAGCTTACCGCTATCGCCGATGAGAAGGAGCTTGATGAGGTAATCATAGTCCGAGCGAGCTCTTGCCGGCGCAACCGCCATCGCAGAAGATAAAAATAAGCTCACAAATTTATCCTTTTCGCTTCTCAGCCAAAGCTAAATCGAGCTCTGCTTTCTTATTTACCGGAGAATCTCCTTTGTTTCGCCGGAGATTATAATTTTGTATGGAGACAGCTAAAAAGAGAAAGCTAATGGAATGCTTCCAATGCCGCTGAAGAAAAGAAGTTGATTGCTGCTGAAAAATAATTTCTGGTGGATATTATTTTATTTTGTTTATAGTTTTTTAGACCCCAAACTATAAATATTTACAATTAGCCCCATACTTAATATACGATTAAGTAGCATGAAGTTTTCAAATCAAGATCTCGCATAAGTCTAATCCGGTTTACACCCAAAAACAGATTTAAATTTAGAATAACAAACAAAATCTGATAAATATACTTGAACAAACAACAAATTAAACCAATCTGAAAACCGGATTAAATACTCATACGTTTACCAATACATCTAGATAGTGAAATTTCCAATGACCATAAATGAAACACAACTTTTCTGATGGTTGATTCAGGGTAGTTTTAAATATAAATTAGCTAGAAGGATGAGAGTAAAAACATTTGGGGTAATTGTATGATATTTGGGAAAGTTCGGGGCTCAGTTAACGGGAAGAAAGAATGAAATATTTGCTGTGATCTAATGCGGTCGGTGCAGTGTACAACAGCAGAATAATGGAGTTTTCTGGTGAGCTGTCAAGCAGTTAGTGGGTGAAAACGGTTGCTTTGCTGTATGTACGTCGTACGCTAGCGTAATCCAGCAAAGTATCCAATCATGCCAGAGAGCTTCTGTTTACATGTGATGTGGCATAGTTCCAGACAAAGTCAAATATATTCATTCATCCACATATATATTCTTCTTATAATCTCACATGTATATAATTGTATTAAGAGAGTCTCCGCTTATTAGATCTTTTTTTAAATTAGCCACTTACATAACCTTACGAATTCAAACATTGAACTTGTCACGTCTCTTTGCGTAAATGATATACAAACGACGTATAAGTCGAGATAATAGAAACACTCTTTTTAAGTCTATCCCATAATCATAACGACTGATCTTTGGAATCGTCGTTAATTACACTAAATGGCCCGATGTTTTGTCTTGTTAAAACGTCGATACATGGTTTGTATCAATCAAAAATGCGAAAAGTACAGCCACTACACTAATTAAATGTGTGACCGACGTTTTCTGAAAAAATTACTAAACATAGTGATGATGATATACTTTAAAATGATTAAACAGTAGTAGGGTACCACCACTCTAATTAAATCTTTCATTTTAGTTTCTTAGTTAATCAGAATCACAGAATGGTTATGGACCTTATGGTTTTCTATCCATAATCTCAGTGGAGAAAATGCATGAGATAGTCCAATTTATTTGAATGAGACATCCTTAATTACAGTATCACTGTTATATCAATCTTTTCAAACATCCTTGATTCCTTTCCAACTGTTAGTCTGTTAGGAAGATTCACTCGTTTCTTTTTATAAATAAAAAAAAAAACATTCACTCGTTTCTTTTTATAAATAAAAAAAAAAACATTCACTCGTTTCTGTTAGTAATAATGTTGTACTTTCTCTACATATCATGTTCATATTACCAAAAGAGAAATATTGATGAGACATAACATGATCGATATAGAAATGCCATTAGACCCACACACAAAAAAATGATACGTAGCGTAGTATAGATCCTAGCTATTTCTAGAAGGTGTTGTGTAGTATATAAAAATCACGGCATCTATGATATTTTACGATGGTATTTCCAAACTACATAACATCTATATATATATATTAGAATGAAATAATCTATGGATAATAAAGAAATCTGGAAAAAAAAAACTTTTTTAAAAAGGAAGAATAAAACGGAAACAACCCCAAACGGAAGTGAAGTGCAACGAAAGGAGTTAGTGGCGGCTAACAAACGAAGTGACTTTATATGAAAGTCATCGTCACATGCTTCTTCCACTCTACAAGGAACATCTTCAGCATCTTTAATCATTCTCCCAAAGTTAAGTATTACATAACTTTGTATATTCTCGATGATTATTGAAAATGTGCCAATTATGAATTTCTCTTTTAGATGATGACATTACCACATTCAAGCAAACTAAATCACGAAGCCGAAATGTTAAAGAATGAAATAATTTGAAGTTAATTCAATCAATGTCAAATTACAAGAATCAATATTAGATAATAATAAGAGGAGGGTTAAAATGATGAACATATCAATGTAAAAAAAAAGTAATTACAAGAACTACTTAATTAGTGATGACAGTCAATCAAAGAATTGGACGCGGCTGCGAAGAGAAGCATTTGGTCTTTGGACGCAAACGCGAACTTCGGTTCATCTTCTGGCGCTGGAAGATTCAGATCTAACTCCAAAAAGTTCTTTGGCCGTATAGATTCTTGGTGATGACTTGATGGTGTCGCTGTTTTGATAGCGTTTGCGTTTACTGTTAAACCTCTATGTCTCCTCATATGACCTCCTAAGGCTTGTCCTGAAGAAAACTCGGCCTTGCAGATCGAACATTCATGAGTTTTTTCCGGTTTCTTGCTACCATTACTGCTGGTTACTTGTAGAGAAAGAAAGCTTCCTACAACTCCATCTTCCACCGTTTCAATCGCAGATACAGATGCAGTTCTCTTCTCGTCACATTTGAAAACGCTTGCTCCGAGTTTCGGCTTCTTGTGGCTAGCCCTGTGCCCGCCTAGCGCTTGAAACGAGTGGAAGCTTTTATCACACGTTTTGCACTGGTAAACACCGTCTAGCCCTAATTCTAGGGAAGCCATCGGTTTCTTGTTACCCACGAATCCCATCTTCGACGTCGACAAATGATCGCCGCTACTCTTTGCTTTATGTCCTTGCGACAATAACATCAGACAATTGGCCATGTCTTCGTCTTCATCTGTAGCTCCTCGGAATTCGACTTCACCAGCTTCGTGTTCTCTCGCCTCCAACGATCGTTCACCGCTGCAAACGCCAGATACTGCTTCTGCGTTCATAAGAGGAGACGCAGATCGCTGACGTTTGGTTCGTTTGCCCTTGATGAGGAGTACTAGACGCGTCTCCTCGTGAACACTTGTCATGATCGTCCGTTTTTAATTTGGCTCTGTTATAGAAACACAAGAGAGATATGTGTATTTATGGAGAGAAGTATCAAAGAGTGTTTGGTGGGTTTGGTTTATATGTCTGAGTATCTATATATATTTGTGATTGTATTTGTTTATACACACAGTACTCTTGTATATATATAGAGTATATATGTAATGAAGGGTAAGAGAAAGGATGAGAAAAGAAGCAAACCCCATATAACTTTTGGTGAAGGATTCCTTTCTGGAAGTTTTGGTTTGCAAGCCTGGAACCACTTGTTTCTCTCCTCTTGTTTTTTTTTTTCTTATTTAAATTATTTTCTCTTTCTTTGGTTAACTTTGTTTTGCTTGTTTTATGGATCAAATTAATTAAATTTAATTAATACAGTATTTACTAAATTTAAATACTCATGACAATTTTCTCCATTTCATACTTATAATTTCCATCTTGGTACACACTAGCTAATAACAAAATGAATCCATTCAATGTCAGCACTAGCTAATCTTAGCAGAATCTTTTGTCTGAAAAAAAAGAAATAAATCAAGTTGAAGTGGTGGCAAAAGCATGATTTACTTAGACATATGTATATATAGCTACTTAAGTGCATATATTTAATTACTTTAAACTGTTATTTTAACACTTGGCAAAATGTGACAAATTGTATTGTACATTATACTAAGAAATAAATAAAATTGAATTGCTTTCTCTACTTATGTCATGCATTCTAGAAATATTTGTTTTTTTTTCCTTTCTATTCTACACTATATATTATCAATTACTAAAATCCTAAAACTTTTAAAACAACAATCTACACTCCATCTTTAATGGTTTTATCCACATATACAAGATTCAACACGCAACACATAGTAATAGTACCACAATACAGGATTTGATCCACGTATAAGTTACATTTGAGATTTGAATCCAAATATGATACATAAACCATCAAAATGCATATGACTTCACTTTGAAATACGATTCCACGTCTGGATTTGTTTCATAATACTACTAGCTAATCATTGTGGACTTGTGTACACTGAACTTAACTAGCTGATTAATTAATGAAGTTAAATAATTGGAAAGTAAAAGGCAATCGAATTTTAGGGTCGAGCAGTTCATGTGCAGTTGAGCCAACCCACAATTACACAACGCACAATTATGAATCATGATCATAGTTATAATTTTTTAATTATAATGATATTAGCTATAACGTATTAAATATATAATATCACTCCCTATGTTTGCGCCTGTTTCTAAGATACATTGATTTTTATTTAGGTCATCCAATTATTTGATGAAACCATTATTAATCTTGTGATTAGCTAATAATATGTATTCGGTGAAGTAACCTCCCTTATCTTAGTTTCTTAATATTAATAATAATTAGTTATACTGTCCTATAGGGTCTTGTAGTATTACCAATAACTCGGTGGCAGCAATCTATAAATTTGCAAAAACTTTATAATACGATAGAAATTCTACAAATCAAAAGTAAGAAAAATAATGAGTTTCTTAGAAGTGTACTGATATCCAACTTTTACTCATTCAACTATACATATTAGTTGTCCTCGGCTCTATGATTATATCTTGATAACGTGTTACATATATATAATTGATTATTAAGAAAGAATATTTTTGAGTGTATTGTGAAGCTAGTATCACAATTTTAAAATCGTATATTATTTAATATAGAAATTAATTAGGAGGAACTGTTTATGTCTTGGCGTCGAGGATTGTGTGTGTGAAAGAGAGAGATAGAGAGAATTGCTTGGCCGCCAAAAGAAGCCATTACTTGCCAACTAGCTAGCTTCACTACTCACCCTAAGCAAAGCATATACTTATTTTTAATAATCAAACGATCATTTCATTCATCATCCTCACAAAAACCTTTTTATTTATTTATTATTTTCTTAAAAAGAAAGGCTTTTTAGAAACCGTTAGGTAGTCGTTGCAAGGATCACTTAGAGGCAAGGGTTTAGAGGACATCTACAGATTATTGAAATTAAAATTAAATTACTAAAGATTTCACGACTGAAATTTGTGTTATAAGAAAATGTTTACATGCAAAATATGATTTAACAACGAATTACGTGACTACCTTATATATCCATAAATCGTAGATGTGGTAATGATTCACTTTCGTATTTTATTGAGAAAATATCCTAGTTATGCGTGACAGAAACAAAAAATAAATCATGCAAGACAGACGTCATCGATTTTCTCTACACTCCACACCCTCTTATGACTATAACTGTATACTATTTAAATACTGAAAAAAAAAGTTACAACGGTAATCTTCAAAAAATATCTGTATTAGGTTAGGTAGAACCGTTATATTATCTCTCAATTGCATGAATCGTGTTCATTATCTAATTCTGCACACAGTGACGTTATTTCCATAGTGCCCCCGTTTCTATGGTGAAGGTGGTGCATTCTGATTGGTCGGTAGTGGATACAGTGATTTTAATCAGTTCACCACCACCTGAATGATTTGACATTTATAAAAATGTTAATGCGCACTACCAATAATATTTCATGAGCGACCACAATTCACTATTCTTTTTTCTATTTATAGTGTCAGAATCACAAATTGTTGGATGATTCAGATAAGAGATTTTGACCAAGTAAATAAAAGCCATAAAGACTTTATTGCTCTCACTGCTTCTGTTGGTTGTGGTAGCGCTGGTGGCTACGACCTTTAGACAGCCGGAGGAGCTGACTGAGGCGTGGGCACGGAGAATCCTGACGACGGAGAAGATAGCCGGAGGAGACGTTGAGGCCGATGTGAATAACCACCATAGCATTCCGAGGGAGTCTTGGGATAATAATAACAATAATAATCCATGACATAACTATTACTTGGATGTTTTGTAACATCATCATGTTTTGCGTGATCCTTGGCTAATTTGCTGCTACCATTCGAACCAATTATAGACAACATTGATTTAGAAGCAGAATAAAGTACATACATATGCAAAATGTTTCACATAATCACGTTATTAAATAAAATAAAAATATTTTCATTTTTTTTTGTTTGTGTGTGTGTGTAATAGACTTAAGAGAGTCTTCCAAATTCTTCGACAAGTCTTTGTAAATTAGCAATAGAGCTCCCATTTGCCTCCGTCATGGCTCCAGTTTTCCGCCGTATCTCCTCCGCTCGAGCAGCCACCTGAGATCTGCTCTCACCCATCGTCTCAGCTATAAGCCGACCCAACTCATCCGGGTCGGGTACAGTTTCAGCCCCTTCGCACACCCTAACGGACGCACCCAAATGCTCCACAAGTAACTTCGCGTTCACAAACTGGTCCGCTTCCATGGGCCAGCCCAGTATCACGGCCCCACTCGTTATACCTTCCAGCACTGAGTTCCATCCACAGTGGCTTAAAAATCCACCGACTGCCACGTGCCGCAAAACCATCAGCTGTGGGACCCACCCTCTGATCACAATCCCCCGTCCAGAAACCCGATCCTCGAAACCGTCGGGTATCGGATCTTTCTTGACCACCCAAACGAACCGGGTCATGCTTTTCTCGAGGCCTAGAGCCAGAGCGTCGCACTGTTCTTTGGTCAACGCCTTTTGACTTCCGAAACAAACGTAGAGGACTGACCCGTCTGGGGATCCGTCGAGCCAACTAAGCAGATTCGGGTCTATGGAACCCGACTGAGATTTCAGACCCGACCCGATTGAACAAAGCGGGCCGATTACGAAAAACCGATCATGACCCATTCTCTGTTTCACGTACTCCAAATACTCATTTTCTAGACACTGTGACGAATTGAAAACAGTTCCGTAGCTCAAACAATTCATGGAGAAATCTTTGATTGTTTCGAGGTCCGGCGACGGAGCTTGAAGGCATCGTCGGACCACTGACGGAAGATGCTCTTCCTTGAAGATCGGAGAACGAGGAAGATCCAGGAGATGGATCGGATCAGTCGACTTGATCTGATCGATGTTTTCGCAGCAAAATTGGATGACGGAAACTAAGAAGGCGCTGATGGAGAAGAAAGCGAAGCGAGGAATACCGATCTGATCGCAGAGATCGTGAGTCCATCCGAGGAAGAAATCGGAGATGAGAGCGACCGGAGGATTCGGGTGAGATCGGAACCAGAGGACGATTGGACCTCGAAGCTGACGAAGAGAGGCCATGATTGGGAGATTTCCGGAATTTCCAACGTCTTTGACGTTCTCGACGCCGGAAGGGAGTGAAGGATGGGGAGGGAAAGGGAAAACGACGGAAGTGATGGAAGTGGGATGGGCGGCGAGAAGAGGAGAGAGGTATGTTAAGTTGCCGGGAGTGACGACGACGGAGACGTTGACGCCACGGAGGCAGAGTTGGTGAGTTAAGTCAAGAAGAGGCAGCAAGTGGCCTTGTGCTGGGAACGGAAACACCACGATGTGCGGTTTCGAACCCTCCGATGATCTACTACTTTCCGGCCCCGTCATTTTCGCGGTACCGTGATTATAAAAACTTCACGCGTAATAATTGCGCAATGTTACAAGAATATTTAGTAGTGAAATTTCCCATTATATATATACAGTACATCGTTTTCTTGAGAACGAGTTATGTTCCTAACTTCCCCAATGATTGTAGCTAACTAAGTTGCTTTCCAATTTAAAATTTACACCTTTGTTTATTTCGATTAGTTAGCTACGACCTTAGTTGAGTATATGAAATCGCAATTAGAAAGAATTGGGATTAAGAGAGAAGGCTCATTTGTATTCGAAGAACAATAGTTAAATACTCTCTCTTATATCAAATCTCTAACCTTTCAAACTCTCAAGAAGATTAGATTGGGTCAAGCGACAAAAGTGAATACCGGTTTTGTTTTACAGCTCCGTGTATATATCAGTCCGAGAGCTTAATTTGCTTTAGGTTCAACAATCCTCCACTTGATTGTGGCGATGCTGCTGTCTCATCACTCATCAGTCATCACCTTCATTGTTACTAATCCTCAAACCATCAAAAACGTTGAGTGCGGTTTCAAAGTTTGTATTGTCACTCCCGCCACGGAATGGTTCACGAGTACTCGAGTCCACGACTCGTCTTCTTGATCCAGGTATCAGCGTATCCTCTGCAGTCCCAGGTTCGTCAACGTTCTTGTTCCTCTGCTTCACGTCTCCAGATTGTGATTGCTGATTCTTGAGCACCGTCCAGTCAAACACAAAATCAAACTGGAAACCTTGGCGAATGAAAAGCTCGCGGAATAGTCTCTTCAAGTAAGCATAGTCCGGCTTATCGTCAAACCTAAGCGAGCGGCAGTGATTCAAGTAGGATTCAAACTCTGTTGGATGAACTCTGCATAACGCCTCGACGCAAGTAGATACCTTCTTCTCCCTAATCTTCTCGTGCTTCTGTTTCTTGTTCCCACCAGCTTTGAGTTTCTGCCATGGGAGGCTTCCCTCGAGGAAGTAGATGAGGATGTAACCAAGAGATTCCATATCGTCCCTCCGACTTTGCTCGATCCCTAGGTGAGTGTTCAAGCTCGCATATCTCGGAGTCCCAATAAGGCTTTTGTTCTCCCTGTACGGGATATGTCTGCGTGTTGAGCTGTCTCTAAATTTCTTAGCCAAGCCAAAGTCTATGATGTAGACCTGATCTGCACGTCTGCTTCCTTCCAAACCCATGAGAAAATTCTCCGGCTTCACGTCACGATGAATGTACGACTCAGAATGGAGGCACTCGAGACGGGTTATCATCTGATCAGCCAGCATGAGAACCGTCTTCAAGGTGAATCTCCTGTTGCAGTAACTAAACAGATTCTCAAGGCTTGGACCAAGCAAATCCATCACCAAAACACTGTATTGGTCTCCTTCAACACCATACCATTTCATGTTTGGGATCCCAAATCCACCTTGGAGAACTCTGTATATCTTCGACTCATATAATAATTGCGGCTGAGCAGTCTTCACGCTTTCAAGCTTTATGGCGACCTCTTCGTTAGTCTGAGTATCAGTTCCATGGTATATATCTCCGAACGAGCCGCTCCCTATTTTCCGGCCAAGCCGGAACTTATTCCCAATTCGGAGTTCCATCGACGATTGTTTAAACCCTAACTCTTGTTCTGCGCCTCTCTCGCTTTTGCCTTGTTGGTCTTGTTCATTCAAAATATTTAGGGTTGCAACTCAGTTGTAATAAATCGGGAATATATAGGATTTGCTCTATTTATTTATAATGTAAAGTTTCCAAATCAAAACAAAAACTAGTGTACATGTCATTAAGTTAGTTTGATATAATTTTTCGCTTAGATGTTTCTCTACGCTCTCACCTCCCTTCAATTTAATTTTATTAGCAAGATAAATCAGCACTACAAAAAATAATTTACCGGATTAAAGATATACTATTTTTTTAGACCCCCAAAGTTATTAAAAAGTAAAAAAAAAATAATATAATAATTGCAATGCTTAGTAAAATGGAAAAAAATTATTATTACTTGATTTGGGTATTTTTCTAAGAAGTGATCATATGATCTTCTCTTTCTCGCTCCTCAACTGCTTCATCTAATCTCCTCCACCTACTTTGGCGTTGCTCTTCCACTTCTTTCGATCTGGCTTGTTTCTCTTCGTACTGTTGCTGGCACTCTTCAAAGAGCTCAGGATCCATCTCCATGAACATTCTCTTTATGTTCGAGCTTAGACCGTGAACCGCCTGGTTCCAGTGAGTCTCTATGTTCTTCTCCAGGGATGCGAATATGATGGGAAGGATCACGCTTCGGTTCTGCGCGATTAGACCGACGATGTGCTCGTTGTTCCACAAGAACAGAGCTCGTTCTGCAACCTGCATCGGATGTTGATGTATGTATGTGAGCATGAGAGATATTGAAGATTTCAAAATTCCAAGTAATCGAGCAAATTCTGGATAAATTTGAGCCAGAGGAAAGATGGAGTCAGAGTGAACTATATGGGAAATGAACAAAGAAAATGCAACAGTTTCAGTAAATTCAGAGGAGTTAGTTGTCTCTGCAGAGCTAAATCACGAAGAGTGAAGCTACAGATTAATGTTAAGCATCAAAGAATTCAATTTGCAGATTGTAATAGCAAATGCATGAGATAAGTCCATAAACAGAGATGAGCCACTATCAAAATAATCTTGTAGAAGAAACATGGGTTCATAGGAGAAAGAAGCAAACAGAAATAAAGTACAATGCGAATCACAAATCTCCACAGAGCGCATAATTTGCATATGTAATAGGCATAGAGCTTTGCCCCAATATGGCAAAATTATCACACAGGTTGTTGATATGCATCAGTGAGAACCTTCAATGAACCGATTGAAAACAAAAAAATCAACCGATAAGAGATTGCTAACCTGAAAGTGAGAGCTATTGAGGCAGCGAGCAATCTGTTGGAACAGAGGAACCATACAGCGTTGGAACTCAACAGGTTGTGTTGCCTCGAGTACCTCTTCAAGTTCACCAAGGAAGAGAACCTCTTTTGTGCAGTTCGTCACAGGCCAAAACTTTAGCAATCCCCTGATCACTGTATCCGCAAGCTTATAATCTTTCTCCACAAACTGAACGATGCAGTAAGACAACTGCTGATGATACATGGCGATAGGTTTCGGCTTATGCAGCGGAATCAACGCCCTGATCAAAAAGAGCTTGTGCTCCTCCTTCATCGGCAAGGCAAACCCATTTATAATGCTCCCCAGAATCTCCAAAAGCTCCCCAATCCCGCTATGTCTCTCTGTCTCGTAAATAAACCTATAGAATATGTGGTTGATCCCTTTCCTGATAAAGGGCCTGTGCACCATAAACTTCCCATAAATCCTATGAAGAATCGTTTTCAAGTACTCCCTTTCTCTTGGATCCTCAGTCTCAAACAATTCAAGCAGCCTCAACACAAAGGAATGGTCAATGTAACGCTTCGCAACCTTTGTATCCGTGTCGGAAGGAACAACGTATCTCAGCAGAAGCTCATAAACTAGCTGTAAATGAGGCCAAGAAGGTTCCAAATACGGCTCCTCTTCCTCAGGATCCGCCGGCTCTTGACCTGTATTCTCGTGTGAAGCCGGAGGGAGACACCGGAATATATTGACGGATATCATCTTCACCATTTCTTCCTGACAAACTTCGTTGATCTTCCCCGATCCGGACTGTATAAAATCCACTAGCTCCAATAACGTCTGCCTCTTAATCTCCTTCTCCCTCGCACTCTTCATCGTGTCTGTAAAATCAAACTGGAAACAGCAAATCTGCAGTTTCCTCAGGAACAGGGATTGGCGCTCGGGAACGGGCACGTCCCTGAACATAGGGAGAGGCTCGACTGAATACATGGGAGGCGGTTGTGTCGCCGCCGGCACTGAGCCCGGAGAGGAAGGAAACGGCGAACCACGGGATGCGTGATTTACAACCATATTGGACCCAAGACCAGACCGACCCGGTGGATCAAACCCGAACATAGACGGATCATTCGCCTCGTTTCTAGAGGACTTTCGGCTCCCACTTTTCATGATCTTCTTAAACATGGCTTACGCACTAGAACGGACCTCCAAGAACCCTAGTTTCCTCGATTCTCCCTAAATTTAAACCCTAGGTTTTCCGAAACTGGAGATATCACGACGAGATTCAGTGGAGAGGAACTCAAAATGGATCAATCATGCAATGGAAGACGATTCAGATTCGAATGCTTTTTCCAACGAAAATCTCCCACTACGCTTCTTCTGTATCAGGAGTAACACGATAAGTAACAAACAGTATGTTCTGTAAGATCTGAGGAAGCGAAAATCAGACCGTTGGATTGATCGAAGAGATCTTCGGAGAAATGACCGGATATTTTTAGACAGCGGTTTTTTCCGGCGATCAATTTCGGAAGATGGCGAAAAATAGAGAGAGAAAGGATCTTTAATCGAGAAACAGAAAATGTAAAATTAAGGTAACGATAATTAAGTTTCTTTTGTTACAACATCATCTCTCTTCAATATCAACCAAGACACGATGATATTTAAAAATTATTTTGATTTTGTTTTTTTTTATCATTTTGAAAATAACATTTTATGATTTTATCCTAAACGTTAGCGTAAGTGTGATGGCTTGTGCACGTGGCTTGCGAGTGAAGTGCTCGCAACTTTAACACATTGGTCCATTTATGAACAATGATCACTATATGCAAAGATGCTTGATTCAAAACAAAACAAAAATTATGTAATTTTTTTTATTTATTTAAACACTCTTAACTGATTATCCATTGTTAACATTAACATGACTGCACAAAATAGCTATCACTAGATTTTGTGATGATGAAATCAATCAATATCTACGAATAGTCGGCAATAAACAAATATTTCAAATTTTGTATTCCAAGTTCACAATGGAGAATATAACCTTTGAAGAAAACGAAGGGCTATAACAAGAAGTCATTGTTTGTGTCATTAACTCTTAACTTAGGTGTTTCTAGAGCTATACTTAAAACTCAATTTAACTTACAATATAACTAATAATACAGTTAGAGTGATCCGAATTTTGCTGGGGAATGGGGAGTTTCCCACATGTAAAAGAAATGATCTGTTACATTTTCAGCCGAAAAATTACCATAAACTTTTAACGTACATTATTATCACACCAGGTAATTTCGTAAGGTTCTTGTCTCCAAAACATATCCACAAAACATCAAAAGCTTTGATTAAAGGAGGACTCGGCTTCAATCCTGCTTAACCCCACTCGTCTCCTCCGCAACGACAGGTTTAGCCATTGTCTCTGTACCTTCAGTTCCAGTTTCCCCAGCCAGCTGTAAGAAAGAAAAAAAAGTGATATACAAAGATTCAAACACACAACCACGTAATAAGAATGAAAACTCAGAAATCAGATTTTAAAACAGTGAGTATTCACAGATAGTAAAAGTAAGTTCATGGAAGCTAATGGATGATGGCAGATTGTTGAATTGAAATATAACATAAAACATAAACTGAAGTATCCAAGTATCTTCATCAACTACTAAACTGCTTCAACTAAGAAAAGACTCAACGAAGAATGTAGAGAGACCCAATGTAAGGTGTGACTTACTTTGGTGGCGTTGTCGTTTTTAGCAATTGGCTTGAAAGGACAAGCTGGGGGAACTCTCGCTGGCTTCCTGTACTCCCATCCGAGCCACGCGTACACTTTGGCCTAGTTTTTAAGCATATGAAGAGACAAAAACTCAAAAAAATCAACAAATGATCAGAAGAAAATAGTTAAACAGTGAAGAGTATCTCGAAGGTTCACCAAAGCATGACCTATACAGACTGCTTACAAAAGCAAAATCGGTATGATACAGTAACAGAAGAAAGGTTTAAACATTGCTCTCCAAGAGGTCACACCTAAAGCAGATAGAAACTTGTTTACCTCTTTCACAAGCACAAGTCGTGATCTAATTTCATCTTCATGTATGCCTTTCTTCTTCCTCATTTAATTTTATCATTTTTTTTTCTTAGGGTCCAACCAAATACAACACTCTAGCATCCTAAAATCCAAATCTATGGCTCATGACTTATAAATATCCCATGAATCTGATCATTTTCCGATCTAAATTTCCTAATAATCAAAAGTAAATTTTGAAGATCATCAAGGAAGCACGAGGCTATTACCATTAAGAAATCGATGATCCGAGGCATTAAATTGACGAGCGGGACGAGGAACAGCGGCACCAAACACATAATGCAAACCTGTGTAATTCAGGAGGAACTCGTTAGATTCATTCAACCCAAAATAAAAATCGCATGATTGACAGCCAACAAAGTAGATCCACAAAACAACCGAGTTGAACAAATCTTACCATATTGAAATTAGGGTTCTGTTCTAAGGAATTGGGAATTTCGACAGAAGATGAATAATTGCAGAGATCAATAGGACATCTGGATATGTACTTTCTCAAGTCGTCGCTTCGCTTTATGTCTTTTAAATAAAGCAAACTCTCTGAGGAAGCCAGAAGGTGTTGGGAGACAAACGTTCGTTCCTTTAACGGAGTGTTCAACTTAAAAAGTGACGCCGTTATAGAAATAAACGTGGCTTTGACGGCCAACAAACAGATAATAATATCCGAAAAGGCCCTTTAATAATATTTTGATTGTCAATAGAGTAGTGTAGTACCGAAACCAGCATTCTGGCAAGAGGTTATTTTATGAATTATGATGATTAATAATCTTTTAAACTTTAATAAGTACATGACAATGTGGAGACCAATTAGGTTCGAGTGGTTCAGTAGGGCTTTAGGCGCAATCGCCTTTGCATGGAACGTCTGCACAGCGGCAAACCGGTTTTCCAGCAGCTTCCCAGCCATTGAAGCCGCGTTCCAAGATCATGATGTTCTTTATTCCCGTATCTTGCTTCTTCTCATCGAGATAGTTCACGAGTCTTCTTGCACAAGTTGGGCCACGAACCTGCAACCAAATTGGTTTCAGAGCTTTACAATCACTTCATTTTCGAGTGGGAAAACTATCGAGTGTGTATCTTCACAACAAAGAAAGGGATACTAAAGTACTGAACTTGATGATTTGGAGTGTCAGCTTATCGATGTTTATTTCTAAAGAATGTAATGCAAGTTCCTACACTATGGCACACATTAAGATAAGATGGACTTGTAAGCAAATTCTATTGCAAACCAGTTCATGTGTGTTTTTTTTTTGCTATTTTGAATCCACTTTTGACACATGAAGGCCACTTCAAGAGGTCAAATTTCAGCACAAGATACTGAGATCCATCTAAAAGAACCTACATTTATGCCACTTATATAACCTATAAAACATGAGCCACTTATAACCTATGAAACATGAATGAATAGCCCAAAAACTTAACTAACTGAATTTTCCATCAAGACCATCACATCTTCATCCACTTATGCACCGATAAAAAGCATCATTCAATCATCGCGAGTGTAACAAGGGGAAAAGATGATATTGTGGGGGGAAGAGAAAAGAGTGTTAAGGACAGACCTGGCTCAAAGCACAATGGAAGACAAGTGTGTCTTTGTCCTTGACATTTTGAACAAGATGAGAGATCCTGTCATCAAACGAGCCACTCGCATAGTGTAGCGACCCAGCTATATGCCCGTCATAATTCCTTTCTTCATCCCTGAAAACAAAAACAAAATACACTCAAGTAATTACTACAGTAGGATACAATATCTTCAAAAAAGTCTGGATTTTTAGCCACAAACTCTGTCTCCGATCCTAATTAGGAATTACAAAATTTCGTTTCTTTTATCATAACCACAAAAGCTTTGTTCCCAGCTCATGAGATCCTTTTTTCGATTGAAGTTCATTAAACAAAATTCCAGTTTTAGAGAACATTGATATTCTACTTGATTCATAATAATCAAATCCCAGGATTCAAACATAAAAGACTCGATATCAGTTATACATGGTAGAGCCAAAAACAAGCCTAAGCGAAGAGCCATCGGATTGATTCGACCTAAATTTTGCTAAAGGATTAGATTAGTGAATCAAGTCGCGTATGTTGTGTACTTGAAAGTACCTGACATCGATGATGGCGATGTTGGGACGACGATGGAGAGGAAGGAGCTGAGTAGAGGTGATGTAAGAGATGCTTGTCGCCATTTTTTTATTTTTAGTGAAAAAGGAAAAAATGCTTCTAACCATCTTCAATTCCTTTCTTCCCTTAAAGTCTACGAACATAGGAGCGATTAATTACTAATTAGAGGCGACTCTTGTCTAGACATCCTAAGATAATTAAAATATAATATTTTATCAGCAAGCGGGGATAGCTCAGTTGGGAGAGCGTCAGACTGAAGATCTGAAGGTCGCGTGTTCGATCCACGCTCACCGCATTCCTTTTTAAAATTTCTTTTTTTAAAAAAATTGAACCGTTTCGAGAGCCTCTAACCGATTTAGCGGGTTTGTTCTGCAATATGTGTACTGTATATGCTGTTTGTTTTTTGTTTTATCAGGGGGAGATCTCACGAGAAGTAGACACACCGCGAAAACTTGTGGTACCGAAACGGACTCCTCTCGTTTGGCGCTCAGTTTTGGGTTTCGCCCTAATGCCGCGTCGCCGGCGTTACGCCTTCCGTGGTGGAGGAGTAACAATCGAAGAATTCGAGGAACCTGAGGAAGACGAATACGAGTATGACGAGCCGGACGAAGAAGAGGAGGAAGAATACATCAGAGTAGCAGGCCCACATAGGGTTTCACAGAGCGAGAGTGAAGAGGAAGAGAATCAGAGAAGGTCTGAAGGAGTTTGTTCGACTTCAGGGTCGCAGGAGGATATGGGAAGGAAAGCCGGCGAGACTGAGGGAATAGCGTGCTTGATCTGTATGGAAGTTTGGACCGACGGCGGCGAACACCAAGTCTGGTACTCTCGATTCCACTAATTTTGGGATTCCTTTTTTTTAATACTGCATGCCCTCTTTAGCTATATACGGTTTAGCAGTCTGATGAATTCATCATCTAATTACGCAATTTTGTTAGTCTTAAAACAATTCCTATTAGTTAGACAATTTAGCCAGTAATTTGCTGCTGTGTTTCATTAGATGATTAGGTTTCGTCAATCAGAGTTTTGAACTGTATAGAGCCACTTGTATGGAGTTGTAGCGTCTCTTTCCCCAATTTTCTAACTCCTGTCTTTCTTACCGATGATTCAAGCTGTCTTCCTTGTGGACACTTGTATGGATTTTCCTGCATCAAGAAGTGGTTGCAGCAGCGGCGAAGTGCAGGGAAGGTATGTTGCTGCTATGGAGTTCTTCAGATCCGATTGCTGTTATTGCTGATTCTCTTTCTCATATAGTCACATTGGCTTCTCCTGTAGTGTCCCCAATGCAACAGAACCTGTAGCCTGAAAGATGTCCGTAAAATTTTTGCATCACGGATTACTGCAGTAGACGACGAAGCACACATGGTCATATATTGAATGTCGTTCTTAAATATATATACATGAAACAAATCACGGTATCGAAATCTGATGTTCTTATTTTTTTTATTTTTAATAAAACTCTCAGAGAATCGTATTCCTCGAGACCAAGTTACTTTCAATCGAACAGAAGGTAAGACACCTCGCTCCTGGGGTTTTCCATGATGTGGCTAATTTGCGCTATTCGTAGCTTGGTTCTTTAAACTGATACCAAATTATTCCGAATATAGTTTTCCTGAGTATTAATAACTCTTTCTGTGTCTGTTACAAGTCCTCTATGTTGGTTATGCCTTTCTGTCAGTTGATAGTAACATAATTGCGAAGCACCTACCAGTTTCGTAGAGTTTTAACACAGTGTTCTTACATGTCAAGCAGACTGCGAGTTGGAGTAACAAAGAAGCTCAATGGAAAAAAACTGAAGCAGAGCTACGATTAGAAGTTAATAAGCTGAAAAAGGTATAGTCTAAGAAACAGTATGTTGTAACAAGTCGATTATATATACCGCTATACAAGTCGAGTCTGGAATAAAATAACTTGGTTCGTATCTTTCTAAAGAGACCTTACTTTGAGTAAGGATTCCCAGTTTTATTTTCCTTACTCGAGCTAGCTTTAGCTTTAATTTCAGATTTTGGTTTTTGCACAAAGTTATTGCAGTTTCTCTTTTTAGTTAGTTTTAAAGCTGGACATTTTGCTTTTGCAGAAGATAGCTAGTATGGAAAGCACGACTAAGGGTGTACAGATAGAGTCTAATGTGGCTTCTCAAGAGCAATATATACCTGGTAATTACACAATAACATGCTTCGTGGTTTTAACACAAGCAGCTTTGTTAACATTAATTCTTCTTACTAGATCATACTTAATATGGTTGGTTGCCTTGTCTGCGTAAGCGAAAACCCTTTATTTCGTTTTCTATGCTTACACCGTGTTGTTGATGAATTGTCTCAATGGGGTATCAAATATTCCTCTGATTAAGTAGAATTGATAGGCTTGTTTCCACTCTGACCTTAGAGTTAATCATGGCATTTCATTACCGAAACGCTTAATAGAGGTTTATCTTTAAGTGGGATAAATTCAAATATCTTTCTAAACATTTGTAAGCGCATACCTGTAGGTCATAGGATCTACCAAGAACACCATGGACATGCACCTTCTTCCAGCTTCAGGCATCAGGTGTGGAATTGTGTCCTATCAGACCCGTTATTTTAGAAAGTTTGGCTGAAGTATCGGTTTTATTGCAATTTTGTTTATGGCTGATGCAAATGACGAAGTTCCTTTCATCCAATATTTTGGTAGGGAGAACTGCTAGTTAACGGTGGTCGCATATTTGACATTGATGGTGGTAGACAGATTTTATTACTGGCCCGTAGGCTCCCAGGGGTTGGTGGAACGTTTGTGCTTTCGCAAGTAAGTTTGTTATTCTTGGCCTCTTAATTTTGATCTTAGACCAGTTTAAGTGACGCAACCATATGTTTTTTTTATAATATATCGCAGATGAGCCTAAATTCTGGTGAAATTGATGATATACTGTTGCCCCCTGCCACTAAAGCAATTAAAGATCTTCACCTTTCCCCTCACAATAACGGGCTTGCAGTTTTCGGTTCTCTAGGGAAGAAATTATCTATTATAAGGTTTGGACATTGCTACTTTGCAAGGATTATTTTATTGCTGTGATGATTTCCTTGTTGTCCTAATTACCTATCTGTTCAATTGTTCAGCTTGGAGAGCCACAATACTGTCCTATCTTATAGTCTACCGGTAAACTACAGTCTTTTGACATCTCTTATGAAATTTGCTTTGAATTTGATTTTATGGTCTAATCACTTGCATTTATCTTTGCAAGTAATAAATGACTTTATTAACCTAGATACATTATCTTGTAGGCTGCACCTTGGTCTTGTTCATGGGATCGCAACAGTTCTCACCATATTTATGCTGGACTACAGGTTTAATCATCTTCTTTAGTTTGCTAATTCCTTTTAAAATTCCGCTTATCTGCCTTTAAACAACCTTCTTCATTGCAGAACGGTATGGTTTTAGTGTTTGACATGCGTCAAACCATGAGACCTTTCGCATCGTTGGCGGGCTTAACAAGCAATCCAGTTCATACTATCCATCATCTCTCGGCCAATTCCACTCCAACCACTGATGTATGTTCCCTCTTGTCGGCTTCTTCCATCGGGCTTTGTCAGTGGAACATTAATGGCAGCGAGGGAAGGTGAGGTTTCGTGCCTCTTTTACATTGATGCTTGGATAAGTTTATATGCATTTTCTTGTGTCTAACTTGTCATATATCGTTTTTTTGTTTTTATATGTTTAGGCCATCGTTGCTTTCTGAAACAGGAAACCCAGGGGTTTGCATTTCGTCCTCGTATTGTCCTCGGAGTGATCATATTGTTGCTTCGTATAGACCGAGAGTTGTATCTTCTGATGATACAATCCCGACTCAGCCTTCGTCGACTCAAACAGGAGTAAATAATAGCAGTATCGGTGTAGAGGGATCGCATGTTTGTCTCAAGAGAAGAGGTGTTGATTCTTTTTATCAGAAACTGTCATCCACACCTGCTTCGGTAGATACCATCCGTTTGCCAAGAACAGCGATCATAGACTTTGGCGAGCAAAGAACGCAGCTTTTTGCATCTTGTGAGGAGTCCACTCGCGAGCTCATCCTGCAAGATCCTTCCTCTTTTACCGTCTCCCAACGGCTCCCATTGGCAAGTCATCATCCGCTTCAAGACGTGAAATACGCTCACGTGAATGGCTCCGGTCTGCTCGGTCTCTTAACCGATGATAGATTGCAGCTTCTTAGAAACGAATCTTCATGAAAAGGAGAAAGGTAAAAGTTGTTTCCGTTATAGTTACAGTTTGAAACTCAAGAGTTAATTTGCTTACGAAATTAATCTTATTTAGATTGCTTTGCAGGGATTAGTGTTTGTTGAAGACCGAACGTATATGTAAAGCGGCTAACTTCTTTATCGTTTGTAAAACAAACATGCCAATTAAGTAATATTTAAAAATGGCTAAACTGCTGCAAGTGTTTGTTTAATTTAGTTTTTGTATATACGAATTGAATCATTTGGTGGATTTTAAAACATCCATGAGGAAAAAATGTAGAAAGATCAATTCGCATAATTGCAATGAAAAAAACCAAAAAAATCCGACCTGCCGGAATCGAACCAGCGACCTAAAGATTTATCTGTTGACTTTCGCCTACTACAGTCTTCCGCTCTACCAACTGAGCTAAGGTCGGTCTTGCTAATTTAATGATCTCAATTAATTAAGTATTAACAATATAGTTAAAGAACCTAATGTCCTAATAGAGAGAGGAATGAAAGCCATTAAAATACTTTTCCATTGGATTCTGATTCGTTTTCGATTACTTCTGGAAGCTTTCTCGGCGAAGTATTCCTCAGTCCCCATCCGTCGTTGATTCTGCTCATCAAAGCTTCCGGGAAAGTGAAGGTCATATCTCTCTCTTTCTCTTCTCTCTCGATTGTTACGAGCTCTGTTTTCTAGTACTGTATGTGGCTACAAACGAAGCATCTCTATATCCTTCTCCGTTGGCGAAACCCTTGGAACAATTTCCTATGAACAATTTCTTTTCTTCAAGATATGGGCAGAACAATTTCATCACTTTCTTCTTCTGATTATTGGATTGATTATGTTATGATTACTATTCAACTTTATTCCACATGAGTTTTGGGTCGATTTTGTGACTTGAGTTTCTTTTTGTCACGATCTCTGCCGTTTTGTTCTCGTAGAAACTGTAAAGAAATAATAATGTAGAACAAGTTTTAGGGTTCTTCCTTTCTCTGCATTGCCTCTGATTGTGAGAATCCTATTTTATTCCAAATCTTAGTCGTAAGATAATGAGAAGAAGGGTAGTTTCACAATGAATCTGATTACGGAGAATCTTGGTGTAACGATGTGTATGTGTAGATAAAGTGTTATGTCTCGTTTCGTGTTCAAGGTAATTACAAATGTTTTTGTTTTTTCCCAGAGTTTTTCGGTCTTCTTGCAAGCTTCAAGTTTCGGAGGTTCTGATTTGACTTTGATTCTATAAGGGCTCTTTGTAAGGTGATCGTTTGTGCATTCAGTTGACAATGGAAGCTATTCATGATTCTGCTAACGTTTCAAGTAATTCGAGCAATGGTATTGAGGAACCAACTGAGAATATCTTTGTGAACCATGGTAAGCTCCAACACCATTCACAGGAATCAACCAAGTTCTTATGTTCAGCACCTATCTTGTTCCTCTCTCTTGGATCATGTATGCATGCATGGATCTTGAATTGTGGTTCCCTTTTTGTTTTGCAGCTGAGATTGCATGGCAAGAGATGAGAAAGAAGTGGGTTGGAGATCCGTCTAACAGGACTTCAGAGATGCCTATGGAACCTGTAATAAGGTACATAACAAAGTTTAATTATTGCTCAGCAATTCGAAATCTTCAAGCTTCAGGTTTACATATATTGACTCCTTTTCGACTCTGAATCTTTTTTTTGTAGCTTCAACGCTACTTATGAAGAGTTGCTTGTACCCAACACTCCTTTTCACAAGCCCATCCCTCTAGCTGTGAGTTCCTCCTACAATACTCCTCTTCTTCTTCTTCTTAACTTTTGTCTGTTTTCAAACCTTTGAAGCTTGTTTTGATTCAAGAACAGTCTTCTCTTTCACCTGCATTGGTATTTAACTTTGTTCTAATATCTCTGTGCGGATGTGGAAAATTTTCAGGAAATGGTGGATTTTCTGGTGGATTTTTGGCACGGGGACGGTCTTTTCGAGTAGGTATGCGGAAGTTGATTCTTGGTACAAATTTTAGTTGCAAGCTCTAATCCATTTAGGTTTAAAAGAAAGTTCTCTGGTTTTCATTGACAAACCATGAACATATATATAATTAAGTTAGGTATTTTTTGGGGTTTTCTTCCATGACAACCAAAGAAATGGGATCATGCTTTTGTTCAATTAGATTCTCTACACATGAGTTGATCGAATGATGTTTACCATATAACAGATAATCACCATTTAAATCTTGTGACGCTTTCTATAGTTTTGTACTTTTCTTTAGAAGAGTATTGAAAACTAAAAGCAAAAGGCAGAGATGAGCGTGGGATGTGGGTTAAGAAAAAACGTGTATGATCGTGATAGGCGCGTCTGCGTTTGGTGATTGCGATTGCGATTACGATTACGATTGTATGTATGTTAGGTGTTCAAACGCACTGCGAGTGGCGCACTCACTCAGATTTCCCCAAAGAAAAGTCATACAAACAAAATCGTTGACCCCGACTTTTCTTCATAACTATTCTTCGTTAATCCTATGAAAACGAAGCTTCTTATTCTAATCAAGTACTAATTGGTTTATTATTAAAGGGAAAAAGTATATCAAATATTTAGTCAACCTTATTTACCCAGAAAATTGTAAGCATTTAATTGAGGTTAGAGATTTTAAATATATATGATCAAAGCTAATAAAACCGTTGGGTCATTATAAGGTTCAATGTATATAAACGTAATTGTTTTAAGAACAAATTCATGACCCTGTTTTTGCTCTACGATTAAATAAATATTGAAATATTTTATGGATATAATTCTGGTTCAAATATATCTTAAAAAGAAACTTGTTCTGCGAATAGGAATGATTTCATTTGGTATAAAACAGAAATGCTTTTTGTCTTTCTCTATTTTTTTAACAATTTTTTCTTTTCTTTTTTTGTATCAATATTTTTGTTTTTATCCCTCAATTTGCAGATTTTTGGTGGGTTTTAAGATAGATAGATAAATTGGGTGTGGCAATAATTAAAATGAACTTTGTAATAGGAAAAATAAAATATCGATAAATTCCAATTTTATTCAACAAGAAGAATCTCTCTCTGTCCAAAACGAAAATCTCCTTTCTGTTTTCTCTTCGTCTCCGGCAAATCTAATACTTCCGACGCGATTTTCGAGTCGTCGGAATAAGGTGAGGAGGACTTTCAGTTTATCCAAAAGCTCTGAAATCTATAGATACTCTCAATCTGTAAAAACATATTGAGTTTCAAAGCATTTGGCGATTTTGGATTTTTTGTTGTTGGTTTCATAGATTTTGATCCTTGAGCATTTTGGATTTTCGTTTTCTGCAACAGGAGAAGGGAGAGAGAGAGAGAGATGGAGATCGACAAAGCGATCGGAGAAAGCGACGACAAGAGGTTGAAGACCAAGTACAATAACGCCATCTTCGTCATTAAAAGAGCTCTTGCTCTTTACTCGTGAGCTCTCTTCTCTTCTCTTCTCTTATTGTTTTGGTTTATCCTACTTCATAAAAGTCTTCGATCTTCAGATTCATTTTCTCAATATTTGACCAAAGAAACTTGCACTTCGATTATAGATGAAGCTAATTTGCTACGTTTTTGCTCGTTGGATGTTTTTTCGAGAAAGGATACGGTTGATGGGATGCGTGAAACACGTTTTTGCTGGATTTAGTAAAGTGCTAATGATTTTGTGGATCATTGAATCTCATGGTTCGTGAGAAGCTCTTTCTTAAGATGGATTTTAAAGTATATGGTCTTCGCAATGATTTTGCTTTTATGTATGTTGGTTAAACTGCTTAGATTCTAACCATATCTAGCCATGTCCATGGTATAATTGAATCTATCGCCCCTTTTGTCTGTGACATGTGAAGATCTTTTCATGAAACCCTTTATTCAATCTCGAAGAGATTTTGGTGTCTTTTCAATCGATTGGATTGGACATGTATCATTATTTTTCAATCCAATCCAATCATAACGAGATGCTTTCTGTTCATTTCTTGTTTTGCCATGTGCTTGTCATGTTCGTTGTTTATGTCTGCTGTACAAAACATTGCATTACGGTTTCAGATAAGGTCATTTAGTGCAATTTACTTTACTGATTCTTCAAAGTACCGAACTTGTCGATTTCCGCAGTATTGAAGAGGTCGCCTTTAGTTTCAATGGAGGAAAAGATTCGACTGTAAGTTAAAACTCAAGTCTCCTGTTTAGATCTTTTCTGTTGACCTGGTTTCGTGAGTAACAATAAAGACTCTCGTCATGATTTTTTAGGTGTTGTTGCACCTTCTTCGAGCCGGCTATTTTTTGCATAAGAAAGAGCTGAGTTGTTCTAATGGAGGTCTATCGAATTTTCCAGTCCGGACCATATACTTCGAGAGCCCTTCTGCGTTCACTGAAATCAATGCATTTACATATGATGCAGCTCAAACGTAAGAACATTTCTGCTCCTACCAGGATTGTATTCTTTTCTGTTGGTTAGCTAATCATCTTATTCTATATGGGCAGTTACAATCTGCAACTTGATATCATTCGCCAGGATTTCAAATCAGGGCTGGAGGCATTGTTAAAGGCTAACCCTATCAGAGCTATTTTTCTTGGCGTCCGAATCGGTGATCCTACTGCGGTTAGCTTCACATCAAATCTCTAACCTCAAGATTCATATGAAAATATATTGTAGGAACTTGTTTTTAAAAAATGGTCGTTGTGATTGATTGCTTCTCAATTATGTTATCCCAGGTTGGTCAAGAGCAATTCTCTCCTAGTTCCCCAGGATGGCCTCCCTTCATGAGGGTGAATCCTATATTGGACTGGTCATATAGGTATTACTTCTGACTGCTTTCTCTGTTGGTTGCTCTTTCTACTATATTTATTTGGATTGGTGTTTATTCTTCCTTATGTTTCAGTATGCTTGACGTGCAATACTGTGCCAGTTTTTCAGTGTTGTGATCTCGTTTTCTTATCTGATGTTTGGGTTTTGGTTCTTTATTCTGATTTTGTTTTTATAACGTTTCCTATGCAGAGATGTTTGGGCATTTCTCCTAACTTGTAAGGTCAAGTATTGCAGTCTTTATGACCAGGGGTAAAAGTTCCTCCACACAGTTTCACTCTACAAAAACAAATTCTTGTCTTGTCCAATTTATCTTATTTCGTGACTCAAATCTGAATATACAGATATACATCAATTGGGAGTATTCATGATACTGTTCCGAACGCATTGTTGTCTGTTAACGACACCAGCACTAAAGACAAATTCAAACCTGCTTATTTGCTTTCTGATGGGAGGTTAGAGAGGGCAGGGCGAGTCAAGAAAATTGCTTCAAACAAGAATGACGTAGATAGTGATTCACAAAAACACGAGGTGCTTTTGGCCTCAGTTATTGCAGTTGGCGATGAGATTCTGTAAGTCACTAATTCTTATCATAAGGCTCTTCACTGGTAACTATTTGTGTTAACAGAACAATATTCTATATATATGACGATAAAGTTACGCCACCACGCGTTGTTTGATTAGTTATTCAAGTAGGTGCAATGAAATTCTTCCAACCCACTTATCTGTTCCATAGCTCAGGTCTGGCACTGTTGAAGATCAATTAGGACTGTCTCTTTGTAGAAAGCTGACCTCTGTTGGTTGGTCGGTGCATCAAACTTCTGTTCTTCGGAATGATGTGAGTGAGATCTACTCAGTGTCTTTGTTGCATCACTCAGAGAAAGTAAATTGTTTCTTATCTCTATTAATGCTCCACTGTGTTTCTTTATCAGATAGATTCTGTGTCCGAGGAAGTTGACCGCCAAAGGTCAACCTGTGATATGGTAAGTTCCTTAAAAGGATGAGTATAAAATCAAGGGGATGTTTTCTTATGGTAAGACATAACTGACAGGTTTCCTGTGCTTGATGCTTTTGAAGGTTTTTATTTATGGAGGAGTTGGTCCTTTGCATTCAGATGTTACTTTGGCTGGTGTTGCTAAGGCATTTGGGGTTCGCCTGGTACGTATATCCTTCATTTAAACACAAACTCATGGTTTAGATAGTTTGATAGATGCCTCAACATCTCAATGCATCTGAGTGTCAATAAGTGAAAAAAGGTCACCACAGTCTGATAGGGTAATAATGTCGTTTATGCAGGCACCTGATGAAGAGTTTGAGGAATACCTTAGGCATCTTATCAGCGAGCAGTGCACAGGTGACAGGAATGAAGTGAGTTTGGTCTTGAAAATAATTTTTTTAATGGATCTGTATATCTTCGGACAATATATGCTAAAATTTTATAGCATCGGAGTCACTTTGCTATGGTTCCATGCATTGTTGTTGCGTATATGGATTAGTTTCTCACCAAGTTGATTGCTTTTCTCTTTTCAGATGGCTCAGTTACCAGAGGGAATCACTGAACTACTACATCATGAAAAGCTTTCGGTGCCATTGGTATGTGCTCTTAGAACTCCAATATTTCAGCATCCTCCTTCCATGCCCATTCAATTTTTTCTTTACATTTACCATCAATTTATGTAGATCAAATGCCGCAATGTGATTGTTCTTGCTGCTACAAACACTGAGGAGCTCGAGAAGGAGTGGGAATGTCTGACCGAGCTAACTAAATTGGATGGGAGCTCATCGCTCATGGAGCTATATGCGTCAAGACGCTTGATGACATCTTTGGCAGATGTATGTTTTGCTTTCAATTCCACCTTCTTCTTTTTTGCCATGACTTTGATACTTCTTCGCTTTTCGTGCAAGAATCTGTGTCTAACCAAGACTCATAGTTCCTGATAGATCCATGGAGATATGTGTAGACAATTTTACTAGTTTCTTTTCGGGATGAGTGACTTTTCGATTTGGCGTTTTCTCCTGAAATGCAGGTTGAAGTTGCAGAACCTCTGTCCGAACTTGGTCTCGAGTTCCCAGACATATATCTTGGTATAAAATCTTTTGACCTGTCTGATAGTTATTTTAGTGTAAGAGCATCTAAAGTCTCTGTCTTCACCGACCGCAATCTTATTTCTCAGGGTGTTACCGGAAATCCAGACAAGGACCTATCATCATTTGCTTGAAGGGAAAGGTAGAAACACAACATCTTGTTAAAAAATCATTTCCTCAATTTCCATGCTCGTAAGTGTTGACTTTCATTTTTTGTTCTACAGGATAATGCACGGATTGACTCAGCCGTGCAGGCTCTATGCAAGAAATTCAAGGAAGGTGTATTCGTAGACGTCAAATAGATGCAAGTTTCGTTACCAGTGAGGCCTGAGAAGCAGCTTCAATGGTCACTTGAGTGGCTTCTATATATGTACCGGTTACAGACGCTGAGAGGAAGGAACCGGAGAGAATAGGATCAGAGTTTTAACACTTTTAAATTTTATGTCTTATCAACTTTTAAAGTTTCGGAATTGGTATGAAAGTGTCCCAAAAGGTGCCTTCAATTTGTTCAGAAAAGAAACAAGAAAGAAGACTGTGTTAAGTGAAGTTTCAACCAGGAATTCGTTAGCTCACCTCAGCCAAATCAGTCATGGACGGTTTAAGCATGATGACGCTTATGTTGCATTCTAAGAGACTTTTAAGTAAAATGCTCACAGAAGAACAGTTTTTTTGTGGGAGCAATTGATCCATTTCACAGGGTTTTATTAATGTGAAGCAATTTTGGTATGCTTCAAAGGAGAGATTCTCCTATGGAGGCTGGAAGTGGAGCGAGACCTTCACCGAAGGAAACAGGAAAGTCATCAACGCTCATGGGTCAATCAAGTACCAGTCCCTGTTACGTCTATACTGCTGTTACCAAAACTAAGTTATTTTCTTCTAATTTAAAAAAAAAAAAAAAAAGGAAAGTGTAATACGTTTATCTGCTCGAGTACTCTAATCACATGGCAAATTTGTTAAATCATGTTTCATCCGACAAAATTTTTAAAATCAAACTACTTTCAGGGTTTCCCCAAAATAAGACGGTCGTAAACATGCCACGGATCTAACACCCTTCATGGTCTCATGGTGTCTTCCAGATCCAACGGCTAAAAACATGTCAGGTACAGCTCTCTCTACCTACACAATGAGAATGATTATGTGATTCAACACAAACACAACAAAATAATATATATTATGATTTCCAAAATTATTGCTCACCTCAAGTAGCTGCATTTATCTCTGTTTAAAAGTTCTCCAAACATTTCCTTTTTGTTCATCCCCACAGGTATAGTCCTGATGACTGTGAATCCACCATACTGGATCTCTTCCAATCTATTGGAAATCCTATTATGAAAAAAAGTATCATTAGATAACACCATCATGGTCTTACAAATACCTTTTCTCTTGAGATTAATTGCATGACGGCCAATATGGACTAACAAATCCGCCTGCAATAGCTTTGGCTTATTCCCTGTTACATACAAAAATTAAAGTTAAACCATTGTAATTTTTGAAAGAAAAATGAAAAACTATGATGTTACCTTGTGGAGCTACTTGATGAATCGCACAATCCCTGCATATAAACTTCCTTTCCCAAATACCGCCCGAAAAAGTTTATATCTTGACTACTTAGAAGATCATAGAGACTTTGCTCCTCCTCGTTAGTAGGATAAAGTGAATACGCGTTTATGCTTCCAACAACAAATCCCTCATCCGTCAGTGCTTCTATGATGATCCTGCTAAATTCTTCGGCACTCTTTCTATCGGTAAAAGAGAGTGTCTCGAGGTCCACAACAGCTTCTACCACCTTCTCCGGAGGGACTTTTCCAGCTATTACGGTGAATCCCTCACTATCAACAAAAGCACGCTTGCCCCGGGACGATGATCCTCGACCAACTTTGTCACCCGGCAATGATCCTCTACCAACGATTTCAACAAACGACGATCCTACATCAAACTTGTTACCATCCTGCGTGTTACCTCCCGAAGATCCTCCATCCTCTGGCTTGCCCCACGACGATCTTCTGTCATCTTTTTTACCCCATGACGATCCTCCGTCAGGTTCAACACAAGACACTCCCTTACTATAGGCATTGGAATCTTCTGCTGACCTGTTCCAACCCGAAGAGCCATCTTTTTCCTCCTCTGAACCAAAACACCCACCATGATTACCCCACGCAGATCCTCCCTGACTACCGCCAAAGCCTTTCTCCTGATGTTCATCTTTGTTAATTGCGCTGGAGTATCCATCTGTGTTGCCCCAAAGAGATTCTTCATCTCCTTTTCCGAAACCAGAACCAGTTCCCACTTTCTTACCCCAAGAAGATTCTTCTTTCTTCTGACTTGATTCATTGCTCCATCTTGAGCCCTCCTCTTGTTTATAACCATCAGAGCTTACTCTGTCCTTACCCCAAGAACCCAAATCTTCAACGTCGGAAGTAGAAGCTATTTGTCTTCCCCAAGAAGAAGTTTCAGCTTTTGCTGCAATGTTTTCCTGTGATCGATTGTTTGTGGAAATGCAGGGAGTACGAGGTTCGAAACCCCGTTGAAACCGTGTTGCGAAGGAAGTTGTGCGAAAGTGGACGAGAAGGGTGAGAAGAAGTATAGCTTATGTGATGATCCTAAGTCTGCTTTCTTCTTGGATGGACTTCACCCTACTCAGCAAGGATGGGAATCTGTTTACTCTGCTTTAGGCAAAACGCTAACCGCGTCTTTGATTAAACCGTAAAGCCATTTTGTAAGATCGAAAAACCAAAATGTGTCTTGGAAGAAAGCCTAAAGAAATTGGGAGTTGAAAAACTTAGCAAAGAGGATGTTCAGAGGATGCAGTGGGAAGTTCTGGAGGCCAAAATTGGAAACTAGATCCATTTTATGCGCATTGCTGTAAGAACGCTATGTCGCTATCTAAGGTTTGAAATATCTCTAACATGGTATGTTGACTCCTAACTCAAGATATTTTCAACAGGTTAAATTACTCTTTGCTGGAGAAAGGCAAGTATGTGACCAGATATTTCGAGGCTTCGATTCAGGTTGGACGCAAATGTCTACTTTTTGTTGATGTTGACACACGTTCAGTGATTTAACATATTAAGACAAAAAAAAATTCTGGTTGCATAGTTCATCATTCACTTCGTACAGATGCCAAATCTATCTGATTTATTTACTAGAGGTTTAAGATTTGGAAATTAATTGTCTTTAACATTTTTCTTCCCATGTGGATTTTTTTGTTAATCGGATGTGATTTGTGCATTGAATACATGTAATAGTCCACAACTGAAATCCCCACCATAATAAACTGCATGGCAGACATAGAAAAAAAATTGTATACGCATGTGGTATTGTGGTTGAAGCTTGCTATCTAGGACTGCATAACGCGTCAGACAGAATTTTTTTGATAACCAGTTGGTTTTTGTGCTACATTGTAAAACGGCGGATTAACACATAGGTGGCCCTACAACAATCTGATGAAATTTTGTGTCCGTTGACAGATTGAGACAATTTTCAAAGGTAAAGCATGCCTTGAAATTAGAGATTCTGCTATGGGATTGACAAAGCGGTTGGCGCAGACTTCTCAGGAAACATTTGGTGATTTCGAAGAAGCTGTTGAAAAAGATGCTACAAAGACTGCTGTTCTAGATGGGACTGTCCACCCACTAACAAGCTATGTCATCAATTATGTCAAGTTCTTGTTCGAGTAAGTGCCGTATACATGTCTACTTGATTACGACTAGCTCAACTAATTTCTTTGAAACTCGTTTTTCTTCCTCGCCCTGCTATTTGCATATTGTCTCTTTCCACATTCTTTAATCGACGCTTCATTAAGTGACAGCTATCAAGCGACATTGAAGCAACTCTTCTTGGAATTTGGAAATGGGGACGACTCAAACTCGCAGCTGGCATCAGTAACAATGCGGATAATGCAGGCGCTTCAAAACAACTTGGACGGAAAATCGAAACAGTACAGAGATCCTGCGTTGACACACTTGTTCCTGATGAACAACATTCATTACATGGTTAGATCTGTGCGAAGGTGAGTTTAGTTTCGCGTTTAAAGACTGATCAGGGCTTATAAAAAAAGGTATTCAGATGACGTAGTTGGTATTATTGATATGATAATATTTCCAGGTCAGAAGCTAAGGTTTGGTTTGATTATGTTCGTGTTAAATGTGTGTGTGTGTGTGTGGTGTTGTAATCCTGTGTGATGCACCAGTCAAGGGTGTGTGTGTGTGAGAGAGGAATAAAAGAATATTCGGTTTTATATCTAAAATTAAAAACCACTTCTATGATTCGATCTTTTGTTTGGATGGTGTCTTCAAACCAAAATTTTAAGCAATCTGTTTACCTTTAGCAAAAATACTTCTTTTGACTTGGCCCAATCTTAGCCCATTAATAATCCAATTTGAAGACATTATAGGTGAAACCTTAGGGAACCCTAATTAAACCGTGTCCGGCAAGCTATTGATTAAAAACTAGAAAACCTAATAAATCATTGAAAAAGGTGTGTAGATTGAAAACGAAACACAGGGATATTATATGTTTGAGGAAGCAAAGAAAAATAAGGTATGAAAACTCTAAAAAAATAAAACCAAATTAATAATGTACATATTTCTAAAAAGAAATATGTATCTCAGTCTTGGTGATCCAACATGGTCTCTTATTCAGCTTGGACTTCTCCTCTGACACCGTAAGCTTAAGTTGTTGGAGCTCTTGTTTGAGTTCCCGAATCCGATCTTCAGAAGTCTTCTTCTCCGAGGACACCTTGGCAAGCTTTGAAGCCAACCATTCGACACTAAAACCAGCTCGTTTCACATCAGCCAACTCCTTGGAAACTTTGCTCAGTTCATCTTCGGTGAGACCACGCAGAGGCTTGTGGTAAAGTCTCTTGATGATGCCTAAGAGAAGGCTCATGTATCTTGTCCTGAGCTCATCGTCTTGCAGTTTGACATTCACTGCAGTTTCAGGGTATGTCTGGAAAATCCAGTTTGCTAACTTAACCTGCGAAGGATCAAGAATGAAGCCATTTACAGTTACCTTTCTTTGTATCTGCAATTGGTTCCCCATCACTTGATATTCTCGTTGTTAAAGCCTTTTTAAATCGATCGGATAGTAATTGTCACAATAAAGTTTATTTCATTCACTGCTTCGTGACCATATGCTCAGGTAGCTCCCTCTCTCTCTATATATATGTGCATAGGTAGCGAAAGAAACTGATATTCCTATATCAAATTGAGTTCAGTTATTCATGAACTATTAAAAAAAAAATATAAAAAATATACGAATTAGTAAAACACGATAACTTTATCTAACCAAAAAAAAAAAAATCATATCTCTATACTGATTTTCTTAAATTTCGTTTCAAACTAGGAATTAGTGAAACAAGAAAACAGTTTTGTGCCCATTCCACAAACCCATTTCTCTTCGTCTTGTGAGTTGATACGCAGACGGTTTTGCAGTAGATGTACACGGTACATGATTGTATCTGATCCTTCACAGAAGCTAGCAGCACAAGAATGCAATGGCTCATCAGATGCAAGCCTGATCAAAAGCAAAGTCAGTGTCCCATCCACAGGTCTCGGGTCTGTGAGGTTCTTGTCCCGCATCATCTTCACCTCTCTTTCCAATGGAAAATGCACCTTTTCTCTCCCGTTAAGATGGTCACACACTTTGAGATCTTTCCTATAGTGTCTTATAGCTTCACGTTTGGTGGACCTGTGCTTCTCCGCTAGTGTCAAAATACAGGAGAACCTCATATGATAACTTACAATGATTTTGACCGTCTTATAATTGTGGCAGCAGCAGAAGAAATCAAGCCATTTACGCCCTACACCCGCATACCATTTGATGATATCAGAATCCTCAAGAGCCAAAAGGTGGCTGAAAGGCCGTGGCCGGCCCATGCTGTTTGAGAACCCAACTAATTTAACAGCCTTTCTTACAAGTTCCTCTGGGGCTAACACCTTCATGCACAACTTGGTCAAGTCCTCAACTGTCCTCTCAGCATATCTCTGTTTCTCCTCTTCTTGTGCTCTCATCTCCTCATCCTCCAGTACCTTTTTAGCCCGAGTCTGTGCCAAATGTTTGTCCACCTGCTCTTGAAATTCATCATAAGCATCAGTCAGGTCTTGTGGTAACTTCTCTCGTATGTGCCTCAAAGAGAGAAAATCTCCTCTAGTGAGAAGCCAATGCCATTTCCACCGCTCCTCGAGACACCCCATAAACTCTTGCATTACTTCTTCTCCCCATCTCTGGAAAACATCCCTGACCTCATTCTCTATTTCATACTCACATTTGAACCCGTTGCTCTGCTTGAGTTTCTTCAAGACGTGTCTAAATACTTTCAGGCCCAGTTTCTTCCGGTTCCTCTCCCTCGCATTTCTCAACTCCAGTCTCCTAACTTCCTTCTGTCTCTCATACTTCTTCATTGCTCTGACCGCCTTCTCAGACATAGGCGGGCGCAAAACCAAAGGTGGAACAGCCTGAAGATACATCCCTAAAAACTTTATCTTCTCTGACACTGCACTATGAATAGCTGTGTTCACTCTATCTACTTTCAGGTCTAGCCTCTGTTCCAAAATGTCTACAAACCGCTTCTTCAAATCCACTGTCACCATTTTCGAGCCAGACGTTATCACAAGTATCTCATCCAAATACCTAACTGCGTAAATATTTACCGGCTTAAAGAAAACGTTACCTGTAGATTCCTTAGGATTCTTCAGTTTCATCCTAAGCCTCATATCTTGAATCTCCTTGTCAAGTCCATCAAAGTAAACATTGGTAAGATCGAAGACAATCCTCATTCTTGTGGAAATCCTCTTCCACTATTGCATTCACCAAGTTCGATTCGCAGAATCCCAAACTCAAACAGCTTCTTTATCATCTCAATCAACAAACCATCGCTGATTTTCTCTCCGAAGAAACCACACAGTTTGTCCACATTCCGTTCATCGAACATCTCTCGAGCAAACGAAACACGAAACCACCAGCGTGGGTTCTCCACCGAGTTGTCAGGTAACGAATCACTGTGTGCCTACCCATACCAACACGCCCACCGTACGAGAACGTCGCGAATCGATCATCATACACAATCTCTAGAACCATCCTTATGGCTTCAATCAGCACTTTCAGTTTTAGATTGGGGAGGACGAGAAGAGATTCACATCCTTCATTTCCCCCTGAAGAGATGAAGTCGACGCAGCAGGAACTAAATTTTCAACGAACCCTAAGAATATAACATATCGATTCCAAAGTCCAAACACATACAAGGAGACTAATTACTAGCTTATAGCTTGTAAATGATTATACCTTACAAAATCGCGCCGCCCACGTAGCTCCGGTGGGAGTTTCCGGTCATGGACTGCGTGAATCACAGCTGAGAAACGGTCTGTAGTCTTCTTCTCCCGTCTCTTCGATCCTGCCGTCAAATCATCTGGAGACGACCACCAAGAGGACGAAGACGAATAAAAGGCGAAAGCCCGACCGAAATTAGAAAGCTCGCGACCGTTGATCGCCGGGGAAGCGATTTCGGACGCCGACCTACAAATTCGATGGAAAACAACGATGGCCGTGACGCCGCCATTGACCTCACGATACGAAACGCCATGGCCTGAGGGTCTGAGCTCAGGAAGAGTACTCGGAATGTTCCAGACTTGTGGTTTTCTTTACACCAGATTTGAAGTACGCCGTTCACGTCAACACACCTTGTCGTTTCATACATCCGTAAAGAAAAGGGATGCCGTTTGACTTTAACAAAAAAAATTATGTTCTGTTTTAAACTTGTGAAATATCTTTTGTTACAGTATGGTATAGGGCGTGTGACATATGAAGGGTTCTATAGATGTACGTGTAGGGTCAATCAGTTAATAAACAGTTATTAGAGATAGATTGGTAGGTGAAACTAATAAAATTGATAATAAAAAAAATCTTTTAAATTTTTGACTTTACATATTTTAATTTTTATATTTTAATAATTATATAAAAGTTATATATTAGATTTTATTAATTTAAATATTTTATTTATAATTGGATCTTTAATACTTAATATAATATATATATATATATACGTTTTCAAAACGTTTCCTTTTCTATATTTTTTAAAAAATAGCGTTTCTGTGTTTCGAAATGTTCTACGTACCCGTTTCCGTTTATATGTTTAGACCATTATGTATATACTCGAAAATATCATGTTTTAATATAATAAGCTGTTTCTTGTTCGTATGTATGTGTCTATAATATTTTCAGTTGAGATAATGATGAGAAGATAATGTAGATATTTGTACATTGATTAGGACAGATTGTCATATATGTAAACTATGATTTGTGACTGACGGAAGTTCTCTTGCTCTCTCCATCTTCAACATATATAAGTTTAAATATACTAACTTTATCTCTGTAAGCAGATGATTATATTATTTTATAGTTTACGCGTTAATTGTAAACTAGTCCAAATCATAAGACAAGATTTAGATTATACAAGCTCACCCAAAAAAAAATTAAATTATACAATAAATATAAAAATTGAAAATTAATTAGTTTACTTTTTTATGCGAATCGTGTAATAGAATCCATTTACATATGTCATCCGGTTCCGTCTTTGTTTCTTTATATAATTTCGGTTATTTCTTTCTCTTATTTTAGTTTTAGATTTTGATTGGATAACCACAAAATCACTATTCAAGTATATCTGCATGTGTATTACGAATCATGTGTTAAACCAATCGATTTTGTATCCTCAATTTTATTGTATTTTCGTAGGTGATTTAATTTTTATATATTTATTTTAAATTTATATATCCAAATTTAATTTATATGTCAAATTTTTCCTCACCGGGCAAAATTTGTTAAATCGAAATGACTTTTCGCCAAAGAAGGAAGGAATGCAGAGATCCGACGGTTGAAAGCATGCCACAGATCTAACACCCTTAATGTTTTCTTTGAGATCCAACGGCTAAAAACATGCCAGGCACAACTGGATAGATCTCTCAGCCGCAGCGATAAATAAATCCCGCAAGGGCGCGCTCTCTCTCACCACCCGTAGACACACATAATGAAAGGCCGATCTAACCCTAATATAGCGAGAAAGTCTGCAATTCTCTCCGTCGAACCATGGCCGAGTCCACGATCGAATACTTCCCCATCTCCGGTAAGATCTCTCTCCATCTCTTACCCGAAATTGTTTGTTGTTTGTTGGGTTTCATCCGATCGATTTTTTCATAATAAAATAATGAACCTATTTCGGCTTGTCCTTTTTTGTCAAGACCATGTTACAAACGTCTACTGGAACTTGGAGGAGTACCCAATCTCTGATGGTGCGGATCCTAATTTGATTCGTGATAATATCGAAGGTGCTCTTGTTGAAATTGGGTTTCTTGGGTATAAGCAATTTCATGGGCATGGTGACACACTGCATCACGAGCGTGACGAGATGCGGGAGGCCAGAATCTTTGCCTATCAAGGAATCGGAATCGGAGGGGTTAAAATGTCGCCTGATTTCAAAATACCCCTGGAGATGATTAGCTGGGCAGGATCGGCTGGTAATGATTCAGTAAGGTTTTTGGTAATCGCAAAGCAAAAGCCAGGAAGCGAGCTGCTTAGGGTTCTTGAGTGTTTGAAATCGAGAAAATGCACTCTCCTCGTCCTAGTTGATGACGCCGCAAAAGGAGAAAGTCTATTTGGTTCTGTAGAATCAGTACTTGAATGTATACAAGTTTTCGGCGGAGCAAAGCCTATGAGAAAAAGTCCACCATTTTATGATTCCGATTATGACTCTGATACTGATCCTTATTTTCGTGTTGCCGGGGTGACCCCTCATCTCGAAGAGACCAAATCAAGTTGTGATTCTGATGATGATGATAGCTCCCAATTCGATACTACCAAGATCGAAGACTTCTCGGGTAAGATCTGCCGAAATTGTTTGTTTAAAAAAATGGTTCATTAAACCACTATTGTATCTTTATATCGTTTATGCTCTTGCAGAGCCTATCAGACCCGCCAAAGGGGATAAGACAGCTGTCTTCTGGGACGTTGAGGATTGCCCATTCCCTTCTCTTTGTTCCGATCCTGATGAGGTCTACCGCATAATCGAGGAAGCTCTTCGTGAAAGGGGTTGTTTGGGTGAGATATCAATCTGGGCTTATGTTGATGAGAAGAACGACGGGCCTTGGAGTGGTGAGCATCTGCTTAGGAACAAGGCCTGGGATTCCAGAATCTACTTTCTTCCCGGAGGTGAGAATTCCAAAGAAACACTCTTTTCCTCTTATATATGTGTGTATGTATGCTAAATCTCACTTAGCTCCATCGTTATACTGTTTCGCAGGGGATAAAGAGTCGAGATTTAATAGAATGTTGAATGACATTCTTTTATGGAAACTCGACTCTCCCATAGCAAATACTCGTCCACCAAGTGTGATGGTATTCGCAGATCAAGTCGGTGAGGACACGCTATTCTACATTAGGCTTAAATGTATGTGTCTGAAGTTTTACGATGTTTTCTTAGTAACTCCGACTCCGGACACCAACAAACCACAAGACCCTGAATGGCCACGATTGCTATTAGATGCAGCACACTTTTTTCCAAACTACAGGGAAGACTCAAATCATGGGTTCCGCATCAAGCAGCCAAGCTCAGAACCTAATCCCAAAAAGCATAAGTCGGAAGCGGTCGAAGGAACAGCTGTGGGAGTGGCCATGACTAGCTAGCTTCTGTTAGTAGCTGTGGTCTGTGCCCGTTGTGGTCATGCATCACAAGATCCGTATTTATATTATATAAAAAAAAACTTGTATGTCGTTCCTTATTCTAAACTTGAAACTATGGTGTGGATTTTTACTTTTTCATTAATATTTTCACATTCCTGAGCCAAAATCCTGAATTTTAGTCAATGTCACGACAAGCAAACACAGGAATTGGAACAAACTAGAGTTGAATCTCTCACCAAGTGTGTGTGTGTGTGTCTACTATATTCCCTTACTCCTAGCCATCTTCGTCCACCCAATAGCCAATATAGAGATTAGAGGAAACCTACGTTTCATAATCCTATTTCTCAGGGTCCCAACAAGCTCCCATCATCATTTGCTTGAAGGGAAAGGTACAACAAACCCCAAGATCTTGTTAAAAAATCCTTTCCTCAATTTCCATGCTCGTAAGTGTTGACTTTTATTTTTTTGTTCTGCAGGATAATGCACGGATTGACTCAGCCGTACAGGCTCTATGCAAGAAATTCAAGGAAGGTGTATTCGTAGACATCAAATAGATACCGGTGGAGTGGAAGGATCCGGAGAGAATAGGATCAGAGTTTTAGCACTTTTAAGGAAACCGAAGCAGTTACTGTGGCAAAAATTAACCAAACTACCTTTTAAATTGAACTAGAATTTAATCTGCTCGTAGGCGTGTATATAATTTTTCAAAATTTTAATTTTAGAAAATATTAGTTTTATAAATAAAATTTTAAAAAGTGATTTTATGTGCTGTAAGATTGAAATTTATGTTTTAAATATTATTTTTAGAATTTAACTATCAGAATTTAAATTTTGAATGGAGAAAAAGTGTTCGGCGGCTTCCAACCGCCGTGACTTCAATCTAATCGGTTGAAAATTCAGAAATGTTAGTAAAAAATTCATATTTGTATTTGTTTCGCTTATATAACGACATCTCTTTATAAATCTATGAATTTTGGATAGAAACTTGACAGAAATCATTAGAAAATAATAAAAAATGATGAAAAAAATAGAACTCTGAATGACGGCCGTTTTCTGAGTTACAGATCGATATTTTTAGGTTAGAGATGAAGTTAAAAAGATAATTTTGGCCTTCATTAAAGCCAAAACAATAAAAATGCACATGTAGACTCGAACTTCGTGACCTTTGAAAGAGTTAAAATGGCTCAAACCACCGCATCAAACCAATTTTCAATTTACATTTCTACGATATATATTATATAAACTATAAAATTATATAAAAGTCCTAAAATTCATCGTCGATTACTCTCCTGTTTATTTCCAATTTTTGTAGACATCGGTAGGTGGGAACTGAGGGCCCGATGAACGCTCAACGGGTTTCCGAACAGAGATTAATTGTATATTTTTTGTTAATCGTACTCATGTTTTGTAGTCAAAAAAATATATAATAAAAATGTGTTTAATTTTTAATAAAAAGATAATATATTAATGGTTTTCTTTGTCTATATCTTCTTCATTATTATTTTTTTTTTGGTTCTTTTTTTTTTTCTCTTCTTCATCTTTTTCTTATTTTTCTTCATTTTTCTTTTAAGCTTTTCTTCTACATTATTTTTCTCCTTTCTTCTTTTTTTCTTATTTTTATTTGATTTGATTTTCTGTTTTTTTCCATTTATCTTCTCTGTTATAGGAAGAATTCGATCAGGGTATATGAGTTTAATTTTCTTGGTATATAAACAATAGTTGAGGAAGTCCAGTCGTAGAAAAAAAAAAGATAATAGATATTGACATACAGCCCCAATCTTAACATATTTTAGGTCCCTTGGATAAAATGAAATTCAAATCTTAAGAATATATACTTTTTTAATTTTTTGCATTTTTATATAATTTTTTGATAAATTTCGAATTTAAAAACAAAAAAAAAATAAACTAGTTCTAAATTTTTAAACAAAAATGAGTCTTTTAATAAGAAGAAAAACAAAATAGTGGGCTTTTAATGAGAAGAATAATAAAAAAAATTTAGGCATTTAATGCTTTAATAAAAAATAAATTTAATATTTATATATCTAATAAAAGTACAATGGCATATTAAATAAATAACACAGTAACTAAAAGGTTATTCTTCTTCTAAATTGGATTCTATTAGATATCTTTATCGACTTATAATGTTGCGGAATTGGTAGGAAAGTGTCCCAAAAGGGTTTTGTTTTCAATAATACACTTTGTCATGAACTGTTTAAGCATGATTAAATATGTTGCATTCTGAGAGTATTGATTCAGAAATTTGACCCTAATTCTTTTTCTCTGTGTTCTGATTTTTACAAGGCACAATTATATTGCTTTATCAATTTCGTAATTTTGTAAATTACAGAGTCTACCCCTAAGCCTTGAGACACCAGAGATTTTAGTAACACTTTCAAATAACGCTTTCAAATGCATACATGTTCTCGATTGGATTCAACTCTATGACGGTAAAGAGCAAGACCCAAGAGATCCCTCATCTGTCAACTTTGAGAATGTTGTTTCTGATGTGTCCTCTTGTAACCGAATGTCTTTGAGGGTCCGTTGTCCATTGGCCGTCCACGATGAACTTAATCTCGTACGTACCGGGATATAACCACAATAATGTTGACCAGCATTTCTGTTTACTGTAAAACACCATACAAGCATACATAATCCGTAAGCAACCTTACCCGAATGTTAAGGTGTCCTTCACATGTTTGTTCGGTTATAGCAAAATAGTCAGGACCAATACTAACCCGATTGACTTGGATGCTTTAAGTTCCAGTCCCACTCGGTGTTCCCAGCCATTGAAGCTCCCTGTCACTTCCACAACATTGCCATCTCCGCAATATTCAATCTCAACCTTAATTAGAGATTCACTTTAGTTATCTTGGAACCATGACAATAGATACGATAACTACGAAGCAAAAATTAAGGTACTACCTCTTGCAACCCGGAGAGACTTTCCTCCGCTTCTTGCAATTCAACATCCTTCTCGGAGACAAGCATTTGGGCCTTTTGGATCTCTGTCTCAGCCTGTCTTTGAAGAACCGAAAGAGACAGCTGAACACAGAAAATTGTAGATTAGGAACACAAACAAGTACACCATCAAGGAGGAGTATTTTCCAAGAAAAAACATATTTATTGCCTATATAAAAAAACTCGAAGAAACATATTCAGAATTCAGCTACAGCTACATCTAAAGATCCGTAAATGCATATGGATAAGTTATCAAGCAACCACCTATTGCATATGTATGGAATCTACCAATTCTGTGTGCCTTTGCGCTAGTGGACACCTATGTACAAACTTCTACGTTCGTGCAAAGCAGTAGCTTACTTTTTCCTTTTCAATCTGCTCCTTCAACCTTGTCAGCTCCAGCTCTTTCTGACGCTAACCATGCAATAATTCACCAACAAAGTTAGTAAGCAAAAATCACTTTACATGTTCCACATATTGAGAGAAAACAATCAATGTACCAGCATGAATCTCAGCCGAGTAATTTCAACCTGATTTTCCCGCGCCGTGGTCTGTGTCATTTCAGAATAAGGTTCTATGAGCATGGATACGGAAAAAATCAACCCAATGGATTAAGAAGACCAATTTGAGAGAGAGTTCAATGAGTTCAGTAATCTGTCAACACCTCATCATGTGAATCCTTGTCCTGTTCAGCATTCCCACCTCTCTGTTCACTACTCATGTGAATGAAATATCAAGGATCACTTATAAAATCCAAATAATCATTAAGAAGAACAGACTAGACCGATATGTTTAGACTCACCTGTTAGAGCTATTAACTTCTGTAGCATAGGTAACCTCCTCCAATGCCACAGCACTTCCATTTGGTGCCGCACTCACGCTTCTCTGACCACCATGACTGTCTCCTATGTACTCACGACCTTGGGTTGTTTTTGCACTTTCTTTACTTTCTTCAGGACAGCTCTCAGTAGGTGTGTCATTTTCATCATCTGAAACTCGTTCCAACTATCAATTAACATTTTTTTACCATGGGTTTCAAGATTTATTGCAGAAACATGCATGAACAATGAAGAAATCGATACGACATGCCACCATACGCTAAATGCAGATATGCAATTCAGACAATTCTTCTAAAGTATAGGCTTCAGGAGATGGAGCGTACCATCAACTGTATCCAAGCATCCATTTTGGATAAATCTGGTTGTTTTTTCTTCAATGCTTGAAGTGGAAGAAGAAAGTCTCAACATCCCATCCTTATCTTCAGACTCAACTAAACTATCATCAGCACTACCAGAACAATTTTCAGCCATACCATGAAAATTCTCTGCATTTGACATGGTGTTCTCTGGGGTGAAACCAGACAAGGATTTAGTAGCAATGTCAACATAGTTGGTATAATTGAGATCTGGACTGGTGTAATGATCATAGGTGAGAGATAAAGATTCTTCCACATCATCGACATCCTCATCCTTTGTCACCGAAACATTGTCAGCTTCTCTCTCAGAAGAGCTTGAAGTATCATCAAAAAGTAGAGAATGGTTTGCAGAAATGGAAGCTTGGGGAGATGAGTTTCCAATGTCAGCTCTGTTATTGAGCTCCACGCTCTCAATCTTCAAACTGTTTTCTGAGGTTTCTCCAGCCAACGAAGATTCATCTTTACTCACACTTCCATATTCTTCTTCTTGAAAATTAACTATTTTCTGATCAAGAGACATACTGCCATCTGCTGCAGTAGAGTATACTCCACTGCTTGAAGACAAATTCCCGTCAACCAGATCCAGTGCTTCTTCTCCCTGACCTTGTACACCAGATTAATATATATCAGAAAATAGGCATCGTACATAATCAAATAGTTTTTTTTGTACTCTTACAAAGAAATAATGTGTTTGACCTGTTAACGAATCTTGGAAACAAACGCCACTTGCACTTGTTTCCATGATCGTGTTTTGCTCAGAGACTATTAGCTCTTTACAGTCTTCAATATCAGAGTTTGCAAGAAGTTCCTTGATGAACTTATATCCTCTTCGTCTGACAACGTTCGCAAGATCAACTCTACAGGGAAATGTTCCCACAACCAAGATTTAGTCAAGAGTTTCCAAAAGCAATCCCCTGCAAAATCAAAAGAGTTTCGAACCTTCCATGACCCGAGAGCTCCTTCATGGACGGCACGTGACCTCGAGGAAGACCAGCCAAAGCAACGAACTCCATAATCTCACTCCTAAGCTCCTCGTTGCTCTTCACTCTCTTACGAACTCTGCTAAATCCAGTCGAATTCAAGCAGACCAATAAACCAACACAACCCTAAAACAGTAACTGAAATAGTGAAATTGACACTCAAACTAAAAATGCTGACCCCGAATTTCGAACCTGGTTTGTTTGATGGAACAAGCGAAACAGACGAAATCGTTCTTCTTCGTTGAATTCAAGTAGGAAACAAAAAGTTGCGGTTGCTGATGACGATGATAGTAGAACAACGGTTTCCGATCATGGGAAGACGGGAAGGAGAGTGAGAAAGGTATATGAGAGATCGTCGCCATGGCCGGACTTCCTCAACCTCCGAGGTTCCCAGCATTTAAGATTATGACTGAGATTCGAATAAATATCATTTATTTCTCTAATCATTTGATTGCTATGAGCCATATATTGAACCGGGTTTTGGTTAAAAACCGGATATTGATTAATTCAATTTTTCAATCGGTTCGGAAACTTCTGATCATCGGTTTTAGGATGAACAAAACCTCCCACCAATTTCACAGTTTACAAATGGTTGAGAAAGTTAACGAATCCTTTCTATTCAGTGTACTCACAATACAAAAGTACAGAAGAAAACTAAACAAAGTCATTTTAACTATGGCAAAGATTTTTAAGGAATCCTAGATTCGGTTATTACCAAAACCGGTAAACCATCAGTACAAATTGACCGCTAGACCGGCTCTTCGTCAGAGAAAAAAACAGAGTTTTTTTAGACTACTTTACAGTTTTACAGAAAATTGTACAATGACTTTTGTTTTGAGCTCCGCTGTGTTTCAGTTCTCCGGCTTCACGCTTGACTTTATGATCCCCGAGACAGGCGGTGATGTCACCGGAGCAGTATTGGCGGAAGAAACGTCGTTGTTAGTCGCAGGCGTAGGAATGATTTGTGGCTGAGGTTGTGGTGGTTGAGGATGAGACTGGTACATATCCGCTGGCTGAGCCGGCGCTAGATCGGTGCTAGCGCCCTCGTTATTGTTTTCCTGGCTGTTGCTGTGGCCGTTGTTCAACGGTGGCTGATCGCAAAATTTCATCGTCTTGAGGACAAAATTGTCGTCGTGGAGCTCGAATGGAGTGCTGCAAACAGCGGACAGGGATATGTCACGTAAATAGAGTTTTATGGCTGAAAAGAGAAGATCAAATATCGTGTTTTAGTTATTTTTTTACCTGTTGAAATCGAAATGCACGAGCTGCATATCTTCTGATATTTCCACTTCTACGGTCGCATGAGGACGAGTCTGGTGCAGAATAACAACAACAATCAGACAGTGACCGACCCAAGAAGGGAGCTATTGGTCTGCTTGTGGATCGCAAATAAGATTTGGTGAAGTTTTACCTGGACGAGGATAAATGGAAGAGCAACACCGCCACTAGGAGCATTTCCAGAGCTATATAAATGCTCGTTTCTCTGTATCAGATTCTGAAGGCCTACATACTTTTCAGACACAGAAGAATGAAGAAGAACCATGTAAGAATCTTTTATGGTAAGAGGAAACGGAGCAGATAAAGTGAAGAGTATTAGTAGTGTCCATTACTTGTTCTTCCAGTTCTTGGGAATATGCAGTTTTCTTTTCAATCCTGCTCCTAAGTGAGAGTCGTTCAGCCTGCAAAAAAATATAAACCTTAAATTCAGGAAAACTTTCTAAACGAGCTTTGGAACACAGAATGTTGGGTGGGTTGAAAACCTTTAATTCTTCAACGTCGCTTAAGCTTGTCCGAGGAAGACCTCTCCATTGAATCTCTTTTTTATCCTTGGATATTATATCCATAGCCATGAGTACGTTTAACGCATCGTATACTCTTCTTCTTATGTTCTTCTCATCATACTGTTGCTGTTCAAAAGGGATTCAGATGATGTAATTCTAACATATAGTAACCGCATGTTTTAAAAAGATTTACAGCAATTATTGAACATGTAGAAGTTCGAAGAACCGCATACCTGATCCGGGGATGTTCCATCGTTATTTGGGAGTGCAAATTCAGCAACAAGCTCGTCCGCAACCTGAAAGTACTTTCACCTGTTAGATACCGTCTTACAGAGACAAATTGATATTCCACTATCTGATATTGACAAGTGTTAAACCACACTGGTAAGCACAAGAAATCAGTGTAAATTTGAAGTGAGTGGATTTTTCTTGTAAGGCAGACATATTGTGAAGCTTTCAGTTTCAAGGAAACTATCGTACCTCGTTGTACGTTGTCCTTCCTTTGCTTTCCACTTTTTCACAAACTGAGAGGAAGCCGGAAGAAGAACACAACATCAGTTAAATGTATAACCAAAATTAGGATGCATCGTCCACAACTCGTAGCTATGAAAGAAGAAAAGAAGCGGAGAGAGAGACCTTTCATGCTAAATTGACGTAGCCCTCTTCCAGTTTTATCAGGACCAGCCGCACGCTGTCCCCTCTTCTTCTTCTTGCCACTGTGAATAGATTAATGATATAACACAAATTAAAGCCCAGAGACAGTCGCCTAAACAGTTTTCCTATGTCCCGGCAAGGATAATGGGAAAGATAATATCAAAGAGGCAGATTCTTTCTACACTTTGGGACAAATTTCAAGCAAAAGAAAGCCTCTAAAACGTTACATATCAGGAGAGCTAAAAATCAAGCTTATAATAAATGCTTACATCTAATTGATTAATTTCATCAATCCAATATGCAAAAAAAAAGCATATGAACCAAACAAACATTCACAAGGTTAATCTCATAAAAGCAGCCATTGCTACGAAATTAAACCCTAAATCGATCGATGAATTACATAAAAATAAACCTCTACGAAATCCCGGAAATGAGAAGAGCGATATTACGTACCCAGAAGCTCCTTGAGAAGCAGCATCGTCACCTTGAATGTCCAAATTGTTCAGGCGGATAAAGGCGCTGTCGCTAGCAGATGTAGCCACGGTGGTGGTCTGCTCGCTCCGGCTCGAGGGTGAGCCCATACTGCCGCTAGTGGACACCGATTGGCCTGAAACCGCCGTGCCCCAAGACCTCGTACTAGGGTTGTTGTTGTTGTTCTTCGCGGAACCATCGTCGTGGTGGTTGTGATTAGAATTAGACCCAGTTGTTGTCATTCTTCTTCAACTAACAAACTACCGCAATAACCGCTACTGGAAAGCACCCCCGACTAATTCGCCGGCGAATTTTTGATTATGAGGAAAACCACAGATGATTGCTTCAGTGATGGCAGATTACAATCGGAGAAAAGCTCCGATCCTCCAGAATCCTAGTTCGGTACTTCTCTGAAACGAGAATCTTCGCGGCGGTAACTTTTTGGATTGCGGCGGAGGAGGAGAAGGATTCGGATTCCTAGTCGATCTGGTTTTTTGTCGGTTTTGGATTCGGAATTGAGATGAGACTATTTTTTTTTTTTGTGCGATTATACGATGAGTAGAAAGGAACACATGTGCCCTCAAAGGTAAAATGAAGAGGGATAATTTTCTTCTTCGTTTTCTTTTTTTTTCCCCCTTTAATTACCAAAAGATAAATCGAGAATGTGAATCAAAAAGTTCAAGTATTATATGATTCCAATAAGATACTCACATAGGTTAATTCTTTTATAATAAGAAGAAAATTACTAATGTGAGTGTTGAATGGATACAAAAATTCAGTTTAATGCTTTCTTTTTAAACGGGATTCAGTAATTTCGAGTTTTGCATATGCCAATATAACTGTGAGATTTTAAAAAAAAAATCAACGTAACATGAACAAAAAAAATTATTATCTTTTTCATAAACATAAACCCATCTATACTATTAAAAAAGAATCATATTTTTAAACTAACCTTTAGTTAACGTGTTTATTACAATATTTACCATTAATGAATTAATATAAATTTTATGTATAAACCATGTTATCAGATCCTAACAATCTAATCCGACCAAAATCTAAAAAACTAAATATACACGAAACTACTTAATATTTACAGTCATCTCGATATATCTATATTCTATACTACATTTGGTGGTACAAATATTACATTTTTCTTTCTATTCAAATTGTAACATTTTGTACTTGCATCTATCAACAAATAACAAACGAAACATTACTTAAGATATACACTCTTTTAAACTATTTCTTATAATATATTATCTTTGAATCGTTCGACAAAGTCTTATAACCTAAACAAACATTACATAGTTCTAATCAATTGTAACTAACGACTTATTATGAATAATATGGTACCATATGTTAGAAAATGCGATTATAATATGAACTCTTTCAATCATGTCAAAGACTTATTGCGAAGATAAATACAATCAAAAACTAAATCTATTTAAAATTGATACTTCAAATCTAAACTAAAACACCATCTTTACGTAACTAAATAAAACTGTTTTTATTTAACAAGATTTCAGTTCAAACTATATCCTTTAGAAAAGAATTTAAAAATCTTTCACATTCGGTATATTCCATCATTCCGTCAACTATATTTTGTTTATCCTAATATTCCGTAAAATCTACCATCAATATTCTATATTTTTAACAATATATACTGTTACACAAATTTTCTTGCCAATATCTAACAATATCTAAGATCTTCCATATATTTTCGACACCTAAAATTGTAACAAGTCTAACTAATCATTTCCTCTATAAATACAGACTTCGACTTAGCTATATAACTCATTCTCAATCCACAAAGCCACATTACTTAATCGAACGTCTCTCTTAGCAAAATAATATGAGTTCTCTCATTTGTTTTACTAACCTGTCCGACGTCAAGCCTTTTAAAACGGGATGGAGAATCCGAGTCAAAGTCATACATTCCTGGAAGCAATACACTGCCCAATCCGGTGGATCATTGGAGCTCATTCTCGCTGATGAATCTGTAAGCTGTTAATATTACAGAATTAAACACGAATTATTCATTCCAGGAATGTTATTAATCAATACACTTACACTAACAACATTATTATCTATATTTCAGGGTACTATGATACATGCATCTGTTAAAAAGAACTATATGCAGCGTGTTGAGCGTTTGGTTCCTGTTGGAGAATGGAAAGTGATTGAGAACTTTTCATTAACATCCGCATCTGGCCAGTACAGACCAACAAAACACACTTACAAAATGTCTTTTACGGATAACACATCTATCAGTAAGTGTAATGTGAAGAAACCAGGAGATTTCATCAATCTCGTGGATTTTGATACCATTTTAAGCGGTTCACTTAATCACAGTTTCTTGGTTGGTGAGTATTCTAAATTTTAACATAGTATTTTTTTTTACGTAAATTGACCGGTTTCCTAATCATAATTTGTTTTTGAATTTCAGATGTAATTGGTCAGGTTGTTGACGTTAAAGATCTCCAAGATGTGCAAGTTAATGGAAAAGAGAGGAAAAAAATTGAGTTTGAGCTCAGAGATACTAAGTAAAATCATAATTAGTTTTCTATTATTAAGTCTTTGATGTCTATATTTTTATTTTTAATTTGGCGGTTTAAATTTTTTTAATTATGCAGTGATGAACGTATGCCATGTTGTATGTGGCAAAAACATGCAGAGGAACTTTTTAACAGTTGCCAAGATGCCAATGGTGAAACGGTGATATGCCTAATCAGATTTGCTAAAATAAATTCCTACAGAGGTATAAGTTTAGAGTTCATGAATTACCTTCAATTAGTTAGTTCGTGGATAACATGATTCCATTGCTGATATTGTTTTTTTTTCTCAGAAAAGCTTCAGATCACAAATGCCTTTGACACAACTAAATTATTCATCAATCCTTCGATTCCTGAGGTAGAAGAATTTCAAAAATCGTAAGTCTTAAAACAATTATAACTATGAATTATGATTAACAAAATCTAGAGTATATCTAAAAATCAATCTTTTTAGATATTATAAACTTATCTTAACATTTTCTACAGGCTTCCAGATGATGGTCTTGCACTGACAATTCAAGAACCTAAAGATGAAGATTCTGAATTGGTTAAAAAGAAAGAATATTGGGCACAATTGCCAAAAAAAACCATTGAGGAGCTACTCACTGCTGTAGAGGTAAAAGTTTTGAAATTAGATTTTATGACTTACGATTTTTTGTGGTGTTTAAACAATAGAATTAATGTTTTTTACAGGTTGAGAAATGCAAGATAGTGTGTACTATATATGCCATTGATATCGACTGGGGGTGTTATTATTTTGGTTATGTGAAATGTAACCGAAAGGTTGAAAAAACGTCTAAGAAACATGCAGGAACTACATTGCGAATAAATGCACCAACTTGGTGGTGCAAAACTTGTGATGAAGTCATCACTAAAGTTTCTGCAAGACATTCTTGGTAAGAAGGATAATAAACCTTTTGGTGGAAAAGTTGTGGTTTTTGGAGGTGATTTTAGGCAAGTACTTCCAGTGATTCATGGAGCGGGCAGGGCAGAGATCGTTTTGGCTTCACTTAATTCATCATATCTTTGGGATAAATGTAAAGTTCTTAAGTTGACAAAGAATATGAGTCTTATTTCGGATAATCTTACTATTCAAGAAGCAAAGGATCTAAAGGGATTTTCAGAGTGGATTTTAGATGTTGGTGATGGGAGGATTGCCGAGCCTAATGATGGTGTTGCTCAAATTGACATTCCAGAAGAGTTTCTTATTCTGGATTCAAAGGATCCAATTGAATGTATAAGCACGAAGATCTATGGAGATCTTTCTGACTTACATCAGCATAATGATCCTACGTTTTTTCAAGCAAGAGCGATTCTTTGTCCTACCAATGAAGATGTGAACATGATTAATGAGCATATGTTGGATAAGCTCAAAGGTTAGTTAATTTTTGGACTTAGGTACTAATGAAGTTTTGTTTTAAACTTTTTCATTCCTATGTTTATCATCCGTGATTTTCTTTTTTTAAAACTAGGTGAGGAGAAAACCTACTTAAGTGCGGATACTTTAGACCCTGCTGACCTAAAAAGCAGCTACTAATGAAGCCCTTACTCCAGAGTTTCTAAACAGCATTAAAATTTCGGGATTGCCTAATCACAGTCTTAGATTGAAGATTAGTTGTCCTGTTATGTTATTAAGGAATATTGATCCTATGGGAGGATTGATGAATGGAACTAGGTTGCAGATTACTCAACTTGCAGATTTTATGGTTGAAGCTCGAGTCATCACGGGTGAGAAGATTGGTCAGAAAGTTCTAATTCCTAGACTTTTGATTACTCCATCAGATGCGAAATTGCCTTTCAAGATGAGGAGAAGACAGCTGCCCTTAGCTGTCGCTTTTGCTATTACAATCAACAAGAGCCAAGGACAGTCGCTCTCTGAAGTTGGTTTATTTTTACCCAGACCAGTTTTCTCACATGGTCAATTTTATGTTGCCATTTCGAGAGTGACATCAAGGAAAGGTTTGAAAATTTTGATTGTTGATAATGAAGGAAAACCTCAAAAAAAGACAACTAATGTTGTTTTTAAAGAGGTTTTCCAAAATCTAAAACCTATTAACTAATTAGTAACACTCCTTTGATGTTACTAAGTAGTTATTAGTAACTCATTAACTAATGAGTCAGGGAAACTAAGGTGTTTCCAAATATCTTCTGAATTTTCTTTTTTTGTAATTCTTAAAATTTTAATTGTTATGGGTTTTGAACAGTATCGTAATATTTTTCCAGATTATTGTGGTTTCAGTTGACTATTAAATAGAAATTCATTCTTTGTCCTAAATGAAATCACAAAAGCAGATCAACTAACTATAACCACCAATCAAGTTCTTTTTTAATGATATTTCTACATTTTAAATATTTCTAACCTTGAACAAATAGCATTAAGATTTTCCCTTCCATCGATCCGCACTTCATTTGATATAGTTTTGAGTCTGTATAAAGATGGAAATAAATGTTTCTTAACTCTACATAACAATGATATTATATATCTCAAATTGACATTGGAAAATACTAACCCGCGCCCATGCAAACATCATCATTGTTTCTCCAATTGATACTTCTTTAAACTATTTTGCATATTGGATCTATAATTATTTCATGAAAAAAAAAATCAGTATTCAAATAACTCTTTATTCTATATTTATATACATAGTATGAGAATCAAACTTATCTTGAGATGCTTTGCATTATACATTTTAAAATCTTCATATAATTTCGATCCTCCATCCAAATATGGACATGTAATGAAAACATAGGAAGATACAGTTGTTAATTTCATGATCTTTTAGCTTATGTTGTAAATAGAACAGTATTATGACCTACACATAAGAAACTATGAAAATTGAATAGGTGATTTGTTTTAATACCTCATCATTTCAGCTAAGTTTCAAAGGCGTTTATATTAATAACCTGTAAATCATGACAAGAAACGATGGTAAATAAAAACATGTTATAAATTGTTGTCAACTTTAAAGTTTTAAAGTTCAATTTCATATATTTTAAGGGAATTCGTAAGAAACAATACTTAGATTCTGAATATATATTTGATGTAACATTTTGATAACTTAAAATATCTCTTTGTTTCGGACATCAAAATTACGAACATTATCAAAATCTTGCAAAATCTAAACTATTTGATAGAGATTTTTCTTACCTACATATCGTAGCTTTCTCGGATGAAAGATTGTTGAGTTTGATGAGCTTTCCCTTTTGCAACGATTTGGAAAAATAATTGCCTGTAATAAGAGGAACAAAATTAAATTACATAATCTGTACCTTCAACATTTGTACTTATTTATATAAAATGGTAAATACATACCAATGATAAATATATCTGTTTTGGCCTGATGATTTTACGAAAACTTCAGTATAATGTGTTTTATATTCAAGAACCATATATATTGACCTGCACTTATCTACATGAAAAACAAGGAATCAGTGATATATTAAAGAACTTCTATCAAAAGTTATTTGAATCGTAAAGACTTGAAACTCATCTTTCTCGATTGAGTTGAAGAAATATTCATTTAGGACATTCCTTCCTCCAAAGATGAACATGTAATAAAATCACAAAAAACGAGATGTTAATTTTACTGAACTTGGACCGGTTATTGGAAATAATTTTTTGGATCAAAGTAACTAAAAGAGTTTAAGCTAAGTATTGTAAACTTATACCTCATCACTTCAGTTTTTTTGGACCCGATCCAATATATTATAACCTATAAACGAAACAAACAAACGATTATCAACAAATTCAGGCTATAAATTAATTTTTATTTAAAACAGAACAAATTATAGACGAAGATTTAAAATAGATGAAAACCAAACTTTCAATCCGAACCAGATTTGATAATCTCTTGATTTATGATGAAAAAGAATCTATATTTTTTGTTTCAAATATGATTAACATTCAAATAATCTTTCAAAATCAAAACTATAGCACATGATTGAAATTTGCTTACCCAGATTTTGGTCGGAAGTTCTGTAGTCGCCAACATCTGATTTCGGACCCGTCGCTTCGATTTCTTCTCTCAGCCGATCGATCAAAAATCAGATCCGGTAATTATCTTCATAAATCCGAATTATCGAAGGTTAAAGAGAGGAGCAAGAGGAAGATCTGGGTGAGGTTAATCGCATTCTGACGGAGAAGACAGCTGAGATTTTTGTCGATAACAATTCTAGACCAAATAAAAAAATCACGATCCTGTCTAAATAAAAAAATTAGATACATATGAGTCAAGACAATATTTGACTAACCCCATAATAAACTTGACAGCAATTTTCAAAATTTCTTAGGCCGGCCCATACTCACAAAATTTTAATAAACCCGTGCATAGGCGCGGATCCGAAATCTAGTCTTTTTATTATTATTGAAACATAAACCCATGTACACCACCTAGGATCTACTTAACGAAAAAATTAACATGTTCATTTGGCCTGCTAGTCGATGGAGTAAGTTATTAGTAAGTGGTAGAATTTATAAAGCGGTTCGGTTAGATCCTTATCATCCACATAATGTTTTCCGCTTATTACTCCTAAACCGGTAAATCTTGGACCGGTTTAGGATGCGTGATTTGTTTCTTCCTCGTCCATAGAAGCTCTTTCTTTTGTAAAAACAATACTAGAAAAGGTTTTACTAAAATTGAATCGAACTCGGTTTGGTTGGATTTATTCGGTCATGTTAGTCTCATTACTCACTTACTCAAACTACTCTCACTAGTACCATACTAGCATTAGTTGAAGAAACAGATGAACCGTTTTGTGCCATTAATAAAGGGGGAAGCAAAAATGGAAACTTAGGGTAAAAGAGAAAAATGGAAGTTTTGGGGCATTGGGATACGGAGGTGTGTATATGAGGTTTTAGGGTTTTGGTTAGCCGTTTAGGGTTTTCAATTTGGTTCAACAATGTCTCAGCTTTTGTGTCGAATCGCTAAGCTCCCATCATCACAGGGACTCTGTTTCAGTGAATTGCGGCGGTTTTCCACGGCGGCGACGCCGTATCTGCTTTTAAATAAGACCAACTACAGGGCGGCGTCTAAGGGTGAAATTGTGGTGGACATAAACTTGTACGATCCAAGGAAAGACGAAAGAGTGAAGATCCAGGACCAGACTCTGTCGGAGGAGCTGGTGGCTTCGGTGAAGATGGGATCTTCGAGGGGATGGGTGGGTGTGAAGAACGTACACGACTCCACAGTGCGGCTCACCAATGTCTTCAACCCTTGTGCATCTGTTTCGTCACATAAAGTCATCACTCTGCCTCCATTGAATGACAGTAGATTTCGAGTTGTTTCCAATCTCTGTCTCTCAGCTTCCCCAGAGCAGCAAGACTGTGTAGTGGCCGTGTGGTCGTATCGTTCACTCGTCGGTCTGTGTCGGCCCGGTGACTCGGTTTGGACACATATCGAGGTCCCCGTTTTGGCCTCAGAGATGGTGTATTCCGTCAAGGACAGTAGATTCTATCTCCGCAGGGTGAGTAAGGAAGACTATAAGGGTCTGGTTGATCTCATCAACACTAGCTCCGGCTTCCCTCAGGTGAGTCTGTACCAGAGATTACCTAACTCTGACATCCCCGAGAGTATACAAGATCAGGTTACCTCAACTATCAAGACTCAGCACATGGTCGAGTCACCGTCGGGCGAGTCCTTCGTCGTTTACTGGTAATTCAGTTTACATGTTAACCATAGATCATTCAGATATATTGAATTACATTCTAACCACAGAAATCCTCGTTTGCCTCTCTTGCCTTGAAGGTGTAAGGAGTTGTTAAACAGAGAAGAAATCTTGTCTAGCCGCGGCAAGGAACCTACATCCCGTGGGAGGAGGAAGCCCAGTGGCTTTGTGGTGTTCAGGCAGGACCTTCACCAAGGGATCGGTTCTTACACTGAAGACATTGGCGATCTCTGCATCTTCCTAGGCAAGAGCGAGGCCTTTTGCGTCCGAATATCCCGGACTTAAACCTAACTCCATCTACTACGCAAGCTCTAGCTCGGGGTTTGGTTTCTACGACCTCTCCTCCAACACTCTCCACGAGCTCATCGACCCTACCTACGGTTACTACCAGTGGCTCGCCCCTCTCCAGTGAATAAAGCTTATATTGGCTTTTAAACTGTTGTAACTTTGGTGTTGTAATATGCATATTATCTATGTTTTAACTTATGATCACAAAGATGCTTTTAGTTTTGAGTTAATGGATTCATATTCAGCTCTCTTTTCTTAATTGCTCTTGATCTTCTCCTTGTGGTTGGTTGGGAATAGGGTCCAAATATATCGTATTTAGAATCTTTTCATCATTGTACACAAATATATTGTAATGTTTGTTTTTATAAATAGATTAAAATTCAATAAAAATGATCCTCAATTGTTCAAAAGAACAAACTAACAAAAAGTACGTAAGTCAAACGGTTGGAAACAAGTTTGACTGTAACCCCTCAAGTGAAACTCAATGGGCCGGGGATAGTTGGGTCATTTAAAAATCACTTCAGGTAAATAAAGTTTTTATTCGTTTTATCCTCGTCGAAAAGGGGCCCATTTAATCATGAGTCCAACTCGACGGCATAAGAAACAAACACGCCTACTAATCCTGACCTCGTGTGTTTAATACATCATATGTGTGATTAATATTATATACACATCAGCCTAAATAAAAAAAAGTTTATATCATCACCATCATCGACACATGTACATCCATCATTAATTATACACATCGGTCTATATATATTCCTCCTCCTCTTCCCTTTTTCACATCTCTTCAAAACAAAATATTCTCTCGGGTTTATTCCAGAGCATATTCAAAGTTCTTCCAAAAAAGGAAAAACGCCAAATTCTGATTCTAATCTACTCTACGATGGGTGAGGTCAGTTACTCTTCTCCTTCCTCTCCCTCTCTGTATCTATCTCTCTCTCTGTTTCTGTTGTTTAACGGTTGACTTCAATTTTCTCTTTGATTTGTGGATTTCGCAGAAAAAGGAAGAAACAGCGACCAAACCAGAAGGAGAGAAGAAGCCGGTCGACGCCGCGGCTGCGAAAAAGGGAGATGGTGGTAACACCATTATTATGAAGCTTGATATGCATTGCGAAGGTTGCGGGAAGAAAATCAAACGACTCTTGAAGCATTACAAAGGTATATTCATTAGAAAAATCTGCAAATTGAGATCGATTATAGACGAAATTGAAATCTCTCCAATGGATTTGAGTTTATGATTCTCGAAGAATCGCCTCTGATTGAAAACCCTAACGCGAAATTCTCTGGTTCTTATTATATAACTCAGGCGTCGAAGATGTGAATATCGATTATAAGGCCAACAAACTGACGGTGATCGGAAACGTAGATCCAGCGGCAGTTCGAGATAAAGTGGCCGATAGAATCAAGAGAAAGGTCGAACTCGTCTCTACAGCACCGCCGAAGAAAGAGGCTCCTCCTTCAGGCGGTGGAGGCGGTGAAAATAAGCCGGCGGTTGAGAAACCTGCCGAGAAGAAGGCCGCCGATGAGAAACCCAGCGAGAAAAAGAAGGAGGAAGGAGAGAAGAAAGCTCCTCCTGCCCCACCAAAAGAGGTAATATTCCTATCTGTCTGCGATTATTAATTTATTATCTCTCTAATTAATTGTGTTTTTATTAAATAATAGGAAAAAAACACTCTTTCAAAAGTCTGATAGCGAAAGTATATAATATACTTTAAGTTTCATACGTCAGTCCATTTGCTTGTGGTCTGTAACGTGTGTGCACTTCGAAACTTTACGGCATTTACACTCGTTCAAATCTAAATCCATTGGACGAAAATCTCTTTAATTAAAGTTTATACTTCTTATTATAATAAAAAAAAAATTCAACCTAATATTGATCGTTATTTCTGACGTAATTCTTTTTTTTTTCTTTATGTGATACAGAGTACGGTAGTTCTGAAGACGAAGTTACATTGCGAAGGTTGCGAACACAAAATCAAAAGAATAGTCAAGAAAATTAAGGGTAAGTTTAGGATCCTAATCCAGTTTTGAAATATTCTTAGTATTATTAAATAACTAAATAATTCTAAAATAAGTTGATATGGTTGGTGATGGAAGATAACGGAAGCAACAAAATATTAAATATTCATAAATTAGGTTGAACTACCTATTATATAAAGTGGCTTCTCCATTTATTTATTTTTTTTGAAAAAAAAATGTTAAAAGGCTTCCTCTTTCTCTATTGATTATTTTAGTGAAAACAAATCATTTGGTTAGCTAAGAAGTGGTTAGTCTAATCTATGGGATTAATTATTTTATTAATTATATCAGTTAGGTAACTAATGTTTAAATTTTAATTACAGGGGTTAATTCAGTCGCCATTGATAGCGCCAAGGATTTGGTGATAGTGAAGGGGATACTTGACGTGAAACAACTCACTCCGTATCTCAACGAGAAGCTGAAACGCACCGTTGAAGTTGTTCCGGCGAAAAAAGAGGAGGGAGCCACCGTGGCAGCAGCAGCAGCGCCAGCGCCAGCCGGCGGCGAGAAGAAGGACAAAGGTGCTGGTGAAAAGAAGGAGAGTAAAGATGTCGGAGAAAAGAAGGACGGTGGCGGTGAAAAGAAGAAAGAAGTTGCCGCAGCGGGAGGAGGAGATGGTGGTGCTACGGTGGATGTGAAGAAATCGGAGTACAACGGTTACGGTTATCCACCGCAGCCGATGTATTACTACCCACCAGGACAAGTGTACGGGCAACAGTACATGATGCAAGGTCAGTCATCACAATCGTACGTACAAGAACCGTATACGAACCAAGGTTACGTACACGAGTCGTATACGAATCAAGGATACGGCCAAGGCTATGGACAAGAAGCACCACCACCACCACATTATATGAACCACCAAGGCTATGCAGATCCTTATGCTCATATGCGTGCGCCTGAGATGTTTAGTGATGAGAATCCAAATGGTTGTTCTGTTATGTGAGTGAAACCAGAGGGGAGGAAACTGTAAATAACTAAAGAATATAGAGCGAGAGAGGTAAATTTGACAGAATTGTAATACTACAGAAAGCACGGAAACTTCCGAGTCCGGTAATCTAAACCGGCAAGATTGGCCGGTTAGAACCGGTTTTTGAGAGGCGTGGGTTGGGTTTATTTGTTGGTTGGTTTACTCTGTAGACTATATAGATATAGTTTTTTTTATCTTCATTAGATTGGATCCTCATCCTCCTCTGTTTAATTACTTTTTTCTGGTGCTATGTAATATTCAAGTAATCCTAATGAAAAAAACTATTCGCCATTTTAATTACATAGATATAATAGGAAATGGAAATGAAGGTCTATTACAAAAAGATCATTACAACTATTCTTAAGCTGTTAAGACTCTTTTTAAGTCGTTAATGTTGTTTATATTGATATTATCAACGCGTGTTTCGTTCCAAAGTTATCCAATATCAAATTCTCCATATGTAATAACACAACCGACAAAAGCTTTAGAGTCGTACGGGACGAGGTTACCGCATTTCAAGTCAAATACCACTACGGGAGAAGAATATTTCATTTCATACTACTGGTCTTTGTAACTTTGTTTCCAACAGGAGGATTATAACGCAACGTTTATAATAAAGAAGACAAAAATGACATATTAACCCTATATACTATTAAGTTTATTAAGGTATCTTAGGTTTCAAGAAACATTTTATATATATCCTCTCTGACAAAAGCCCTTGGAATGTTCGGAAATGAAGGCCGTAAAAATTTGTGAAAAGTTCGAATTTTTTGTTGTTTATCATGACATATTAACCCTATATACTATTAATTTCTTTTTCTTAAACCGCTTTGATTGTACCATTTTTTTTGTTGCTTCCCTCGTGTGGTAATATATGTTTCCCAATGTTATCTAAGCCAATAGTTTAATAAAATTCACATCTCAGATGACATATTAAAAATGCCATTGGTTGGCTACCATTTGAGTTTTGTATATGTAAAATCATCTTTATTGTTTCCAGAAGTTTATATACCTTTCAGGGTCATAATAGCTTTTCGTTTACCAAAAAGGTTAACACTGTAATGGTTAACACATAATAAAACACATCCAACTTGCATATACGCAAGACAAATGTATATATTTAAATTTATATGTCTGAATGTATTAATTGGAAAGAATATTTGACTCATTGGTTTAATAAGGCCAAAAAGAAGAGTCGATGGAGACGTTATTTATGGATGTTAGGTATGAAAAAAGTTATGATGTTGAATTTAGTTAATAGCATTAGTCATAACTTGGGAATCAAATAGCTAGATGATGTAATAAAGTTTTCTTGTATTAGGAAAATTTTGCTAAGAGTTAAAACTGTCTTCATCAGACATGATCATCAAAACTTGCCAGTGGCCAGAATTGCCAAGGGACATATAACTATTAGCATTCTCCAATAGATACACATTCATATACAGAGAGAATGATGTAATAACTAATTACTTTATGTTTTAAAAATAACAAGACTTGTGTATATTTTTGGCAAAACTATACGTGTTCATAGGTATCTGGGTGATGATCATGCTGATGAATAATATACTTCCAAATTGCCATCGATTGAGAAAGAAATAAGTGTTTTCATACCAATTTAAATTTGATATTCAGGAAAATATGATTTTTCTGGATCGTCGATGCAATATTCTTTTGAAGGTTTTTGTGTGGTATATATATAAATGAAACCATCGTTTGACAAAAATAAAAAAAAACCATCATGAATTCGACCAAAAAATAATTTTGAACTGTATCGTACTCTTATATAATTGTGTTGTACTTGTATGTACTACCGATAGTTCAGTAATCAGAACACTGTAATTTTCAAAAACACAAACAAAAACTCTACTCTATATTGGATGTAGAGCCTTCAACCTTATCTAGAACATATAGAACATCAATTTCTAGATATATTTCATTTGTTTTTATTATAATATATAGTTTTGATATATATGTCAATTGTGACTTGTGAAACAAACCCTCGTTCGAGAATAGTCTTGAATCTTCCAGCATTGAATGACCAGGAAATGATTATATGATTGTAATAAACCAATGAAATGTTATCGTTCCCTTCGTGAATAAAATTGTTGGTTCCTTTCACACTCATCCAAAGTTAGTGGGGGCAGATTAATCTAATCTCAACCCTGTCTTCCACTGACTAATCCCCTGAGTCTAAATAACATATTAGTTAATTTTGAGGGCGTTTAAAAATTCCAACAGTCATATGAAATTACAATATTTAAACAAGTAACGGTTAAATGTGAGTTTGAACTAAAGAACAAAATGAATTAATGTAATTTTCTATCAGCTATGATATGATTATAAACCACAACTTAATTAACCATACAATAAAAATATAGGTATGACAAAAGCGACATAGTTAATAAGGTTATGTGAGTGAGTAGTTAATTATTTGAACGGACCGACGTATGATCACGTTTACGTGTGTGTTCCATAACAATTTATTATTTTAATTATCTAACGCCAATAATGATTTTGAAGATGAGAAGGTTCATGCTGTTTCATACATCAGCAGACATTTTGTATTTATGCCTCCTTTACATTAATTACTAAATTCCTAAACTTGATTTTTAGTTTTGTTTAGATAATTTGTTTTCCCACTTCTTAAACCAAAAAAAAAATGTTGTTCCCTTGTCGTTGTCATACGCAACAAATCGCAAAAAGACAGGATTGATGGGGGAAAAATATATAGAACCAGAAGCTGTGATGCTTATGGGAATATTCGAATATATATATTTTTGGTGAATGTTTTATTAAAAAGAAAAGAAAGGAGAGATCATGAAAATATAGTTAACTGCTTAATCTCTGATTTCGTTTAATTATTAAACAAACAAATTTCACAGAATATATCATATAATACAAAGAAGCACCATCTGTTATATATTATCTAATACCTAAGATTTAATATCTCAACATATTTTTATTACATGATTCTTCGAATTTTTAATTCTAGAAAAAACAAAACTCGAATATTTCTATCTATAATGTTCTATGTGAGCCCACCAAAAGATAACATATGACACATAAATTGTATATTAAACTCCCTCTAAATCATTTGCTGATGCGAAAACCTAATCCAGCACTTCTATAAATATAAAAATGGAATAGAAATTTATTTTTTACTATTTTCATAAAGAAGAACCGTCAGCGACATTATAAAAAACGAAAAATATAGTGGCATCCATGATGACGAAGAGAGTAAGGTAAAAACCATGAACTATAATGCCCCGTGTTTCTGACTCAGCTTTGAATGTGATATACAATTATCACTTTTTGTTACATGCAATTACCATTTCGTACATATTACGTGTTTCTTTACTATTTTTTTCGTACAAATGATTGTAATAAGTAATAAACATATCCTAATTGGCGAAAATAAGTAATAAGTAACATTGCAAGTAAGTAGATGCCGTTCTAAACTTCTACACTGATCAGTTTAATGTGATTATGAGCTTTATTATGTATGATCATATTGTATGAATGAGCATGATGATAAATGATGTTTATTAAAGTTGACATGATATAATTAGTGGGACCAGTCCACGTCAGGCCCACATGGCAATTTTTGTCTCGGTTTAGATTACACGGCACGAGTCTCCCCACCGGTGGGGACCACTTATACAGCTGGAGTATATAATTGCGAAAATAGAAAGGTCTTCTTTCTTGTGTAGTTGAGTTCCATGAAACTCATATAAGAACAACTCGATCGCTACAACAGGTGTGGACTGTACACAAGTGTATATATTCCTTTTCCACATTTGCTCTATTTATTATTTGGGTTTTTTTTTCAGTTTGCATTCATCTTATAAAATTATATGAACGTTGAAGATCTGTTTTTGTATCTAGATATCTTATTTATAACTCATATAAAATTGTATTTGGGTATTATTCTAATCTGCATTCAGATTATTTTTGATTTTCAATCTGTATAATTAGGGGAATTGTGTATTACACCGGACCCTGGTATCAAAATTTAATCACCTTTTCGGGTTAAACTGATATGAGAGATCTGTTTTTGTATCTAGATATCTTATTTATAACTCATATAAAATTGTATTTGGGTATTATTCTAATCTGCATTCAGATTATTTTTGATTTTCAATCTGTATAATTAGGGGAATTGTGTATTACACCGGACCCTGGTATCAAAATTTAATCACCTTTTCGGGTTAAACTGATATGAGGAAACTCATAAACAAAAATAATATTAATATTAACATGTCACAATCTCGAAAATAAATACTGTATGAGACAACTTGTATTCAGAGTTTAAAACAATTTGAATTTCCGACCCAAAAAGAAAAAACAATTTGAATATTATAAGGAAATTCCGACTTTTTGAAATTTACTTGGTCGCGCAGCCACACGTGCAACCATGTTTCCACTCTTCCTTATTATGGAGTATTTAACTAATCAGCTTATTTATTTTTTTGGATTCAAATGGTAGTAGTAAATTATGTGACTGGTTCAACTAAATGATCCATTTATAATGTCTCTCTTAGTTGACTAAATAAAAAATAAAAGCCGTTTGCAATAAAAAAACATACTGGAGTCGTTCTTTTTTCGCAGGTCTCAAATAGCGAAGTTCCTTCTCATAGTCCAAGAAACGTTTATTAGAATTTTGACTATATCTCAAGAAAATTGAAACTAATTTGACCATTCCATTAGTTTTTGTCAATTGTCAAATACTTTGAACTTACCTTATATTAAATGTTAGGCTGACTTGATTTTATATGATCAATAAGATATTCCATTTAAGATTTTCCAGTTCAAGTTTCTGTACATTGCTTTCACTCTTTTACATGTTGAAAAGTCGTGTCTGCAATTACATAACTCTTCTTTCTTCTTCACTGAATTTGAATCTAATCTAAAATGGGCCGTCATTCAGAATGGGCTTGAACTGAGATTCGTTCTTGTGGGCCGATATGAACAAAGCGAGCGAAATTTCTTAAAACATACCATGTTCAAAACCATAATCAGACCGAACCATAGGCAATCGAACCTGATAACTGAAATCGTTAAGGGAAATAACAGAAAGTTAATCTGCAAGGGAGAAACCCAGATGCTCGATGGCCTCGAATGTCGGAAATCGAATCAGATTCCTGAGTTTCGGGAAGCTTCCGCACATCTCTGCTTCACTGTTGAGAACCTATCATCCTCGTAGCCTCTCCGTTCTCCTTCAACATCGGAATAATCTTCTTCCGTTCCGCCGTCGTTGCACCTCTGTCGTTCATCGTCTTCCTAGCTCTCTTCTTTGGCGTCGCTCATCTCCTACTCTGTCCTCCATGTCAACTCAGGCTGAATCTGGGGCTTCCCAGCAATCCGATTCTTCCAAAACGGTGACTCCTTTTCGTCGGAAAGTTGAGATTTTTTATCGGATTTTGAGTCCGTCTGAATCGGGTTGAAATTAGGGTTGTTGAGGATGGGGTTTCTTCACTTGATTCAGTGATCCATAGGTTACCAGTAACAAGGGGTTTAGTTTTGTTAATGGGGATTAATACTTGTGATTGATTTCTAATCTAGCGCTCAAAGCCTAAGGTTGTTTCACATTGGTTATCTAAACATGGAACTGAGATTGATGAAACTATGATGATGCTTGTTCAGATTCTTGGGCTGAAGATGTAACAATGTTGGTGCAGGTGAGGATGGTGATAAAGGGAAGAGTACAGGGAGTGTGCTACAGGAACTGGACTGTTGAGAACGCAGGGCAGCTGGGGCTAAAGGGATGGGTCAGGAACCGCAGGGACGGTTCAGTGGAAGCACTCTTCTCCGGACCGTCTGAAGCTGTCGAAGAGATGCAGCAGAGGTGCCGCCGTGGCCCTCCTGCGGCCATGGTTACTGGATTGGAGGCTTTCCCTTCCACTGAAGAACCAGGAACAAGCTTTGAATACAGGTCAACTGTCTGATTTGATTGATTCGAGAGTGCGAGAGTGGCTTCTTTGAACGTTGCAATGCTTATGGGACGTCTGGATAATAATAACTTGTAACAAGGGCTATATTGACCACACCATGCCATGTACATATATAATAATTTACATTCTCAAATCTCAATGTTTACATTGACTTGGCAACAATGTATATGAACTTTTACAAATTTGAAAAGTCAAAAATACACACAAGATTCCACAAGGAAGAAGAAGAAAACAAAGCATTTGTTCGTTCCCCTGCAGCGATGTACATAAAGAAATAGGATTGTTGTTACAGTTCTTGATGCCAATCTCAAAGTGGCATCTCATGGGTCACATAACTTTACTTAATCTCTGCACAGTTATTTGGACCAACGGGTTCTCGCAAGCAACTTGATATCGCCATCACTGCGGCTTCAACGGCTGCATCTTCACCCTGGTTTCAAGACAATACGTATATTGGTCACAATTAAGAGAGGCATGACGAGAATACATAAATACAGAGTGTTGTTGTGGTTCCTTCTTGCCTTGTCTTTCCAGTAAAACATGTTGCCGTATTTCCCAGCCAGTCGACTCCAGAAGCTACGAGGTATGTCTAAATCAACCGTAGCCCCAACATTGAAATTCAATATGTTCCCTGTCAATCACAATCCGGTTTCTCATTGGATATTTCAAGAAATCAACAACGAGGTCTGGTGGATGTTGTTATATATATACCAAAAGTCGGGTCAGCGACAAACACAATTGTGCTATCGTCCACTTGCCAGAAATCCTTGATTGCTAGTCCTGTTTTAACACACACACACAGAGGATTGTCATCAAGTTTTAACCCTAATGGGAGAGATCAAAGTATGCTGCTTTAAAAGCATACCGGGTGTAACAGGATAGTTTTGAGCCAAGACTCTCAGCTTGAATCCCGTATCTTTCTCAAGATCAGCGATTTCACTAGCGATCCTTTTCTCCTGAAAAAATTCGACAAATAGCAAATAGCACTGAGGATTCCAAAAAATGTACAGACCAGAAATCCGCAGCACAAGGAAACAACTCTAAATGGGATTAAGCAAGAACCTGGCCGTCAGAGAGGAAACCAGCAACATCTATGACAGAAGTGAACTCTTTAGGGAGCAATTCTGGTTTGTTGACTCCCACTTTCGCCTCCGCAAGTCCCACGCCTGCAAAAAGTGATTCCACGTTGTTGAAAAATCCCAAAAATTCACGAGCTTGACTTCGAATCAGTGATTGCAATCAGAAGCTTGTACTAGTATTGATACCCGATAGAGATAAGCCGAGAGCGAGAGCTCCTGAGAACACCAAACTGAGAGATTTCGACCGGAATCTGGAAACACAGCTCTCGGTTTTCAAGGAGTGGCGAGATGAGGTAATTTCTCCGGCGACGTGGTTGAACACACAGGGAGAGAAGCTTCTACACTGTGGACGTAGAAAGAGATTCGCCATGAGTCTCCCCCCTTCCTTCTTCCCCCACTCTGTGTTTGTTCTGGATAACGCTAATCAAACGTTCGCGACGCTATTGGTCGAATCAAACATTCCGGTACATAACGGAACCGAACCGATTTAACCCGGACTGGTGGAATATTTTGGAGCATCCCTTTAAACAAAGTACACTCCTTTCCAGTGAATCTATCACATGATAATATTGTGTACATCATCAATGTTTGACTAATCAGTACAAATACAATTTTCAATCATATTTTCTTACATGAAAAGAAAGAAAAGAAAACAATGACCATTTAACCATTGTTTTGGTCTTCCGATTTATATGCCAACGCAATGCAAAGAGCAAAATATTGATCCCAAACGGTGGAAATATACTCTGTCTTCACAACGGGCCTTACAACGGTCGCAAATAGGTCGAGACATGTGGTTGTTGCGCACAACATCATATCTTTTACTCGAACAGGGAAACGATGAACCTGGCCTCATGTAAAACGTCCGCCCAAGCAGACATTCAACATGCAGAGTCACACAACAATGCTCACCACACGTGTAAAACCGTTCTTTCGTATTTATTTCTTTCTCGCAAGCTTCGCACCAATACGCAGTGCTACTTGTCTCCTCCTCATAAGAAAGGGTGAGCACATGCTTATCATACTTATACCTTACCTTTTGAGGTAAAGTAGCACATGCGAAACACAGAGCAAAGTCACACTCTATGCAATTGAATGTTTCCCTGTCATTATATAGATAATCTTTGCACACCGTACATGTTCTCCACTCCCCTGGTTTAGATGTTAGGAACAAAGGATGCGTATGACTTTCATGTACTAGTGGCTCAGAGATTGTGGCGCACTGCACGTGTATTTTGAAGAGACATCCTTCTTTGCTGCACTTATAGGAGAAGCCGGTGCAATAAGTAGGACAAGCTGCACATATATTATAATCGTTCGTGCCAGCATCATGTTCTCCGACCAGAGTGAGCTGATGTGGATGTATCGGATGGTAGATTTTGCGAGAAAGATTCGCACATGCTTCGTGTAGTATGAAGTCACACTGCGTACATGAGTAGAAGCTACCGAAATAGATGGGCGTGATGCATGCTTGACACTGCTTGTTATCGTCGTAATCTCCTCCCGTGTTGTCATCAAGTCTCAAATGATGATGCCCATGACTGAAGTGCTGTATGATTCCGTCGCTTATCCTCACAAACGGTTCAAGAACATCCTCCTCGTCTTCGACTTCTTCCGGCTCTCCCTCGATTTCTATACCATCCCACACGTTGCTCTGTGTGGCACATTTCGAATGAGCAGCATAGGAACAACCAACCATCCTTGATGCAAGAATAGCCTCCATAGCCATTGTCGATCTTTCTGCGACAAACACCGCAAGACCAATCTCCTTGGTCGGAAAAAGAATGGGTGAAAGAGATTCGATGTGGATGGCGGGATATCCTTATGACACGTGGTAAGCTGAGACATCTCTGATGCACCACAAAGCCACAAGGAGGACACATGTAGACAGGAGAGCTCAAATCAGGCAAGGCACAGAGGCTGCAGTTCAAAGGAGCCGGCCTCGTAAACAGAGCAAGCGTGTGCTCATGCCACTTGGGATGGTCTATAGCTAATAAGAGTGGTGGCCTCTCAACGCAAGCCACATTCATAGCAAAATCGCAAGCGGAGCAATAGTAAAACACCCACAAGAGATCTCGGTCGCAACAGTAGCATTCCCTGCTTCTGTCTAACAAGCCCGCGGTTGCAAGCTGAAGGTGATGTTTAGGATGGAGATGGTGGTTGATCTCAACGGGAGCTTTTTGGTATTCTTGATGGTACTTGCCATTGCAATTCCGGCAGAGGAAATAGATGCCTTGCTTCCTCTCGTTGAACCAACATTCCTCATTGCTCTCGCTGCTCCACTCGACTTTCCCAGTGACAGAGAATATTCCTTGATCGAAAAGCAATTGCCATTGAGAGGATAAGCAAATAAGATCCTTAGGCTTCTGCTCCCACTTTGACTTTGACTCTGGAGAGACCACGATGGAGTATATATGCTGGATGTGTGATATGAGCTCCCGCTTGAGTTGGTCGAGTGGGATTTTTGTTGCAATGAGTGATTGGAGTTCCAACACAGGCTCCGACTGTGAATCCAAATCCATAAAGGGGAGGGCTGAGATCCACTGAGTGACGCGTGGTATGAGCTTCGAAGAGAGAGAGTATGTCAAGGAGGAGTGACAAGAACACCTCCTGCGAATCCGACAGATCGGAGTCTCCCATTGGGATTATTTTGAAAAATAGCAACGCCGCCATTAAGTGCGGATCCGACTCAGCTTCCAAATCCATAGAGCTGCCGGAGAAGAGAGAATTCATTTTTGAGTTAAAGAATGGTGTGGGTGTGAGAGATTTTGAGTCTGAGTGTTTTAGTTACCGTAGTGCTCTCGATATCGGTACGTTTTGAGTGCTAATATACATAATATAAATATTTTGTATGTTGATGATGATATAACGCCCACAAATTAATCTGAAGCAGAGGAATAGTTTACTAATATTTGGCAGTCGTGGAGGTGGTAACCTGAATAAAATCAACTGTTGGTGATATAGATAGACATTATTGGAGTAACGAATGGTATGAGAGATTTTTTGAATATATGTGACTACTTATCTATTTCTACTTATGATATCTGTATTATAAATCCCCGTAGCTCGTGGATCTTGCCTTAATATATGATATTTGCAAGATACAGGTTGTCCCAGCGCAAAGTCAAGGATGGATTCAGAGGTGACATGTGAGAGCCACGCTACTAATCAGTTACCATTATGCAACACGTTGCTCGGTGGGTTTCTATCTCAAATTTAATAGCATAACTTTGCATTTCGATTTTCGGAGAGTTGCTTTTCCCATTGGAGTTGTACCAAATGATCAAGACTTGCTCTGTTTTGGGATACGACTATTATACCAAAACTCATGTCCCAAATGATCAGATGAATTCTTCTTAGTTTGCATAAGCAAAGATCAATCCTTCGCACACCCCATCTTTGTTTAGTTTTAGAGAAAAGAGTCTGTATTTTCGGATCAGTCGGTTTCGCCAGGGTATGTATTTCCTCCATAACTTCTATAACATCAATGCTTCAACTATATTCTGACTCAAATTTCTTTGAAAATATCTCATAACAATGTTCGACTAATACAATATCAATTGCAATCAGACCACTGGTCACTTTCTAGTTTCTAGAGCGAGCAACTAACTATTCCTCTTCAGATTCTGTGTACTTTTTTCTCTAGACGACCACGTGTTGTTCAGGTGGTGGGTAACCCTAAATACAATTATAGAGTTTTGAAGATGACAGACAGAGTCAGAGTAAAGTCATTCATCCACGTGATGAAATACAAACGAATATGTTTTTTTTTTTTCCTTTGAATTCAGTTTATAGAAAGGATAAGGAAAATCTTGTGGGTCGCTTTCATTGGTGTGTCTTGGCGCGTCCACTTGACGTTCTGTAATGTGATGTGACGATTCGATGTTTTTTCTTTGAAAATTCAAACTCGATGGCTTATGTTTACACTTATATATCACGACGTTATCAGCTTCACTCTTTCTTACTCTCACTTGAACCAACAAGTGGAGAAACACAAAACACAATGCAGATCCATAAACTCTGTTTTCTTGCTCTGCTCTTAGCTCACACCGCTTCCGCCGTCAACCTCAACCTCAAAAGCTCGAATATCGCCTTCCTCGGAGACGCAGAGCTCGGTCCTGCTGCAGATGGCATAAGCCGCTCCGGAGCTCTCTCCATGACCCGAGACGGAAACCCATTCTCTCACGGCCAAGCTCTTTGGTCCATGCCAGTCCCTTTCAAGCCTTCTGCTTCTTCTCCTCCGTATCCTTTCGAAACTTCCTTCACTTTCTCCATCACTCCTCGCACCAAACCCGCACCTGGCCACGGCCTCGCCTTCATCGTCGTCCCCGCCCTCGACAACAGCGGCGCCGGCCCCGCTGGGTTCCTCGGGATCCTTAATAAAACCAACAATGGCAACCCCAAAAACCACGTCTTTGCTGTCGAGTTCGATGTGTTTCAGGACACACATGTTGGAGACATCAATGATAACCATGTCGGTGTAGACATTAACTCCGTCAAATCCGTTGTTGCCGAGAAAGCTGGTTACTGGGTTCAGACAGTGATTGGGAAGAGCAAATTGTGGTCGTTCAAGGAGGTGAAGCTGAGTAACGGAGAGAGGTACAAGGCTTGGATAGAGTATAGAAACTCCAAGGTTACAGTTACTCTCGCGCCAGAAGTCGTTAAGAAACCCAAGAAGCCGTTGATCGTTGCTCATTTAGATCTCTCTGGGGTTTTTCTTGAAAACATGTACACCGGTTTTGCTGGTGCAATGGGCCGTGACATTGAGCGTCACGACATTTGGAGCTGGACCTTCCAGAACAGCGCCAAGAAAACCTAAACCGGTTCTGTTCACTTATGCTTTTACTTTTTGATGTCTCGGAGAGTAGTAACTAGTAACTAACCTGAGTTAATAAAAATAAACCCCAAAAAGTTGTGGTTTAACGTGTTGCATTTTCATACTAGTAGCCAAACCTATTCTGGGGGGGACTTGGTTTGTTATGTTGAATTTTCATTAAATTAAAAACTCTTTCAAAAATCACAAATTGATGCAAAGCAGAGTAGTTACATTGAGTAGCATTTCAACGCAAATATCTCATTACATTGGACAGATCAGTGTTTGACTAAGCAGTAGGATAAAAATCAAAACTTCATGTCGACCGTCGGTGGGAACAGTCGACCACGATGATTGAATATCATGAAATCCGAGTTATCAGGTAAAGAAACCGCCCTGCAAAAGTTTTTGAAAGAACCAAGTTAATACAAGATATTTATCTAGGAAAAAAGAGCAATTCAAGAACCAGAATGTAAAAGAAGATAGGTGAGAGGTCGTGAAATCGAAGGAACAATTGTGTTTCACCTAAGGATGTCTAAAAAGCCTAAAGAGTAAGGAGGTGTGTGAAGGTATGCTCAAGGTCAGCATAGTAGTATCATGAATGTATTGAGGTGAAAACTAAACTAGCAGATGTCTCCATAACTACCATGTATCAACCTTGGAGTGTCCTGCTTTTAGCTCTACTCCAAGTTAAACAAAGTACTAGTAAAGAAACACATGCACCCTTTAACTGAGACGAGTTCTTTATAAAATCCATGAACATGAATCTATGGACATTCTCAGCCAATGGCAAAAGTATTAAGCGTAAAAATCACGTGATTTAGTTTGATAAACACTGTCTGCGCCGCAGAGATGTCACGAGACATAGAAGCTAGACTCTTGGAAACATCTCTATAACACAAGTTCCTTATATGAATACGTGAATAAAAAGCAAATACAATCACTAAAACGTGCAAATGCTAAGCTGAAACACGCTGTAATTGGATAAGACTCTTAGCTCTAATGCCAGCTAAAACAAGGTACTAATAAAGAAAGAAATTTTTTTATCTTTTGACTGAGACACAATGATGGACTATCGGAACATCTCTAGTTCCTTGTGAATCCATGAAACTATGGAGATTCTCAGTTAATAGCAAAAATATTCACTAGCCAGCATGATTCAGATCGGATAACACTGATTTACAACAGAGAGCTCAAGAGAATGATGATGGCAAACCTGTTTTCATCGGAGTCGGGATGGATCGAGAGAAACTTCCCAGGGAAGGTCAAAGCAGCCCACATACAGAGAGCTAGCCCAATGATCAACTCCAGAACAACCTAAGCATCCCATCATAAGGCATATCAAAACATAGTCCTGATGATAAATTCCAAGACAAGTGAAGAAAAGAGAAACCTTTATCGATACTCACATTCATCGGTGGTCGGGAAAACTCTTCCTCCATGATCTTCAACAATCCTCTATCTAAAGCAAAGAAGAAACACCCCACATCAAGAGACTAGAAACAAAGAAGGAAAAAACGTAGATCTGAATTTCATATCATGGAACTGAAATTGGATTCGGAGGAATTGACATACATTGGATTGTCGAATAAGCGGCATGAGAAAGAATCAGGACGCCGAAAACTCCAATTACAAACCCTAAATTCATGTCTTTTCGTGTGTTCCGATGTTCTCTTTTCCTATTTCTAAGACAAATCACCGATCTGGTTTTTCTCGTCGAGTATTATTCTCCGCCGAGAATCCAAGTAGAAGAATAGAAAGACGATCACTCGAGTTTAAAAACGGCAGGTAGTTATAGACGGGAAGTCTCAAAAAAGACAAACGGCACAACGTGTAGTATCGAAGAGATCACAAACGGCCCGTAGTCCTAAAAGAACGTCGTCACAGATAATTTCGGGGAGCTCACGGTATTCGAGAATATTCGATAACAAACCCAACTTTCTTCTTAATGAAATGAAATACTTTGATTTAAATTGAGCTGTGATTATATCGATGTTATTTCACTTACAATAAAGTAATCATCTATGAGACTCAGAAAAGTCGAGAGAAATTTTAGTCGTTGGAACCATTAAAATTTGGAATGTTTTAACTGGAATGATCAAAGTGTTGTGTAAACTTTTAATTTAATTTGTTAATGCTGTTTTTGGCAGAAAATTTTCTTTCTTTCAAAGAAGAAGATAATATTATTGTAAGATTTTGAAGCTGTGAGCTTTGTTCATCCTCTCTCTCTCTCTACGCAGGGACTATTTCAAAGAACATCTCTCTCTCTCTCTCAAGTCAATAAATATTAATATAACTCAGTATGATGATGATCCATGCTCTGTCTAGTTTCCGAAACGCCACCATTTTTTCCTCCTCTGTAGCTCTGTTGCAGATGTATCTGAACACAAAAAATAAACAAGAAGAATAAGATATCTCTTAATGAATTGAGATGAAGAAGAGTAAAGCAAAACAGGGTCTGTAAAATGAGTCGACGTGTGTCGGGTTTTACCTCTGTTTAAGTAGATGGAGTTGTAATGAACCTCTGCCCAAAAGCTCAAGAAGATTACTGCAGAACACAAGCAAAATAACAGATCACTATAATAACAACATCCATAAAGAGATGAAGAAGACGAGTAAATAGAATAGTAGACTAAACTCTTTACCTCCTTTAGATTCTTGAGAGGTAGGAAGAATTTCAATATAACATGTATTCTTGAATGATGTTAGCACTACTATTTTCACCCGATACTGCAAATTCAAAGTTTTTCACCAAACTGTTTGATTATGAAAAAGTAGAAGAAGAAGGGTTCATGTGTTTCATAAGTCTGAGAATCTATACCGCATCTGCGGCCGCCTGTAATGTAACGTGATCTCCCCACTCACCACTCCTGTTTCAAATTTGAATACTAAAAGCTTTTAATACAAGACGGGTTCAAGAAATGATGTTACGAAGTTTCTAGGAAAAGAGGATATTACCGAGACATCTTCTTTAGATACTCAGAGAAGTCCATAGGAACGTATCCTTCATAAGAATCTGGACGGGATTTGAGCTAAACCAAGAGTTTCACGAAATGAGTACATAATAGTTCGTGAAAGCTTCTAAAAGATTCATCACTCGCGTCTAGCAAAAAGATCATCAAACCTGTTTTACAATTTGTCGCCTAACGTGTTTATGACGATCTGCGGTTTTGTATAGTTGATCAGCTAAAGCGCGGAACTGAAAGGCAAATAGACGGGAAAGGAGAATTCAAGGTTCAAAAATATGACCAGTAACGTTTAATGGAGATGGAAACGAAGAAGAAGACATTTACCTGGCAATTACCATCTCCTGGAACTTTGACCTCGGCGAAGTCAAACATCTCTAATCTGAAACAATTAGAAAATAATGGATTCAAGAATGGTTTTCATATAATACAACACATAAATGGAACAAAAAATAATACGTACCTATTACGAAGTCTTTCATGATCTGACACTGCTTCTTCTTCAGGAGGTATTTCTCCATTTATTTTTGGCACGTACTGCATATATACATTATGATCGATTTGTCAAATTGATAAGAGCATATTGTCAACAAGTTACACATAGTGTCTTGAGTACTTACAGGAATAGGGACCATTTGATTCAATCTCCTCCCAAATTCACCATCAGCATCACACTGATCTGATTCCCACGAGTACACATACTCATCCGTGTCACTCGGGCTTGAACACGAGAAGATATTAGGCGAATCATCGCTTTGATCATTATCATTTCCTCCTAACCATTCTACAACACCAAAAAAACACATCTTTTGTAATCCGATCCCCAAGACATAGACAGAAACATAGAAAGAAAAAGAGAGAGAGAACAAGCCAATGAAGAGCATGTTCAATAACCTGAAGAGTAATCCACAGAGGATTGATCGTTCCAGCCATATTCGTTATTATTGCTATAGTTGTTAGTATAACCTTCTTGTTGTTGATGTTGTTGTTGTTGATCTGAAAAATCGTTACTTTCTGCGATTTCAAGCTGCAAAAAATCGTCTTGGAGTGTTCTAGCAATGATCTCATCGTTATCTACATCGCTGGTACTACGATGATCTTCATACTCTCTGTAATACTCACCGGTCTGATGATGATGGTGATGATGATGAGCCTCGTCTCCCTCGTGAATCATCTCGATGCCATAAGGAGGATACGTGTATGGATGCGGACCGAGAAACCATTCCACAATACTTGTGTTCTCTTCATGTGACACCATCTTCTTAAAAAAAAAACCTTATCAAAAAGGTTGAGAATCAGAAATCTTATCCATAAACAAAATCGAACACATCTCTTCAAAACTTAATCAATACTCCGAAATCAATGAACTTTTGACCGTTTAGTTGCGTAAAACTTGGGAGACGTCTCTGGGTTTTGACGGAAGATTAAACAACAGAGACTTTTCAACAAAGAGGAAATGTGACTCCAAAGAATTACAAACTCTAACAATGTTACCCAGAATTCTCCAATCAGCGTCCTAAATTAGATATATCAACTCAAGTCATTATCACCATCAACGCTATAAAATCCAAAATTAGAAAGTAAAACCCACTAAAAGCTTTTCAAATCGCGAAGATGAAGAGTCAAACACAGACAACAACTTGGAGATTTAGTGTGGACTGGAAAAACGCTTTGAATCCGGGATTAATTAAGAAAAAATACACAATAAATTAAAAAAGGATTTATAAATCGACCTAGATCTGAGAGAAGAAATGGTTTGTATGGAGAAGAAGTTAGATCAAAAGTTGAAGAAACTCACCTTTCACTTGCTAAATCTCTGCAACTTGAAGACGGAATTATTTTTACTAAAAATAGACAACTTTTACAATTTCGGGGTGAAAGATTGAGAATTTAGGTTGCAAATAAACATAATTCAAATGGGTTTTTTTCGCACTTTCTCTTCTAAAAAGACTGAATTTTTTGGCAGGATGATGAGGAAGAAAAAGGATCGAGAATGATTCGAATAAAAATAAAGTTCTTCGCTTTTCTTTTTTTTTCGATTCGCGAAACCCAGAAAATATAAAAGAAAATGAGAAAACGCGCAAAATGCCACTCGACAATTTATATGAATTTCTGGGCATTAAGCTCTTTTGTCATGAGAACTTGTAGCCGTTGGATCCTTAATATGAACGGTCACGGTTTTATCAATATATTTAATTCTTTTTCTTCATTCTTTAAGATTCTTTTTCTTTATTGTTTTGTTTTTTGTGAGATTGCAAGAACATTTTCCAAAGAGGTCTACTATAATCAATGGTAATAAATGACTTGAAATGTAACTGAAAATTACAGTGATGTACCAAACAAAATCCTGCATTTTAATTCTAATTACAGTCAAGTTTTTTGTGCTTTTAGTTTCAAGTTTCCTGTGATTTGTTGGTTTCAACCCAAAAATAAATATAGGTAATTTTTTAAAATATAACAGTTAATTACATGTAAAATTGTTACTTATGTTTCTAATATTTTTCTTTGATACGATCATAAATGAGTCATGGTTTTCTTTTCATTGTGACTTTTTCGGCTCTTTACCAAATCCCAAGAAGATCAATTTATAGTTAAGGAGCATTTAAGGAAGGATTAGCATGCAAATGCAATAGTTAAGTTCAAATATATTTAGAGTTAAGCTTAAATGTTGAATTTCTTAAAGAGGCAAATGGGTCCAATAAACACATGGCTGCATAGTTTGAAGTTTTCCCAATCATATCCGGCGCGAATAAGTATTTTTTAAGTTTTTTTTATCATGGTAAGAATTCCACGTGGCACGCACTCATTTTATTGAATTCCAAAACCATCGAATTCAATTCTTTCAGGCAGCCCCACTTTTTTGATTAATCAAAATTCACGCAAAACCATCGACAAATTGTGCATGTATATCATTTAATATTCTTGGGAATGCATAAAAAATTAATTTTCGTTTTTTGTTGTTAGGGTTCTTTAGGTTTTAATAAATGAACTAGGTTCTATGTTCTGGCGGTGAAATCATACGGATGCTTTTGTGAATTCTTCAAAATTTATGTAAAAGAATTATTTAAATATTACAGTACGCTTACTCTATGAAACCTATAGATTGACAAATTCATGCTGTATGAGATCTAACGAGTTATATAAATTAATATAAATGGATTAGTCGAAGATAAATAAAGTCAAATTGTTTGCAAAAAACCAAGAGATGTACTACTATTTATTTTGAATCAGCATGTAATGCAGCATATTTTAATTTTATGGCATGGGTCATGGATTATTTGAGAAACCCAAAAGCCAGTTCCTGGGTAATTTTAAAAGGAAAATTTAATTTTGTTAGGTAAGCAAAATTTAATTAGACGCATACGTAATTATGGTGTTTTATTTACAAACGTTAGTAGTTGTGAAGATTATGCTGATGTAGTCATTAGCAACACTTTTTTTTGTCAATAATCATATCCGCATATCATATATTAATTGTTACATGTCAATTATCGAATATTATAAGCAAAATAGTCCATTTCAAAAGGGTCAATGCATTATTTTCTGGAATTAAAATACGAATAAATGTTACTATTATGGTAGTTCATATAGCAAAATCTGCCAAACAGCATGCATTCTTTGAACATTCATAATTGAGAACCGAATCTATTAACGTATATTTTATTATCAACTCTATGTTCAAAACAATCATGCCAATATAAATAGATAAATACTGAAGCTAGTTAATATGTTACTTAGGCTGCATGTGGTATCAACATGATCTATTCGAATGTTGCCTACTATCGAAGAAGTGTCATGATTTGATTAAATAATTACTAAACAAAGTACTGAGAGATTAACGTGTTTCTATGAGAGTACGCTTCGTAACTTCGTAATATACAAAACATGTAACAAACTGACACATGCTTTCGGATGCAACAAGGTTTATTTTTTTTCAGAGTTCGTTTACGTATCTGTAAGTATGTTTTAGGCACAAACATTATGTCTTAATATTCTATAACTAGATCTTATATGAAATTTTTGATAACTTACTTACGATTAGTAGTTGACACACTGATATCATTAGCTCTCAAGTGTCCTTTTACACAAAGCAAGCCGAATTCTTTTTTCATAGCATCAGTTAAGCTATTTATAATTTTATTTGCCTACAATTCGCTTTCCAGCTTACTTTTTCCGAATTCTATTTTTTTTCATAGGAAGCTATGATAATTTTACTTAAAGCTCTCTAAATTTAATGGCTTCCCCTGTTTTCAGCCAAAATGCTGCAAAAGTCAAATTGTTTGCCATTGTTAGTACACGTGAGTTGAATGCAATCTTATCAAAATTATTCTACCCTTGGTAAAACAAAAAAATAGTTGATGCCTTTATGATCTGATCAGTATTATTTTTGTAAGTTTGAATTCTTAAAAGTAAATAAAATCTTCCAACTATGTGAATGTAATGAAAGTATGGTCCCAAAAAAGAGGCCCGTTTATTACTGGGCTGAGTTATCAACCTCTACGGACATACTTACTGGGCCTTCAATTGGAATGATTTGACATGTTTTTAAAATGTTCACACATTTTCCAATAGTGTGTGAGGATCAAAGTGTACTTTGTTACCAAGCCTAGATGAATAATCTGCACATGTCCTAGTGTGGTGATGGTGACAAAATGTGTAAAAAGATAGAAACGAGTTCATGCATGATTGATTTGAGAAACCCAAAAACTGACTTATTGTGAGTTTAATCGTTAAAGAATGTGGAATAATCATCATATATCTGTCCTGTGAATTCTTGAGAAAAGTTAAGGAGCTTTACTAATTACTAGTGATGTTATTATTCAATTGAACACAAAAAATTAAGACATATCAGCTCAATACATCTGTCTCCTTTGTTATGCTTAATACTGAAACGCCACACCAACATTTTAAGTTACAAATTCAAATTAACAAGTAAACAAAAAGAAAGAAAAAAAGAATTTCTTAAAATACAGAAAATAAGAGAAGGCTGTAGTGTACTAAAAGTTGTTTCCGACTTTACTTCAAATCAACAAGCTCTCACATTCTTTGGGTTCCATAATTTTTCTAACCAACCTCCATCGTCACCATCAAGAACCCTCTTGTTCTTCCCTTCCTCGTCTCTAGAAGCTTCTAGGCTCTTGAGCGGAACCAGCAGCTGCTTCTTGGAACCATTCCCAGGCGAAGAAGCGTCCACAATCTTCGTCACCATCTCTAACACCTCACTCATCTTTGGACGGGTCTTTGGGTTCCTAGCAAGGCAAAGGTTGGCTACAACCGCTAGTTTCTGGACCGGTTTGATCAAGTATTTGCCTTCGAGCCTCGGGTCTACTATGAGCCGAAACCTCTTTGTGTCGGTTAAGTAAGGTCTCACCCACTCTAGAAGCTTCTGCTCTCCTTTAGGTCTGTTCCGGTCAAGCGGCCTCCTTCCTGTAATGAGCTCATAAATGAAAACTCCATAGCCCCACACGTCGCTTTTAGATGTGAGACGACCGGTCTGGATATATTCTGGAGCTGCGTAACCCATTGTTCCTACTACCTATCAAACCCCAAAGAACAAAAAAAAAACAGAACTTTCTTGAGAAGGCGATCATTCTATAACCAAATCAAGTGTAATGAAGAAAAAAACTTACACCAGTAGAAACATGGGTTGATCCTGGTGAAGGACCTAAGCGAGCCAAACCGAAATCCGAAAGCTTTGCTTTCCAATCCTCGTCTAAGAGAATGTTAGACGACTTGAAGTCACGGAATATTATCTACAAAAAAGCGAAACAGAGTTTAGTTAACTGATGAGGAAAATGGATGAAGAGAAGAAACAGAGGATGATATCATGATGTTCCTTACTTGGAAGTCCATTTCTTCGTGGAGGTATGTTAAACCCCGAGCTGCGTCTTGTGCTATTCTCAACCTGAGGTCCCAAGTGAGTACAGTCGGTGACCGAGCGGATAAATGAAACTCTACGCTTTGGTTTGGCATGTATTCATAAACCAAAAGCCTCTGGATTCCACGTTCATCGTCTTCTGCACAATGACCCAACAGTTTCACCAAGTTTGAGTGCTCGACAACTCCAAGAAAGTTTACTTCCGTCACCCATTCTTTATGACCCTGCAGGAAAAAGAAAAATTCAGAACACTAACAAATCTTGTAAACCAAAGAAGAAGAAGAAGAAGAGCCTTGCCTGTAAGCCTCTCTTGCCGAGCTGCTTAACCGCGACTTCGATTTTCTTTGACGGGTCGTCTAAGCTCTTGATTGTTCCCCAGTAGACACAGCCGAAACCGCCTTCCCCGATCATAACAGAGCGGCTGAAGTTCCTTGTGGCGGATTTGAGATCAGAAATGGTGAACTCTCTGAGATTGTTTTCTCTGGCGGAGATGCTCGGGTTCGAGTTCCTCCCAGTGGATGAAACCGTGCTCGTTCCAGAGAAGTGAGACGTGGGTGAAACCGGTTTAGGGCTCCTCTGTTCATCTTTCTTGTCCCCAAGAGGGAATAAGAAGCACTTCATTTTCCCCAAGAAATGAAAACACCCACGCTTCTCCACTGAATCACAAAAAAAACTTCATTAAAGTGAGCATATTTAGCTCATTTGAGCATTTAATCAAACAAGTATCCTGCAAGCTAAAGCTAGGGAGAGAGGATAAACAAATTACTTGATCAGACTAGCAAACACAGAACCGAATTGAAGAACTTCCAATTTTAAATATCTCCCCAGAGTCAAAATGCACTATATCCAAAATTTGATCTTTGAATCCAACTGATCAAAACCAAATACGAGTTTCCGGGACCTGTTAACATCAAGGAACCCGATGGATTGTCGAATCGATGGTATACAAACCAGAGAGTTAACAAAACCCCCAAATTCTCCAATGAACCCTAAATTCAGGCAAAGCTGTTGCGAATTGCAAGCAATAGCAAGTTAATTCATTTCTACTAAAGAAAGGAGGTTTCTTCCCTAAACAACAATTTAGAGAGCTATGAAATTCGTGAAGAAGGGTAAAGTAACTTGTAGAAACTTACAACTCACCTTTTGAGATCTTTTGTGTACAGAAAAATCAAAACTTTTTTCTCGGAAGCTGAACAAATTGAATCGCCAAGCGAATTATATCAACAAAAATCGATTGTGGACTCGAAAGATAAAGACGAATATATTTAGGAATTAAGTGGTTCTGGTGATCTGAATTCGGCATTAAAAGTTGAAAGAAGAAGAAGACGACGACGACGAAGACTTAAGAGGAAGGAGCCGAATGGGGAAGGAAGTCAAAGTAGTTGAGTATTCACAAGCCCAAAAGCAAACAAGAAAACAGAGGAGACGACTTCATTTATTATTAAAATGTATATAGTATAATACTCAAAAGACAGTTTGGCAGACGTTGCATAACTGAAAGCTTAAACTAAAAACAGCGATTCTAAAACAAGAGTTTATAACAAGTATACCTTGTGTTGTAAGAAAACTACTAATATATCCTAACCAAAACTGGATTTTAACATGTTTTTCTTTTCCAAAACATGAAGATTCATTCGCAACAAGAACATGTGAATATATATGTATTTATTAAATTAATATTAGATTATTGCATTGAAATTTTGAATTCAAATATAGAAAAAATAAAAAAATTGCAAGTAAAAATTACAACTTGAAAAAAAACTAAATAAAATATCATAAAATAAATACAATTACAATTTTTTTTCTTTGTATAAGGTATTTGTTGAAACAGTTTTAACCTAAAACAATAAAAAAAATTATACTCAAATTTCATTTAATGCTTGCTATTATTATTATTATTATCATTTTTTCTCTTATAAAAAACTGATTGATCTACATTAGTTGTAAAAACAAATTGAATATAAGTAATCTCTAACGACCAAATGAATTCAAATGGCTGGATACTGATATATCATGGTTTTTATGGTTTTTAACCATGATATAAGTCCTTTTTATTGAGTCTTTTTGGTATTTTTAGAGTCCTAGAAGAGTCTTTGCAGGTTATAGCATGTCTGGAGCATAATTGGAGATTTTGGAACCTTTTGGAGCATTCTGAGTTGAAGCCACGAAGTACCTAGCTCGAAGAGGAAAGTATGCATATGGGTGACGCTCGTCACCAAGCTGGTGACGCTCGTCACCCACCAAGGAAGGAGGTCGTGGCCTGTTTTAAAAAGATTGGGAAGAAATTGCAGTTTTGGCCCAGAAGTTCTAGTTTTTGCAAAAAGGCTCCAGATTGTGTTTTAGCTTGTATATTAGGTTTTTCAGCCATTCTTTTGGCATATATCTTGTATCTTATTATTTTTGAGAGCTTTAGAGAGAGATTTGTAGAAGAGCTTTTGGAGAGACAAATCAGACTCCTTCAGAGCAGATTTTGAACTCCTTTATTTCTACTTCTTATTTCTTTTATGCAATCTATTCTTTTCATGATGTTTTCTCAAATCACCATGTCTGAGTAGTTTGTTAGTTAAGTTAGGGCTTTTCAAAGGTTGAAGAAGAGTTTGTAGAATTGCTAAAAACTTATAGGAAATTCATTGGTTCTTCATCTGTGCTTGCATTCATATCGATTTCTTAGACACATCATCTGGATTTCGAAACCCTAGGTTTTTGATAGATGTGAGAGCATTATTAATCACCTGAACTAGTATTAGATGAGCAAAACGCCCTAGTACAAAGAGATTTGGCTTAGGAGTTTTGTGAACAATTGAACCTGATCATTACTGCATGTTTAGGTTGTTAGGGTTTGCAAAGAGATTTGAAACTCTGTGATTTAGACATAGATAGCTTCTGCAATGAGAATGGATTAGTTATATCTTTGCGATTCATGTTCAAGACGGTTTTAATTCATTCCTGATTGCATGCATTCTACACTCTCAGATTCAACCTGCGAACTGTCCTGACTTAGCGCATTTAGCCTTCTGAACTTTAAGAACAAGCATAAAAACGCCCTCTTGCATTTATTTTACTGTTTTGCATTACATTCATTATTTATCGCTTAGCTTAATCTGAACCTGAACTCGATAGTGTAGTTTACTTACTCCCTTGGGATTCGATAACCCCTTGTACTACAACTGCTTTTGCTGTGCACTTGCAGTAGTTTTATTTGGGTAAAACCTGACCCTATCAAGTTTTTGGCGCCGTTGCCGGGGAGTAATAGCTGCCTATCGATTTTTAGTATTAGGATTTTGTCTAAGTTTTTATTTGTTTACTGATTTTCAGCTACTTTTCTTTGTTCTTGTTTCAGGTGTATGCCTAATCGCAGAACCAGAAGCAACAAAGAGAAGGAGCTTGTGACTTTGAGCATCGACGAGCTTGCTAGGTTGGAGAGAACTAACAGGAAAGCTAAGAAGCAATCTACAATGGTCGCTCCACTTATCTTGGTTGAAGATGCAGAAGGTCACTTGGTTGACAGGGAAGGAAACAGGAGGAACGAAGAGGGGCAGAGAATTGATCAAGAGGGGAATGTCATTGTTGAACAGCAGGTTCAGCAAGTGGCTGAGAACGTGGGAGTCCCTGCTGCTGTCAATAACGCTGCTGGGCGTTTTGTTCAGAGGAATCTAGGTGACTACAACAGACCTGATCAGTTCTATGCCAACAGAGCTGCAATCCGACCTCCTGCCTTCCAAAGGAACGATTTTGAGGTTAAACCAGTCTACTATCAGCTGGTTGGCCAGCATCCATTCCATGGCTTACCTAATGAGCATCCTATGGATCACATTGAGAGGTTTGAGGATCTGGCTTCAAGTGTCAAAGCTACTGGAGTCAGCAATGATTTCCTGTTCTGCAAGCTTTTTCCTTACTCTCTTGGAGGAGAAGCTGCATATTGGCTGAAGCAACTGGAACCTGCTTCATTGACCACTTGGGAAGACACTAAGAACGCCTTTCTGAATAACTTCTATGATGATTCAAGGTCAGAGGACATGAGGACGAAAATTGCTTCCTTTACACAAGGCCCTACTGAAGCTTTTAAGGCTTCTTGGATCAGATTCAAGTCTTATCAAAGGGACTGCCCTCATCATGGTTTCAATCAAGTGCAACTGCTTGGTATCTTCTTCAGATGCATTGACTGGAAATATCAGATGGCGCTGGATGCAGCAAGTGCAGGAAACTTCAACACCAACATACCAGAAGAAGCTGTAAGATTGATTGAAAACTTGGCCTGCAGTAACAGCACTAAGAATGCAGATTTTCAGAGAAAGCAGCAGGCTGGTTTGAATGATGGAAACCAAATAGCTGAAGTTAAGGCTAAGTTGGACAGCATGCACAGCCTTTTGGTGGGAAAGAAGTCAGTCCAATTCGCTGCAGAAGTGGAGAGTTTCGAAAATCCTGAAGAATTTGAGCAGAAAGATGTTAATTTCATCAATAGAGGGGGTTTTCAGAGCCAAAGGTTTGGAAATCAGCAATGGAACAGAGGCTACAACAGCAATAATCAGCAGAGTACCTTTACAGGAGGACAGAGCACGCCTGGTTACACTCCTAAGCCCCCATTCCGGAAGACTGAAGTTGAGAAACCTTACCAAAACAGCAGGAATTTTGGTTCTTCTTCCTACCAAACTGGAAGCTATGCTGGAGCAGGTACTTGAAGGACAGCAGAAGATGACAATGAACTTCAATGGCAAGCTAGATTCGCTGTATCAAGACCTGAATGGAAAAATTGAGAGTCTGAACTCTCACATGAAGAAGCTTGATGTGCAGGTTGCTCAAACTGCAGGAGCTGTTCAAAGGCAAGAGGGATTCCTTCCTGGAAGGACTGATATCAATCCCAAGCATCAGGTTAATGCCATCACAGTCAGGAATGAAAAGGAGCTTAAAACAGTACAGAAAAAGAGGTTGAGTGCAGAACAGATCGTGCAACTCATGGAGTCTGAAGATGAAAATTTTTCTGTCTCAGAGGTGAGTGACGAGCGTCACCAAGGAGGAGTGACGCTCGTCACCAACCTACAAGGGTATCGGGGGTTGTCACAAGTGAGTGACGAGCGTCACCCCCCTGGTGACGCTCGTCACCCATCCCAGAACGAAGCTGCTTCGCCTGTAACTGCAAATTATGACTAGGAACGTGTCTATAAACCCAAAACACCATTCTCCAAGCATCCTAGGAAGTCTAAACAGGAGATAGAAGAAGCCAGATGTAAAGCTATGATAGACAAGCTGATGCTTGAGATTCCACTTGTCGATGCAGTCAAGCTTTCACCAGCTCTGAGAAGGTATGTAAAGAGAATGGTTGTGAATGGTGTAAGTCCTGAGGAAGGAGCATTGCTTACCAGAGACATCAGTGCAATTCTCTTAGGCACAGTTCCAAAGAAGAAGAAGAAGGTGACAGTTTCTGAACAAGTCAATACCATCACTCAAAGCAGAGTTCCAGAGAAGCTATCTGATCCAGGGACCTTTGTGCTTGATTGCTCAATATCTGCAGGACGTTTTCCACACTCTCTATGTGATCTAGGGTCAAGTATTAACTTGATGCCTTTCTCTGTTGCTGCTAGACTTAGAATGACTGATTTCAAGCCAGCTGGGATCTCTCTCATCCTAGCAGATCGATCCATAAGGACCCCAGAAGGCATGTTAGAGAATGTTCATGTTAACATTGAAGGCTGCATAATTCCTACAGATTTTGTGGTTCTGAAATATGCTGAAGAACCTAAAGATCCTCTTATTCTGGGAAGACCATTCTTGGCTACTGCTGGAGCCATCATTGATGTTAGAAAGGGGAACATTGACCTTGATCTTGGTGATGTTGTCATGAACTTTGACATGGATAAGTTAAGAGGGAGTTCTACCATTGATGGTCAGACCTTTTCTGTAAGGACTTCCAGAG